ATGGGATGTCATTACAAAGAGCATGACTTACCCTTTCACATAAAAGTGAAAGCAGTCAAATCGGTTGGAAAAATCAGAAGTTATGAATTTTTGAAAATTGTGCTCAAAAACTTTCGGGACGACCTATACAATGTGTTGGCTTTTATGGGTTACCGGAGAAAATGATTTTTAGAGCCGGGAAGCAAAGAAGCCCTAACATGCTGTATACCATTCGAAAGCTGAGATCATGGAGAATCGACGTAGACCGTCGACTTTTTTCTAGGTCTTCTGTGCCGCGAGATATGAGGGATTTTATGTGCTTCAAAAATTAACTGATTTTGTGTCCTCACTTTCTGCTCTCCAAATGAATGCTACGAGAAAGTCGACGGTCCACGTTTGTTAATGAAGACTTGCTCTTTAACACAGATAGATAAGCAGCAGTGATTAGGTCTTCATTTGGCAGAAATCTGCTGTTGAAAATGACCATGTTTTCAGATAAAATGCAGTGTATCTCTCGGTAGAGGGGGGCTAGAAAGAAGTCGACGGTCTAGGTCGAATCCCCTTTTCCTAAGCTTTCGAATGGTATATAGGTTGCTGGGCGAAAAAACGGACCAGTTTTCAAAAATGGGGTGGAGATATTTACTATTAGCTTGCTCCAATCCGGCTCCACCAATGTATTGGCTTTTATCGGTTACCGGAGAAAATGATTTTTAGAGCCGGAAAGCAAAGAAGGCCTAACATGCTGTATACCATTCGAAAGCTGAGATCATGGAGAATCGACGTAGACCGTCGACTTTTTTCTAGGTCTTCTGTGCCGCGAGATATGAGGGATTTTATGTGCTTCAAAAATTAACTGATTTTGTGTCCTCACTTTCTGCTCTCCAAATGAATGCTACGAGAAAGTCGACGGTCTACGTTTGTTAATGAAGACTTGCTCTTTAACACAGATAGATAAGCAGCAGTGATTAGGTCTTCATTTGGCAGAAATCTGCTGTTGAAAATGACCATGTTTTCAGATAAAATGCAGTGTATCTCTCGGTAGAGGGGGGCTAGAAAGAAGTCGACGGTCTAGGTCGAATCCCCTTTTCCTAAGCTTTCGAATGGTATATAGGTTGCTGGGCGAAAAAACGGACCAGTTTTCAAAAATGGGGTGGAGATATTTACTATTAGCTTGCTCCAATCCGGCTCCACCAATGTATTGGCTTTTATCGGTTACCGGAGAAAATGATTTTTAGAGCCGGGAAGCAAAGAAGCCCTAACATGCTGTATACCATTCGAAAGCTGAGATCATGGAGAATCGACGTAGACCGTCGACTTTTTTCTAGGTCTTCTGTGCCGCGAGATATGAGAGATTTTATGTGCTTCAAAAATTAAGTGATTTTGTGTACTTACTCTCTTCTCTCCAAAATGCTACGAGGATAAATAAATAATATAAATAAACATAAATACCGTTTCTTTAGTAAATTTATGAGTGTACTTGTTGTTTGAGGTACCTAGCCTGCTTTTCATAACGATTTTTATCATATTCTCAGAGTACGATACCAATCTCAGACCAGGTGAAGGGGGTCATCGGGAGTTTGGCCTCAAAGTGAAGGGGGTAAGATCCATCACTCCCCCTATCGCAACTATGATTCGGGGTAATCCAGTAAGTTGCCATCGAAGGTTGGCAGATCCAATTTTGTAAGTATTGAAGCATCTACAAAATTGAGCAGAGATGCATCTGGTGCGGAAACTGTTGCTCGAGTAACGCGTCGGTTTTGACGTCTGAGGTTGTCACCGGAATCGTCATCGTTATCCGCGAGTGTCCCATCAGATTCGGAAGGTGGATGCAGTTCTCGTTTTACGTATTCAGCGTCAAGAACATTCAAGACAGCATCAAACTGTTCGAGGTTGTTGACAGCGAGAGCGATATCTGTACGATAGTCTCCATATTTCGTAATGTAGTCTTCAAAGACCTTTTGCTCAAGTGGGTTGGAGTCTTGAAGTGTTGTCCAGTCATCATGGAGTTTTACAGTTTTATTGTAAGCCTTCAATAAGTTTGCTTTCGTAGATACGAGTTCAAAGCGGAAAGAATCCAAATCTTCATTGGTCAAATGGCTGAGAGTAGGTTTAGATGGTTCGACTCGGTATTCTTTGAAGATATCAGCAGCGGCTGAACAGTATCGTTGCAGTTGTCTTTTGAAAAATCCGATTTGTCTTCGAAGAACTACGCTGTCAGAAATTGGCATCTCTTGAGGCGGGTTGGGTTGGTCTCAGGAGCGTTGATGATTGGCGGATGAAGGTGGAGAGTTGTCGATTGGAATTCTTTCGGTTATGGTTAAAAGTGCAGCCGCACGTGAAGAGTAAGCGCAGTGGAAACTGACGGTGGCCCTTGCTGAGTCGTCGTTCCTTGTGGTGAAAAAGGTGCAATCCGCACAAACGATGGAGCAGGTGTGATTGAGTATCCTGCCGTGGTCGCCAATTGAGCTGAATAGGCGAAGAGAAGGACGAAACGTTTATTGCATAGAGCGATCAGCAAAAAACTGAATTCTCCCTCGACTTATATACCATGCATATTCGCTGCCGAGGAATACAAATGAATCGTTAGTGGCCGAGGATGCCGAAGAACACAAATGGATCGTTAATGGTCGAGGATGCCGAGGAATACAGATGGATCGTTAGTGACTAAATGGCTGAAGATGCCGAGGAACACAAATGGATCGTTAATGGTCGAGGATGCTGAGGAATGCAAATGAATCGTTAGTGCCGAGGATGCCGGCCTGATTTTCTGTAGCTTTACAGAAACCCCCCCCCCCGCTCCCCCCCCCCCCTCGGTACGCCACTGCTAGCTGACTATTATCGTAACTTGTCAATGAAACCTTACTCTTTTCTTAAAGGCAGTGTCTCACCAAAATTTAGTTGTCGAGATTTTTGCATTTTGCATGCCTGTTCGACTCTGTCTAGCACTGTATGGGCTTAAAATCGCACGAAATTCCCAAAAACCCCGTTTTCTGGAGGCCCCGTGGAAGCAACGTGGACGAGTTGTACCTTCCAACTTCAGGCTCAGCCACAGTGGCAGCAACAGAGGGGAGGTGGATGCCAAGTGGAGGGACATGTTCAAACGCGTAAGGGGGAAGACCGAAGGAGTCGTCCGCGCGTACCAACTCGCTCTCCGCGTACCACTTTGAGCGAATTTTTCTCAGCGTGGAAATGGTCAAATTGAGCGGGACTTGTTGCAATGGCCTGTTAAGACGTCCCTATAATATATTAGGTTGATTCATAATTAATGCACGTTTTTCTCACCTCTTCTTTCAAGAGCTGGTATTTGATGTGTAATCAATTTAACTTTTTATGCTATCTGAAAAAGCGCTTTTTCTAGTTTCTTATGTGGCCTTTCGCTTTCGTACATCCCCGTTCACTCCAAAGTTCTGAGCCTTCAAATAAAAGACACTAAATCCCAAAATTTTTGCTTTTCACTCTTTTTGCCCTAAATCCATGAAGAACAGGCGGATTAATTATAAAAAATATGCATATGGATTAGGAGACTTTGTGCTACAAGATGCTATTTGAACAAAATACTCCAAGAATTCTGAGCCGAGAAATTCAGTTGCAAACTTTAATGATCATCGCGGCCCTTCCGTGCCATAAAAACCTTGAAGCAAAAGGCGATTGCAGGTCTTTTGCACTATTCAGCAAGGGTAGACCTAGTTCATTTGATGGTAGAAAAGCGCTAGGGTTTTCTCACTTTCCAGTGGAGAAAAATGAAATAATTTCAAAAATGACCAATTTTTGAACCCGCCGAGATGCCAGAAAAAAGTGAGTACTTTCGACTTTTTCGCGATATTTTCTTTCAAATTTTTTCCGTAAAATTCAAGCTTGGCACTACTGCTCAAGAGACCTTTGGCTACACGATGAGCGAAATCTACTTTATCCTACTTCGTTTGAACATAAGTTATGCTCTCTCAAAGTAGAGGCTTCTGAAAAAAGTTGTTGGTAAACATCAGGCTAGAAAATCTTTTTTGTGATAGATACAGTCACGCAAAAGTACGTGTTTTATAGCCACTGACTTGATGGTTACAGCAATTTTTATTGCGTCCAGAAATGTCTTTTCAAAAAAAGAATCAGCTTTGTTGAAAGTTGAAGTATAGAAAACGTGCATTAATTATGAATCAACCTAATATAATAATATGTGAAGATCCGCGCGACCCCAACTTTGGTGAGACACTGCCTTTAAGGGCCCAGCATACATCACGCAATTTCATCGCCTCGCAATTCTTTGCAGAGACAACCGTTACGAGATTGCATCATCTTGCATATTGCGGTTGTGATAGTTAGCCGCGATCAGTCGTGTCGGAAAACTATCCCAACCGAAACGCGAAATGATCAACATGCAAGAGACTAGTGACTGTTGGCTTGCTGGAAGAATTGCGAGGCGATGAATCGCCTGGTTTATGCCCAGCCTTACACTTCGGCCTTCCAAATCTCGTTTGTTGAACACCTCTAGAAAAAATCGTCTCTTTCGAACATGGTATTAGAATTTTACATTTACACGATAATTTCTTTTCACATGATTTTCCTTCGATAATTTCTTTTCAAATTTTTCCTGAGGTTTAAGACTGGTACCACGTTTTAGCTAGTAGATCGTGACTTTCATTTCTGTCTAAAGATATCCTCTTTTTGCCTTGTGTGCAAGAGTATAAATTGAAAAACAGAAAATGAAATAGTTAATAAAAGAGCTCAAGAAACTTAAAAAGAAGAAGTAAAAACTCAAGAAACAGAACTAAAGGTAAACTCGTATTTTTATACTGCGTTTTGTATTTTTTATATTTTATTTGATAATGGCACATCGCTTCTCAATTATACGAGAATAGATATAAGTATTATATTTACATTGACAGATATTGAACAAACACCTCCACCCGCAGATTAAGTTACGCCCAGCAAAGAAAATGCTTCAGTCTCACAAATAAAGAGCTTTTACCCTTAATCATAAATTGAGACATTTCCTCGCCATCTTCTATTTCAGTAAATGATGTATTTACCTCTGGTGTCTTTCTAGGAGCACCGATACGTCCCTCAGTAAAATCCATAGCTGCTCCAACTTCCTCCTTCTTTTGAATCTTGTACTTATCACGAATTCCTTGGCGCATTTTCTCTCTTTCTGCTTCCATCTTGCGATGTTTCTCCTTACGACGTTCAGCTTCCTCTAGTCGCGCGGCTACAACCTGAATATAACTGGCTAAAGCATCGCATAAAAGTTGAATCAGATCAACTTAGATTTGCAAGATTCAGAAAAAAAGATATTCTGAAAAGTTTATTACAACCATATAGAAACTTATGTTTGCTAGAGAGCCTCAGCGCGAAAGTTTAGGACTTTCCAGGGCCGAAGAAAGCGAAAACCCTGCGACAGACTCATAAATAAATTCGCTAGCTAAGGCTCAAAGATATTTGGAAAGAATAGACGGCATATATCGCTGGTTTCTCATTTGCTGCCAGGGGACCACTAAGAATCGAGTTGAGAATTGAAAAAGGCTGGTTGCTATGGAAAACGATTACCCCTTTAATCAATTCCCAAAATAAAACTTTCAGCAATTTCTTTCAACCAGGTACGCATTTTCGCAGAATCACCTCGCTACTCCCTGCTGATGTGAAGCAAATTTTACGCCATAGCTTGAAAACGTTCCAGAAACTTGGAAAATAATCCTCTCCTTCAAAACGTAGAAACGTTTCACTTTTCACGAAGTTCTCCCTCTTCTTCTTAACATCCTACACATTTTCTCGAATGTCTCAATTTTAGCAGCTTCTCCCAACTTCAATCGAAATTCGCGAAAATTGCAACTCGTTTTTCAGACACATGTCTTTTCTGCTTCGACGAACTGCACTTTTTGTCTGGAGAAAGTGGAAATTCGATTGAATGGCGATGAGTTGGAATAAATCATGTAGTATGATTTAAAATGCAAAATAAATTTCATGCAACCCCCAATGGCGATATTTGGTGCTTCAACAACGCTCAATATTTCTGCAAAACCGAGACATTTTTTTCCTCAATCCCACGCTCTCAATTTTACCTAGCGCCCTTCTCCACGAAGCTTCTAAACATGAAGCAAATTTCAAGAGTTAGCTTCGAAGGGATCCCCATCGCCTTAGCGATTCTCTGTCCAATTTTCTCCGAACGTAAAAACATTTGCACACCCTACATGACTTAGCCGTTCTCAGGAGGTTTACAGCATTAGAGTCGACGAATCCTTCAAGATGTCAGAAAAACACGCGACTTAGCCGCTAGTCGATACGACCGACCGAAAGCTTCGCTTTTCTTGCAGGCAAATAATGTAGACCAAAGATCCATAATAATGCAGCAATTTGTTAGTTTTTGCGAGAGCGACTGCGACGAACAAAAGTTCAAAATCTGTCTAGTTCCAAAACGACGCAATTATACCACAAAGTAAGCGGAGTTATAAAAGGCCTTCAAAACTGTTGTAGTTGAGAAGCAAATGAGTATGTAAAAAAAGCAACAAGGAGCCCATTCCGATATATACGTATAAAACAATCGCGAAACAAAAATTTTGAAAAGGAGAGTTTACGAAAGAAGCCAACAAAAAAGCTCCAAACCGCTAACCTCTGGATCTTCTCCTTCAGCCGTTTTCTCTTCATCATCTCCTTTACCCATTCCTAGACTTCCAGTCACTTCGTTGAGCTGGTTGCCCACCATCTGTTTCATCAAAAATCCAGCCATGTCGACTATTTAGTGGAGATGTAAGTATCTGAAACGAGGAGATTGTAAGGTTTTATATAAAATTTTCGCTGCAAATCCGTGCAAATTTAATGGAAGTCAACAGGAGTAGAATAAAGTTCCTTAACGAGATTTCTGGATTATGACGCGAAAAGATGCCGCCGTCACCTACAGACAAAAAGTGCATGACACACTATATGAAAATGAGTCGTACGACGCGCAAGTCACTTATCAGGAGGGTTCCCCTTTGAAGGGCGATAAAACGAGCAATTTATAGTCAAAACCTCTCTGAGGCCCATGACAATTACTTTAGTAATAATTAAAAACCCACTAATAGCTTTCCACTCTTTGAGTTATGATGTAATTCTAATGCAGCAAGCAGACAAAATATGAACGGGATAAGTGGGCAGCACTTCCAGAATATGCGATATGCGTGAGCACGCATGGAAGACAAAAGAATTTCCGATATCGTGCGAAAAAAGAGCGACGAAAGTGAATGGATGGGAACAGGACAAGGCTAGTGCATTATTGGTTCCCTATGAGAGACAGCAAGACACAAAGAAAGCAAATATAGGTATCATTTTCTTGGCAAAATAATGCAAAAAGACTGATTGTAGACGATGATTTAAGTTATGATATTTTGGAAATTTTAGAAAAAAAAATAGAGATAACTTCAAAGGAATCCATGACGAACGAAAAAAAAGTCTGAGAAAACGTCCTAAGAAAAGCCATAGCAAAGTAAAATTTAAATGAATAGCTATTAAGAAGTATGCAACTTGTGCAAAAGCAAGAGCAAACAACACTGAATGAATGAAAGTTCCCAGTTCTCCAATTTTGAAAGAAAAATGGAACACGCTAGAATGCACTTAAGTACATTTTGAAAAACTGAACTCTAAAACTCTCCATAATTGGATTTCGTTCAGCTATGCGACACAAAATCCTCTACTAAATTCCGCTGCAGTTCGCGCTTTGCACTTCTAAGCTCAAAGGAAACAGAATTAATGAGAGAGGAAGTCGTCATATGGCTTCTAGTACTTCCTCTCACGATATAGATTAAGGGACATATATGAAACAGGAGCAACACTTACTTATTTTACTGTATTTTGTGGCGGCCTTTACTATTGAGTATTTTGGTAGTAAAAATCCGGATTTTAAGTGCTTTGAGAGGATTACTAGGATGAAAAGCGATTTAGAGGATGAGCTTTGAATGAATTTCTGCAATGAATTTACTAATGAATGCATGGTCTCTGCTTTTCAGTGACATCATAAAAACACCGTACGAGGTTTCTTCACAGCAGGGAGTCTCAAATGACATTCGATTAGAGAACTCACATAGCATATGCAACATGCAGTGATAAATGAATGCAATGAAGCGAGTGAGAACGAGAGAATGGCAAAACTGGCAATAATAGCGTTAAGGGCATCCTGGTAACATTGACATGTACGTATAAAAACAGCTAAACGAGCTGTTTCATCGACTCATCGTCAATTTGAGGGACAAGAGCCCGGGAGTGAATGGCATTAGTGCAAATATCGATATAAAACCTCATACAAAGCCCATCAGCTATGCGTTACGCTAACAACAGCAGCACTGACTGCTGCTGAATGAATGAATGGGAGGGAGAACGCTTAGATACCAAACGCACGAAGCCGAGACCCATATACGCACAAACACACACGCATCCAACGCACATGACACGGGAGGAGAGGAGCCGCTCTCTCCCCCCGAGATCGATGTGCTCGGGCGTGTGAAGCGGTGCTGCCGTAGGGGGACGGGGGACGGACGTCGGACGACGACGACGTCGACCTCCCGTCGAGACACGGACGGGAGGAGAAGCACTGCGTCAGCGGCGGCTCTCTGCGTTAACAATGCCTCGCCCCCCTTAATCGTCTCTTCACGAATTGATGCATGCGCCAATCCATCAACTCTGTTATGCACAAAGAGCGACTGGCACGAGAATACTTTTAAAAAATCTTGCCTTCTTTGAAGCATGCGCAAATGTAAGGGTCACGCAGCTTTTTTGATGATAAAAACCATTCACAGAATGAGTTTTTCTTCATCACTTTCGTTGGAAAACTTAAGTATGTCAGCTTTTCGATCAAAAAACCTAATATCAGCTCACTGCTTGCTCTTATGTCTCTGATCACAACAACCTAAATATATCCATTTATCTCAGCCACACCTCCGCAGACATGAGCAGCTTATCCTAAAATTCTGAGCCTAGTTCTCAGGAAATCCATGCGTCGAAAAGGGTTCCAGAGAAAAGAACAGAGGAAGGAGGCAGCAAGTCTGAAAATAGGTAATAGATCGCGTTTAAGAGCTTTGAGAAAGAGGCAAAGCTCCTGTTGTATAAATCTTGCGAAACTTTTGATGATCAAAGAGAAAGCTATCTTGACAATACTGAGACGAAGAAGGGAAGAAAGGCTGAATAAAAACAAGATGCATAGTGCAAGATGAGAACAGAGTTCAAACACCATCACAGCTAACATTCAAGGATATGGGAATTTCAGAACATCTATCGAGGAAAGTCTAACAAGAACAACAGAAAATTCAAGTCAGAATCCTTTCCATGAAAATGAACGAACGTTTGCAAAAAGATAGCATCTTGAAAGGTCATTGCAGTCACTTCTTTATCTCTTCCCAGAAACATTTGCAAAATGTAAAAGCTCGCCAGAAAGCAACCGCTTCTAGTTCTCTAGCAAAGCCGCTTAACTATTTGCTGTCTTCTGGTAACTTGAGATTTGGCTTTATGAAATTCGTAGCTCATATATGGATGGCAAAAATCTAACAAAACACTAGCTGCAAAATATGGATTTTTGGAATTCAGAACTAAAACAGACGCTTTATGCTAAGCTAAGCAAGCTTTTACAACTTCCTATTTGTGGCCCAAGAGATCGCCCGCATTGATAGCATGAAGTCGATTGGGTACAACTTTCTATTCAACTTGATACCGTTTTCCTAGAACAATCCACATAAGAAGTCTGTAACCAGTGGCCGTATTCATCATTAATGCCTTGAGGTAAATTCTATCTCCAGGTAGTTTTATCACTCATTATCAGCAAGTACCCGTATTCACAAAGTACCTTGAGGTAAATTCTCAATGTAATTTTGCTGATAATGAGTAATAAAACTACCAGAAGGTAGAATTTACCTCATGGTACCTATGATGAATACGGCCACAGAAGAAGATTTGTTGCAAATATCGACCAACAGACATCTATGTGAAGGTTTCATAATGTGATAAACTGATGCAACAATCACAGATGGCGTTACATTTACGACGTAGCAAAACTATGCAAAAATCGATGGACTTTTTTGCAAAGAGCATATTAGCAATGGAATAAAAGAGCGATGTAGTAGTCATATGCATAAACTGACACTGAGAATAAAATCAGAACAGAAAATATGGTCAGAAATAGCTTGCTCACAACTACTTGCCATGACTCAAAATGAATTTCAAAAAAAAAAATGATTTGCACTGCGAAGAACAAATAAGAAAGCTGATGCGAAGTGAACCATTTTAGGCAAATTCTACAACAATTTCGTTTCACGAAAAAAAAAACAATTTGGAGCAAAACCAAAAGCAAGCATCTGCCGAAGGAAGGAGCAATGAATAATGGGGCCGTAGGCCAATCACAGCAGTAGGCGAGCTGGTTGAGAAAAAGATTGGACTTACAGAGATTTCACGGACCAAGGAGCGCGGAAGAGAAAAACGCTTCCGGTATTTCAGCACTAAATCCCTATGTCTACACTATGACTACATTGATTTAACAATTTACCGAAAGAAATGCTGGTTCTCAAAGCGCATGAAATATTATCGCGCAAATGAAAGGGTATCCTTCGCCTCAGACTGGTCCTACTACTACATCAATGACAACTATCTATCATACACTCAACAAAACAGATCTTTATCAGCATTACCATAAACTTTGCGAGAAACATGAAACTCTGTGGTAAACGATTATCCGAGCAAGTCAAATGTTGGTCGTTTGAAACAATTATAGCCATGAAGGCGAGGCAACGCGCGATCCTCTTGCAAAGAGAATGTGAAACATTGAGACGGCGCAACAAGAAATCGAATTTCCAGCTGCAGAATTGAAAGAAAAAAAAGCCAAAAGCAAATTCCGCGAGCGTTTTGTGATGTAGCTGGGCTGTAGCTGTATGCTTCAATTCGGCCCATTTCCCAACTAGCCAAGCAAACTTTACACCCAGCTACTGACAAGCTAAAAGCGATTTGAGGAAAAAGGGCTAACTTCAGATGAAGTTCCGTCGTTTCCAAAGGAAGTGATAGGCGAGAAGGCACTGTGGCTTATTTACAAGGTCCTTCCCAATTTCCCTAAGCCCTCTGCGAAAGCGAAATGTTCCATGGAAGCATATGAGGATGCCAACCAAATGTAAAATTTATTGGGCACACATAGAGTGCGCATAACACGTTGAGAATAACGATGCGAAGAGGCTTCGGTAAAATGAGAATAAATATCCTATCAAAGCTTGCCGGATAGAAAGAGCTTGGGTTTGTAAGCCAAACGCATGATTTTTATCAAGTGACTTTGCAATAACTATCCTTTCCTTGCGATTAAGGTGAAAACGTTGCGGAGATCGGGCAAGAGAAGCAAATCCAAACTCATAGCACACGTTCTTTATTTCGCGGCAGACTTACTTCTTTCTACTCTACAAAACTTGGAGAAAATTGTACTGAATCCAATTATGTAAACTGAAACCAATTACAGCTGAGATTAAAAGAAACTGCAAGATTTTTAACTTGATCTACAATAAAATGCTCATCAAGAGATTTTTGTTCATTATCTTGCTTGTAAAATAATCAAAGGTGCGAAAAGCAATTAGAGGCGCGAAAAAGCCTGACGTTGCTCAGGCACTTCCAGAAGCAGTTGCGGTTAGCCTTTGTTACCTCATGCCTGAAGTCCAAACGTTGCAAGGAAGTCAAGTGGAGGAAGAGAAAAAAATGGTTGCAAAAAAACTTCTTTGTACTTCAGCGCTAGAAAGCCAACGAAAAGTAGGCGACCAAGTCCCTTACTCGTTCCTATATCTATAAACAAGTGAAAATAACAGCTTATCCTTTTCCTCTTGTTCATTAGTGCAAAACTTAAAGAACCCTTCGGCATATAACCATGCTTAGCCGCTAAACCGTCTTTCAATATGCTTGAGCAAGAAAAGCTTTAACTTTATAAAAATAACTTTATAATAATACGGTTGAACTCTTGCAGCTGTTCCAAACGCGACTAAACCTACGAAGTAGTATGGAAACATAGTTTTTTTTTCCAAACAAGGGCTTTATACAACAGGCGGATGGATATGGACGCCGAAACTCAACAAAAGAGAGCCAAAGTATAACAGCGAGGAAATGGATACAGAAAGAACTAACCTGCAAATGAATTTCAGGCTGAAAGCTTCAAGAGATGCACATAATTCCAAGCTACTCTCCGCTGAAGCACATGGCACCTGAAACTCCGGACTTTCAGGAAAGGAGTATGCACAATTCGCCCAAGCTTTCTTTGATCAGAATCAGATAGAGAGATGCCAATAAAAGGGGGAGTTTCTAAAATTGATTGGAAGCACTAAGCACATACTACCATCTTTACTGCTTTCAACTGTGCATGAACATCTAAGAGCATTAACTTTTTGTTACCCGAATGCTTTTGCTTCAGCACACGAGGAAGCAAATGCACCGCATTAGAAATCACCTGCATGAAAAGTGCATAAGCAAATTGGATCTTTTTTCTGGGACTACTATGAAAGTCATAGAAAGTGAAGCTTTAGAAAGCAAAGAAAAAATAATATCGAGTCACTGGGAGCGAAATCAAAACGCTTATCGTAATGAAAATGATGTTTGACATGTGTGCACACTATGAACCTATCAATGAAGACTCCTCTATACAGCTTGTAAAAAGAAAAACAAATTGGTATTTATGTGAAGACGTATCAAGAACACGAGAACGTACGCACACAAGTTTTGAAAAAAGAAGGGATCGGCCATACTATTCCTGCTATTCCTACGACTCCTGCGATTCCTGCGATTCCTGTGAGTCCCGCACAGTTTAGACGCCGCTTAAATGAGCGCGTGTTGCGTGTTACGTGTTGTTTTACGCAACACGCGCTCATTTAAGCGGCGTCTAAACTGTGCGGGACTCACAAGAATCGCAGGATTCGCAGGAGTCGTAGGAAAAGCAGGAATAGTATGGCCGATCCCGAAGCTGGCAGAAGCGCAGACCCGACGACTTTACCAATCTACGCTCGAACGCAAGCGCGGACAACGTTGCGGCGACGCAATGGCCAGAAAAATCGTTAAAACCAGCTGCTTTCACTTTGAACTTTTCGAATTCTGAAATTGATGTTGCTTATATATCTAGATGTTGTTGCGGTTTGCCCTCCGACTCAATAATCAGTAATTTGTAATGAGAGTGTCACAGCTACGGGGCTCCGGCCCTCCTGATCGCTTTGCTCGGCCTTGCACTATTCGAGTATATATTAGGTTGCTGCATAAGTTCTGTCCGATTTGAATTTTTTGAGTTCAAAATTACATAACTTCTTTCAGAGTCAACTTTTTTCCAAGATCTTAGTTTTCATGTGTTGAGCAGTTCCTTGGCTATGAAACGCATATTGAGACCTGCGCAAATCCTTGTTAAAGAAGAAACAAGAATGCAAAAAATTCACAGCGTTTTCTTCGAATCTGTCTTTTTTGACATGGCAGTGCTCCCTTATGAGAATTGATAGGCATCTTGTCCAACAATGGATAGATAGAGAATTTTTCGTAGATTATTTTGCACTAGAAAAGAACCCATAGGGTTTGCGCTGCTGAGAGATTTTTTTGACCGAACAAAAAATTAGCCACTTTTTGACCTCGCTTCAGCGCATGTGTGCATGCCTATTTACGAATTATGAAAATTTTACAGTTGACGTGAGCGCCGAAAAGAAATTGGTGGATGGTATCCGGTAGCCCTTGCTTTACTCTAGCATCTCCAACTTTGAAGTCGTCGATTAATTCTATTCACAGAAAGTTATTGCTTGAGAAACGTCTAGACAGAAAATTAATGTTTGGCAATAAATTTTACTAGCAAGACGTTTTCTCCATGAAAATTAACCTATGCGTATGCTAGCCTGTTACACCCTTATTCCGAAACCGATTTAAAAACTTGACCTGAAGGGCGCATTCTCAGACTTTCGTTGCGTACCAGCGGCGTACCTAAATGGCTTTGCGTACCAGCGGAGTGCGATTAACGTACCAACGGGTTCCTTAATGCGCCCTACCAGCGGCGTACCGTCTTTTGGCGAGCGGCGTTCCATCAACCCAAGCAAGCGAGCGGCGTCCCATCACATTACCCCACGCTGTAAGCGTAAGCCGTACCCGCATGGGATACGACGCAATGGTTGGGCCGCCTCAGCATTTCAGTGGTTCGGTAACACTTCTCGGCACTTGACAAAGGAATAAGATTGAGTTGTTGTTCTGTTGTTGTTGTTGTTGTTGTTGATTGTTGTTCTTATTGAGTGACCTGATAACACCTCAGCTGGGTGTTGTAGGGGTGGCCCACAATCCCCGATTTCGATTCAAGGAAGCCATCGATCGAAATAGCAGGAAATTTTGCGCTGATTTCGGCTTCAAAAAATATGACGATATAGCAGTTTTCAAACCAAGTAATGCTGCAATTAGTACGTAATCAAAAGTCGGGTGAACACGCGGTTTGAAGGCGTACCCTCTTGGCGTACCAGCGGCGTACCATTCTCCTGCCAGCGGAGTTCCACAGCGTACCAGCGGCGTGCGACTGCCCTACCAGCGGCGTTTGCGTGCTGCCCTCAGAGGACAGTCGAACGCCGCTGGTACGCAGCGAAAGTCGGAGTTGTGGAGATTTCCTCGCAAGAACATATTTCTAGGGTGAGAACGTACCTCGACCACTTGGAGATTTTGGGCTGAAATTTCCTTACACTAAGAAATTTATTGAAATTTGATATGCTTTAGAAAGCGCAAGAAAAGCACTTAATGATACTAACAATATCGCATCAGAGATGAAATCCTCTTAGAGCAGCTGCTTTAAACATAAGGCAAAAAATTTCGGACAGAACTTATGCAGCAACCTAATACTACGCGCATTCTAGCAGCTTCGATTGCTTTCACCGTGGCAAAATGCCCAGCGCATACGTCCGCAACGCGACGCAACTCCGACCGACGCGGTCGTGAGGATCCGAGCTGCTGGAGGTGTGACTCATTGAGCCAGCCTCTATTTGTTGTAGACTTAGTCGAAGCTCCAGACTTTGTAGAGCACTCTTTCAGATCAACCAAGCAATCGAAATGGTAGAGAAGACTGTACCGCAGGGGTAAGTTTGCATTTACAGTGATAATTAAAGCTACTAAATTTACTCCTTTTCTTCGCTCTGGGTTCGACTCAAAAGCTTTGATATCACAAGGGTCAGACCCTTTGAAACACTGAAACGTTACGGGCAGATAAAATGGACCCTTTGGTTCATTTCATTTATTTTATTTTATTCATTTCATTAACGATTTAGTGTCGATTTTTGGTTCCTAGAGTGAGCCTCGTCACGCTTTTTCAACTGAGAATTCGCACAACCCAAATGCACATTCTTCTCCACCTTGCCGAAATCATACTTCTCATTTTCAGTTTATACAGGCAACTAAAGCAAATAAATAATTTAGGGTGGAAATCCACCCGACTGCAATCGTCTGTCGCGAAGCTACCTTGGAAGGTTGCGTCAGTATCGGCGCCGGCACAGTTGTTCATCCATTCGCTGTCATAAAGGCCACAAATGGTCCGATTATCATTGGAGAGAATAACATAATTGAGGACCGATCTCTTATTGAGAACATGTATGTTGAAAACTATTGACGAGGCGCACATTCTTATTCATATGGTTCAGATTGGAGGATGGCGATAAAATTATGCAGATTGGCAACCAAAACATCATCGAAGTAGGAGCAAGTGAGTTCTTGGATATACGTCAGTCCGCTTGGTCGATTTTTTGAACTTAACTTTTCTATAGTCTCGTTGGGTATCCTTCACTCTCATCCACATCATTTTTTGAGAAAGCCTATCGATTTTTTTTACTATGCGAATAAACGTTTTTATTTTCAGTCGTCCACTCTGCAACAATCGGTAACAATAATGTCCTGCACGTCCAGTGCGAAGTCAGCGAGAATAGCTGCCTCAGTAATGGTTGCTCAATAGGAGTCAGATGTAAGCTACTAGCAAAGGAGACACTTCCAGAACGGACTGTGATTTATGGAAAATTCAACGAGCGACGCGTTGCTAACGATAATCCACCGGTAAGTACATACACTCGTCCGTATACGCTTAGATCTGTGGCGCAGCGAGTTAGTCGAGGTGCGGCTATTGCTGTCTTCAACGACAGTGTCGCCGGCTCGTGCGGTTCGCATCTCGCGCGGACGCCTCGCTTGGGCATTACGCCGTGTCTGCGAAGTAAACTCCGGGCGTCCCACGTCGCCATCCTTCAGAGTAGCCTAGGCGCGTACGCAAAACCCAAGACCCAAGCGAAGCGTTTGCGTGAAACTTGGACCGCATGACGGTGCACTGTCGCTGAGATGGAATACCCCTTTTCCGTTTGCGTACGCAGCTAGAATAAGAAAGATGGCGCCGATCAGAGATCGCAACTCGCGCTTGCTCTATCACTGGGAGTATAACAAAAGTTTCTTCCTAAATTGTGCCTGCAGACTTCAACAAAAAAAGGACACATCTTTTTCAGGTCCCACAAGGTCAACTGGAAGTACTACGACGGCTACTACCTTCTTATCACTATCTGCAAAAATCGAAGGCGGCAGCTTGACCGCAATTATATTATTTACTAGCTGGCTTGCCCGGCTCCGCCGGGCCTGCCAGCTAGACCCGTGTACGTATGTTCCGAATAGAAATTTTTATCTCTGAACCGATTGGGACCGAACTTTGCACACATACACTTCGGGGCAGGGAGCGTGTCACAGCCCACTTTTCGTTATCGATCGATGTCGATTTTACCGATTTTTTGCAAAATTTGAGCTAGGGGGCTAGGATTTTGCACAGGGGGGTAATCGAGCATGCTGATCACCCCTTCGGGGTGATCAGCATGCTCGATTACCCCCCTCTGCCAAATCCCAGCCCTCTAGCTCGAATTTTGCAAAAAATCAATAAAATCGATATCGATCGATAACGAAAAGTAGCCTATGACACGCTCCCTGCCCTGAAGTATATGTGTGCCAAGTTTGGTCCCGATCGGTTCAGAAATAAAAATTTGTATTCGGAACATACGTACATACATACAGACAGACAGACATACAGACAGACATACAGACAGACAGACAAACAGACATTCAGCTTTATATATAAGATTTACTTCCCTATGTAATATTTGTAAACAGAAATAAATCTGAAGCTTGATGTGAGATAGTAGTATTTTCAACAACACAAAATCAACAGATAACAACAACAAACGACTATGCTGTATACAGATTACTCCTCCATGCCTTGCTCAGTATCGCTGCCATCCTCATAATTGCCGTCATCTGATCCATCTTCCATGTCATCGGCTTGAGATGAAGATGAAGGGGCTGTGGCTTTCGTTTTTCTCAAGGCTTTGACTTTTCTAGAAAATAAAAAGGTTTAGGGAGAGCGCACTTCCAACACTCTTGCTATCTGCTGCCTCTCCTATGCACAAACTATCTTAATGGGACGCAATAGCGTCCAGTCTGTGCATGCGATGAACAGCCTCGTAAAACGGACAGAAAATACATCGTATATTCAAGTATGAAACTAAACAAAATAAATTGATACTTCATACCTTGTTTGAATTGCGTCAGTGTTTTGTTTTCCTATGTGAACTCGGGCTAGCTGATTACCAAATACGTCCTCAGACATGTTCTTTCTTCGTTTGGCCTAAAATGCAAGATCTATTTAGCGTATTTAGACACAAAGAGAAATGTATAGGAAGGTAAAAAATGCGAAAAATTTAAGCAAGAGAAAGAACTTCTCGAAACTCACCATAAGCGCCTTTGGCTTTTTACATGCTGCTTTGAATAAATCATCACTAGCAAGTTTTGTTCTATCCACTTTGAAGTCAATCGATGGTCCCATTTCAAGGAGTTCCACTCTTGGAACATTGGTAGCGCTTTTCATCAGCAAAACTCTATAAACAAATCCATTTGCTTTATGGTGTGAGTCTCTCTCTCTCATTGTGCCGCTGTCGCATGGTACAAATCAAAAAAACTTTTGCGGGCTTTCGATGGCATGCAAAAACCGGAAACGCGTGTGAATGATTTGGCTATTTACGAGAACAGATGTTCATTCTAGAAGACACTTTGATTACGTGCTTCAAACGCTCCCATCGCTTGCTGCTTTCATATAAAACCAAATTGAGCGACCGAAAAGGAGAATGATTTGCTAGAAAATGTTGCCTTTTTAAGGAATGGTCATGAGAAGGCGTGATGGCTCAAATAAGCAAAATGAAGTCTGTGTAAGGAAATAAAAAAGTGGATCAATCAAAGTTCGGAACTAAATACGCCAAAATTGCCCTAGCCGTGCAAATTTGAAAAAAATCTAAAATGTTAAGCAATAGAGTTTACCTGTATACCCTCATATAGATCATATTCTCCTTGGCCGTGAATGAAATAAGCAGTTCCAATCCTTGCAATCGCACCTACAGTTGCTTCTGACTCATAATCGAATTCAAAGCCAAAGCAGTCTTACCATCTCGACTGTGGGACCTTTGAAGAAATCCACCAACAAATTACCGATCCTCTTCATGCTGGGATCAGATTCGAACTCTGGGCCTTCAAGACTGATGCATGGCTTCAATCCAACCATAGTTTTTGGAGTCTGGAAGTACAGCGTAAATATCATTCAGTAAAGTAAGTTACGGATTATGTTTGTATGGGGTTACCTAAACAAATACAAAATCAAAAACTTCAAAAGTTCAGGCAAGATAAAAAATGTTGATGTAACTATCAAACGGGAAAAGAGTTCAAAGGAAGACGTGAACTATTATAACCTGACTCAGTAACCTCGAACCGACCTCGAAATCTTTAGATGCCTTGAATTTGACAATGCTCAGCTCAGCCATGTCCAATATGTGTCCATCATGAGTTCGTCCAAATATGAGACTGTTTGGTCGCTTTTTCGACGAAGAACCGAACAGAAATAACGATGCATCGTACTTCTCACCGAATTTTTCAACTGGCGTCTCATCATCAAACAAATGGAATGCATTATGTCTAGAAATATAGTCTTACCTAGTGAAACAATACTGCAGATTGAATCCTACCTTTTCAACTGTTGTACTAATGGTTTCTTCAGCATGTAAATATCCATCATGGCATCCGCTACAGTTTGGTTGGTTTTTGAACCTTTTATGATCAATGCAGTCTTGTCATTTTCTACCGTTTTTGGAGCACGATCGTCCAAAATGCGTTTACCTTTCCTCGTCTTTATCCGGTCGACTCGCATATTCTGTAAATATAATGAATTAAATAACTGTGTAGCCACTCCCACACAACTTTTGCCGGAGAGAACAAAAAAACAACAACTGGGAAGCGCTTGTGCGGATTCCCTTCCGTCAAACAAGTTAGATATTCTGTAGTGCGACCTATGCACTTGAGAAGACGGAACACCTTGACAAGGCGACTCTTGCTATTTCATCGACCGCTGCTTTCAGCGTGGTAAAGCACTAGTGCTGTTGTGCCAGCCTTATAAAGCAGAGGATACTATATTCCCAAAACAATGCGGAAAACGGCAGGAACAGTTGGTGAACAAAGGCATGCATGCGCAGGTTGACGCAGTAGATATTCCCAACACGGGATATCTGCTTTTAATAATCAGAGCGGTTTGGGAAACAGATGAGAGATCTTTATGCCCTAGAACATAATTTATCAGTTGACATGAGTGCTCTTGCGCTGCCAACTGCGGGCTAAAAATGCCTACAGGACGCAGAAGTTCACAATTTGCAGTAACAGCCAGGTTTGAGCTGAAATACGGTATCCACAACAGGTCTAGTAAGCTATACATCTCCAATCCGATGATTTACAGATTTTACAGGCCCCGTAAAATCCAACCGCCCACGCGTCCCTTTGAACACCAACGCGCGGCGCGGCTGGAAACGTTTGGTCCCGAAGCGTTACAGGCTTTTTGCGAGCAACAACTCAGACACTGGGACCGGCCGAGCCGCGGCCCATTTCCGGCTGGAATTTCGCAGCGTCCGCGGACCAGCCGGTGAATGGTCCGCGGCTCAGCCGGAAAACGGCCTCGGCTCAGTCGGAAAACGGCCGCGGCTCAGCCGGAGCTGGTTGTCGGGCCATCTAGTTCATTCTAGCTCGGATACAAAACGACTGTTTTTTTTATTCGGTGGCACGTAAAATATACGCTGTGAAAAACAAAAATTGAAGCCACAGACATGGCCGCTTCGGAAACCATGTCCGGCTTCAAAATTGGAGAACACAAAGTGCTATCCAGGTGTTGTACAACATATTCAGGTGCTGTACAACATATTGGTCTTGTTCTCGCCTTGGAGACTGGAAAAACAACGGAGGCTATGGACACTGAGGGCAGCCTGACCATGCGTCGTACATCACGCAAGTGTTCTTTGCGCTCAGATACTAGGACCGGCCGAGCCGAAAATGGGCCGCGGCTCAGCCGGTGTTTCGTAATAGAGATTTTGGTCCGCGGCTCAGCCGGTGCAATCATATCGACATGAATTAAGGTCCGCGGCTGGGCCGGTAAGCCATATTCGGTCCGCGGCTGGGCCGGTAAGCCATATTCAGTCCGCGGATCAGCCGGTGCAATCATATCGACATGAATTAAGGTCCGCGGCTGGGCCGGTCTTCGGCCACGCCCCCAAATTAAGGCCGCGGACGGGCCGGAAAGGCCTTTTGAGGCCGCGGCTCAGCCGGTCCCAGTGTCTGAGAATGAGTGCGCACCCTTTCCACACATATTTTTCAAACTTGTGAAGAGAGCTTTCGTCAAGATATACCTTGTTGACGAGGACAACATGAAAGCTAAAGAAAGATTTCCTGAAATATAGTGAACACCGAGAGTCGTTCGCGACGACCGCTCGCTTACGTTGGTCTAGGTTTTACGGCGCCTATAGATCTCCGCCAAATGCGCATTTGTGCAACTGCACACTAGCCGTCGAAATCTACTTGCCTTTGGAGTGTGAACTATGCCGTTCCACGTTCATACTCTTTGATGTGTAGTGTTCATAAGTCAAGGGAAAAACGCAGTAGCCTCCCAAAATAGTTAACAAACAAACATATTTTGATTGCCGTCGAGAATAAATCCTGTCAAAGTGGGCTGAAGTTCTAAGAACTTAAAAGAAAGAAAACCACTTTATACACGCACATTTTGTGAGATGAACGCGTACTTTTACAATATTTATCTAGTACATAGTTACTATCAGACATTTATACAGATTGTGAGGATAATCTCATCTAATTCCTTAATATTAACATTCTCAAACTTTCACTATATCGCTCTCATATCTGTGATTTTATCGTTCAGAGCACAGTTTCACTTGACTTTTGCTGGAGCTTTCTGAGCCGGCCCGGTTGATGGCTTCTTTGCGCCTCCAAGCGCTGCATCCACTTTTGCCAGTTGTTTCTGTTGGGCAACTGTCGGTCCTTTAGGATTGGGTTTAGCTGTCACTGGTCCAGGTTTAGCTGCCGCTGAAGGAGGTGGAGGTTTTGCTTGAGATGCAGGAGGTTTGGCTGGCGGAGGAGGAGGAGTAGGTTTTGCTTGCGATGCAGGAGGCTTCGATGGTGCTGGGGGAGTGGCCTGCGGTGGTGCACCAGGTTGCCCAGCTGTAAAAATAGATGTAAAATAGATAATTGAATTTGCAATATAATCTCTAGCCCAATCGCAGTGTCCCGTTCATTCGGCATGTCCTTTTCGCGAGTCGCGCGGCATTCAAAGTGGCGTCATCTAAGGAAGGCCGACGCGCGACGCGCTCGCGTTACGGATGCGTAGCCGCCTGCGAAATGGTCACTGCGACTGAAATAGACTGTAACTGAGCTGCTTACGTTGTGGCAACGGTTTCAATGCTGAAATATCATCGTTGTCATCATCGCCGCTAAGTGAATCATCTTCTTCTTTACGGTCACGATACATCATCAGTACTATCTTCCTCTAAAGCACAACACTTTTTTGATCTTTGATTTTTGGAAAGTTAGTAGTACATGCCTGCGGAGCTGGTACGAACTCCTTCTTCACTATAACATTTGTGATGACCTCCTTTTCTCTGATGACTTGCTAAAAGTTGTTGGAAAAATCAAAGCCGAACCGTTCAAATGCTATTGATTGAGATAGGATTTCTTTACTAGAGTGACGTTGTTGTTCTTATACCAAAAATTTTACACTGTATAAATTGTCTCCTTTTCTTCTTCATCTTTTAATGCTGATCTATAGGCAGTTCATCGCATGCAGAGACTGGACGCAAATGCGGACCCTGTCGCTTTTGTCTCTAACCTCCTGCGTCTCTCCCAAATACAAACTATCTCAAAACACCATGGCGTTCAGTCTCTGCGTGTGACGGACTGTCTTGCCAAAGCCTAAATCAACTTAAAAGTTTATGAAATCTTTATAAACTAACCTTATCCTTTGTTGCTGAGGTTTCCTTACCCTGTCCAGCAGCACCACCTTGACCAATCAGTACAGCAGTCTTAGCTTCTGTAACCTTCTCTTTCGAGGCTCCCTTTTCTTTTGATGCTCCCTTCTCCTTGTCTTTATCTGCTCCTGCTACTATGATCTGTTTCTCCACATACTTCTCCTTTTCGTGAATAATCTCCTTGTCCTTTCCGCCTTTGTCGCTTTCCTTCTTCCTCTCTCCAGCTTTCTCCGCCGATTTGAGTTTCTCTGCCGAAACCTTCTTTTCACCCTTGTTCTCCTCTTCGTCTTCTTCTTGATCATTTATGCCAAAGAAAAGTATTTTGAATTTTTTCTTTTGCACATCACCTTCGCACAGTTTCTGAAGTTTTTCTCAAATTACTTACTTTCATTGTCCATACTGAACTTACTTCTTGGTATTTCTGCATCTTCCAAACCTTTTCTACATTGACAGTGGCAGATGGGGATACAGCAGTTACTACAGTGAATCTAAATTCTATTTTTGAGACAGTTTCGTGCTGCATAGGCGATTCATCGCACGCAGAAACAGGACGCCATTGCGGGAGCGGTTCTGCATCTCTGCGTCTACCGTCTCTTCAAGCCCGTACTATCTTAGGGTTGTTTCAGACTGCCGCACTGACCGCAGCAGACTGCAGCAGACTGCAGCAGACCGCAGCTGACTGCAGCTGACTGCACTGACCGCAGCTGACTGCAGCAGTCTGCATGACCGCACTGACCGCACTGACGGCAAGGGCCGCAAAATCGATGTGTCCTTTCGTAAAGGTGGAGAGGATAGATACTTGTAGCCCAAATAATGAACAACGATATATGCCTAAACATAAAAGACAACACGAGCGAGAGTGAAACAACATACGCATTAACAGGAAGAATCAGAACAAATATGAGCATACCAAAGAGGAACATTCGCCAAAATTTGATTGAGAAGAGTAAGTTGAAGCCTATGAACTTCCTAGGCGCAAATGACGGTGTTTTGACTTGGTTGCAATTGTTTTCTCTTTTACGAAACGAGCAACGATCTGTGCGGCCGTTGCGGTCAGTGCGGTCAGCTGCAGACTGCTGCAGTCTGCTGCAGTCTGCTGCGGTCAATGCAGTCAGCTGCAGTCTGCTGCAGTCAGTGCGGCAGTATGAAACAACCCTTAAGGCCCGGGCATACTTCACGCGATTCCAGTCGCGACGCGATTTGGCAATTCGCCAGAAGTCTTCAGATCCGACATTAGCAAACTGCACATGCATAGTATGTATAACTTACGTAAACTGATGAAATGCCCTATCTTCTGTACATTTATGTGCTTTCAATGAGTTATGATTTATAATGTGCTTTCAATGAGTTATGATTTATAATGTGCTTTCAATAAGTTATGGACACCTGGAATATTGCCAAATCGCGTCGCGATTGAAATCGCTTGAAGTATGCCCGGCCCTTTAGCCACGCAACAATGTCTGGTCTCTGCGTTTGTCGAATCTCCCATACTTCATCGTTACCTTTCTTTTCTTGGCGCTTCCTGTCCTGGTTTCAAACCTTTGAAAATTAATTTAACCGTACACTAAAAAAGGCATTGAAAGCAGCCAATTTTTCAGCCAAATTCAACTGCCCACTTTTTCAGTAGGTTGAATTGCGCCATAGACAGGTCGCATTTTGAACATTCCTGGTCGTGTGCTCTTCATTTTGAACATATAAGTTTTGTCTGATTCGTTGGTAATTGTCATTTCAGCCATTTGTTTGGAACAATTTGGCATAAAGGTCACCTGAATGTGTCACATTGATATGAGCCAATGGCAGTAGTTTGGTGGAAAGACCCACACTTTTCGATGGCACAAAAATAAGTTTCTCTTTGTCTTTGTCGGCGACGTCGGCCACCGCCATCCGGTCGAGTAGGTTAGTAATAAATGAACAATACCCATATATGCTCACATTTGGCATGTGTATTGACTTGATAATCTGTAAGTATGTAAACAAATGAAGGACCGAGTCACTAGGGTGTGGTTCATAATTGTACGAAACTTCAATTAGCGAATTCTCTCTTTTTTGGAAAATTGATCACCGCTGGGGCTATGCAGTGTTGATTTGGGAAGAAAGTTTTTTCTTCAAGTGAAATCCAACAATTTTCAAAGTCTGAGCCTAAATTCATGCTTTTGTTCTCTGACAATAGAATTTTGACGCTTATGACTTTGATTTTCGTTGGCTAGTCTTGGAAGACCACAGTTTTAGAAAATAGCACATTGATTTTGTGACAATATAGTAAAACGCAAGAAATCAGCGCCGCTCGAATGCCTTAATTAATCTGTAAAAGTCTCTTACATAGCAATAGCATATCTTACTCTAGCAGCTTTTGGTCTTTGAAAATACAAAAAAAAGAAAATTGGGAAAGCGTCATATTTTCAGGAAAGATCCACTCAATGCTACATCTATCTATTCGTAGTAACACAGCTCTAGACAGCTCTATATTCATTAGTGCTTACCCGAAAGTGGTTTTTCAGAAGTCGTATTTTTTGTAAAAAAGGTAGTAACAAGGGAGTTTTCGTGCAAATGTCCACAACTTTTTGTTCTTACGTTTTTGTGCGAGATTAAAGCCTGCGTCAAGGATGGATTACTACTATGTAAAAAATTTTTCTTACATTTATTATTACTTATTACATAGGAGTACCTATGCGATGAAACACAGAGGTTTTTAACTTTATATTTTCTAACAACACATTTGGGGTAGGCTAGAGCTAGCCACTCTAGTATTTTCCTGGACCAGAGCTAAGATAATGAATTTTGGTAGCCGTTTTTAGAAGTTTGATTCTCTAAGGCTAGCCAACAAAGAACCAAATCGCTCTCATAAACGCATACCTTTACCTATTATTTGAATACAACATGGTCTGTTAGTTTTTTTTGATTTACATAAGAACCTTCCAACCAATACGTAAAAGAATAAAAGCGGAAGAGATAGTCCTAACAAAGATATAAACCCTTACAAAAAATTGTAACTAATGCAAATTTGGCTCATGATCACACGAATTCCTTAGCCTAAGGACCTTACAAGGGAATGGTCAGACATCGAAGTGGCCAAATCAAGCAAACTGCACACCATTAGATGCAGCATTGAACGCTGACTCTAAATCTGTCTTCCTTATCTGCAGAGCGCCTTTGTGGACGAAATTATAAGCCGTTGAAGGTCATTATTTTGCCAAGAAATTGTGCGTGTAAAGTGCAAAATTGGCCGTAGAAAGCCATTCTCGGCTCAGTGTTGGACCAAAACATGCAACTACGTTACTTCATATGACCCGTACCTAGAGGTGAGCTGAAAGAGCAATACTATGCCAAATTTCGCAATTTTTGTACACTATTTTTTCGCTGTTAAGCTGCTCATAACTTCGCCTACAAATGCGCTCTGCAGATATGGAAGACAGACTTGAAATCGGCGTTTTATGCTGCATCGAACGGTATGCAGCTTGTTTGGATTGGCCACTTCGACTTCTGACCATTCCCTTGTTAGGCAAGGTTTATCTTTTCCACCCATTGGAGCATTCGAATTCCTCCACGACTGCAAAACAATTTGTACTATCATCGGCCTCCAGATTTGTGTGGGGGTGGAGTCTTGCCAACTCACCACGTGGCGGTTTTTGCTAGCGAGAGAGTACGAAAAGCATTGCTGAGGTGGAGGTTTAACAAGCCTACCTGTGTTATTAGGCAAAGTCTGCAATACACCTCCACACGAATCTGGAACCGATCATATGTAGTAGCTGATCATCGGATTTGGAAAAGGAGAGTTTCTGTCTTTTTCTATTGCCTGGATCTGAACCATGAATCAGCTCCGCACTTGGGAAATTTCTTAGCTACGACTGCTTCACCTGAAAAAAATTTTGATGGAGTAGATCACATTGGACGGTAAGTTTGTCGCGAGTGCAAGGAATTCTCACATTCGTAAATATGGGTATTGCTCTACTGTTGTGAACATATTTCGTTATCGAGCTGGTTTCTCATTTGCCTCTGACAGTGGCGAATCGCCGATCACAGTGCGATCACAGTTTGGGGAAAAGGGCTGGTAAAGGCTAAAGGTTTCCCGAGCGCGCTTACAAAACCTCCTTGCCATCTTTGCCTTGCCGTTGGAATAGTGACTTAGTTAAAGCTCCACAATCAGCTCCCACTCAAAAGCTTTCCAGCCCCATGGGGCCAAGCCCTTGTCAGAGTTGCCGTCAATTTGTTTGTTAGGTGTGACTACAGACCATACGTAAATTTTTCACGACTAGATTTGAAACGGCATCTGTAGATGCCGTATATATACAGATGCCGTTATATACATAGTATGTTTCCAATGTTGATAACGCATTGTATTCGTTATTTCGAATGTTCCACCATCGATCGAATATCATGATGGAGCTCAGCACTTTTAGTCTTTTATCGTATACGCAAGTTGTGGTGGATTTAGGTTGTGTAGGACGTTTATGGACCTTTCGGTTTGTATCTAGATAGCTTTCGAATTGAGATTTTGCCGTAAACAATCGTATTATCGTCTCTTCACTGAACATCAGCTTTGCCCAACGTCTCATTATTGATCTATATGTGATGCAACGACTTGTTCACATTTTTGCACGCCATTTGAAACAAGTAATCGACGTGATTTAAATCGAAGTAAAGCGATTATGGATGTGTGGACTAGTCAAAGTCCTAACAACTTTTCAGATTTCTCTTACATACCAAACCACCTAAGCTTTCAAGATGGCTATGGCAGCAAGAGGACGCAGTTCTAAACTGCCACCCGAGGTGGGTTCCCTTCTTTGTTATTTCTCACTCTCTTGCTATGTTTAATTAGTGAATGCTGTCAGAATTTTTTCTTACACTTAGTTGTTTTGCAGGTTAATCGAATTCTTTACATCAAGAATCTACCTTACAAAATCACGTCGAGCGAAATGTATGAGATCTTCGGAAAATTCGGCGCCATACGACAAATCCGAGTGTGAGTGTTTGACATCGTTTGATTTATCCTCATCCTCTAGTTCTCAGACCATTTACATTGCTTCCTCGAAATCTTTTCGGCCTTGATCTGACCATTATCGTACGTTTGAGCTATTTACGACCTTGTCAATCACGAGTGATATCGTTGAAATGCGCTTATTCAAAATATACGAATTTTGGCGAGTTGTCATATCCCTAGTTAGAAGCCTCGTATGCACCACGTATACGGGAAAAAAATGGTCCGCGCCTGAAATGCTGTGCGCAGCGTTGTTTTTTGTGAGTTTATTCATTATTTGTTTATTTCAATGCGCCAAACAGTGTTTTTTTGATTCTGATCGGAGCGGAATCATAGATGAGGCAGCGTGAGTTATTATTACTGCAATATCAACTTGTATGAAACTCAGGTCTTGAACGACGTACTGTCTTCATAAAAATTACTTCGTTCCAGAGGTTCTACTAATGAAACTCGTGGTACAGCTTTTGTCGTCTACGAAGACATTTACGATGCTAAAAACGCCTGCGAACATATGAGTGGTTTCAATGTTTCGAACAGGTACGTTCCAGCAATTTGTCTATAAGTTTCGTTGACTCTGAGTTTTAGGTATCTTGTTGTCCTTTACTACCAAGCTACAAAAGCTTACAAGAGGATGGATACAGAGAAGGTAACAAAATATTTTATTTCGATTTATTTATCTCACACTGAGCTTGATTGTGACAGCTGAGGAAACATAGTCTTTGAGTGATGTTTAATTGAATTTTTGTCGATCAGGGTTTTTGCCCTATACACATTTGGATGTACAACAACTTGCATCAGGGGCAGTGAAACACCCTCTTTTTTAACAGTTCGAGTATTTTCTTATTGGGTTTGTAGCATAATACCTATCATATACAACACTTGAGACGTTTGCTCAAATTGAGGGAAAGAATGTGCTACTTTATACACAGTCAACAATTTTGCTAGGGCGCAGTTCACACATAATTCACGAAAGCTGTAAACTATGTCTTCTACGAACTGTAGGACCATTTAGGCAGGAATTTGAATCTGACTTTGAAGCCTTATGCATTGTGCGATAGGTTTTAGGCGTATTATTGCATCCGCTCAATCTCCAGGATATCACTATTCAGTAATGTGATGATATCAGGCGATTAAGACGCGCGTCTAAAGTTTCAACATCATAATGGTTTTCTTGTTACTTACTCCAGTAATGCTTTAGGCCAAAGAGCGTCTGGAAGAAGTGAAGGAACGTTATGGCATTGGCGGAGATCTGACAAAACAGAAGATGGCTTACACTCCTACTCCTCGACGATAGAATTCGGTGAAAGTGTGAAAGTGGCATTGTTTTTACAATTATCTTGTTTTATGTTGTGGTTTCGATCTCATAAAAGTAGTGGGGTGGCCACATGTGCATGTAATGTTCCTACTTGGCATTAAATGCTAATTTCACAAAGAACTTGTTGCCATTTCACCTAAAATTGCAAGTGCTGGTGATTTTACCCTTATGCTAATTTTTTTACGCCGCCAACATGTCAAGCGTGTTGATAATGCGATCCTAGGTTTTCTCTTGCCCCCCCCCTCCTTCCCGCCCCTCATTCCCACGCTTTTGCAGTAAGTTGCGTCAACGAATGTCAGATACCTCAAGAATGCTAATAGAACTTCTCCAAAAATCATACGTTAGAGGAAGAAAAATGTGCTTACAATCTGGGAGATAAGCAAGTAATTAGTGGAGGACCTGGAGGGGGGGGGGGGGGAGAATGATTTGTGAAGTTTTTGAAATTAACTCAAATGGTTATAAAAATTTCCGAGACTTGTTAATTTATATTAGGTCATTCCGAAAGTAATTTCGCTTTTTTCAAACGGACGCCACATGTGATGAAACAAAGATTTCTAAGAGAACTTGGTAGCATTCGATGCAGAATTTCTTCCTCTTTCTGATGAGCATAAAAATATTGCAGCACAGTCAATGAGCTTTTGAAAAATTACGAAAGTCTGCGATCCATGCTTAATGAGATGCTCAAGTTTCCTAAGTTTTTTAAATTTTTACATCAACCCTCCGAAGAAGCTCAAGTAACGATTCGATAGAGCATACCTCATAGGATATCGCCTGACTTTTTTCTCGTTTTTATATCTCGCCATAGTTTCTTAAAAGATTTATTATTGAAACCATCGAATTTTGACAGGCCTACGTCAGCCAAATTCGCATCAAACACCAGTAAGTCTTCGGAATTTGAAACTTCCAAGATGGTGTTATGATTCAAGACCAATTTTGCAAAGCGAATGGAGGTTTACGGAATCGAAATATCTAATTTCGAATTTTCCGGGTACAGCCCAGATTCGAAAATATGAATCATGATTATTTTATACGCGAAAACTTCACGAAGGGGAAACAAAAAACGTCCATTAGAAAAAGGATATCAAGTTGCATCGAATGACACTCGAGCTGCCAAGCGTTTGATCTTTGGTAGCATCAATCAAAATTCTGTTGACAAATTTTGAGGAGTTATGGAAGGAGAAAAAAATCGTTTTGTACCCTGTAGGGTTTGCTCTATCGAATCATTACTTGGACTCTTTTGGAGGATTGATGTACACATTTATAAAAATTGTGAAACTTGAGCATCTCAAAAAGCATGGGTCGCAGGTTTTGGTTATTTTCCGAAAGCTCAATGATTGAGCTGCAAAGAGTTCACCACTGTTAGAAAGAGAATGAAATTCTGCATCGAATGCTACCAAGATCTCTTAGAAATCTTTGTTCCATCACATGTGGCGTCCTTTAGAAAAAAGCGAAATTACTTTCGGAATAACCTAATATAAATATTTGAAATATTAGGTTGTTGCAAAAGTTCTGTCGTTTCATTTTCAAAAATTTGTAACTCCGCGAAATTTGAACGGATTTGCTTGCTTGTAATTTTACTAGAAAGAATAAGTCTTTCTCTTTCAAATGCTGTTTTGCGGAGCTTCTGTTTCACATTGGGTGCGGAGATAAAAATGGAAAACTAAGAGCATGTAAACTTTGACCATTTTAAGTTAGGTCACCAAAAATCTGTAATGCTGCAGAAAAATCTGAAATCGTCAGTACATATGTTTTTTGACCTACCCTTTGCATCTGTGAAAAAATTGTGTGTTTGGACGTCTCTGTGAGAAGTTATGATTTGTGCGAATGACAAATTAATTAATTTTGGCGTTTTCCATAGTAAACTCGTTATTCATAACTTCTCATAGAGACGTCCAAACAGCACAATTTTTTCACAGATGCAAAGGGTAGGCCAAAGAACATATGTACTGAGGATTTCAGATTTTTCTGCAGCATTCCAAATTTTTGGTGACCTAACTTAAAATGGTCAAAGCTTATATGGTCTTAGTTTTCCATTTTTATCTCCGCACCCAGTATGAAACAGAAGCTCCACGGAACAGAAAGTTTGAAAGCGAAAGACTTATTATTTCTAATAAAATTACAAGCAAGCAAATCCGTTGAAATTTCGCGGAGTTACAAATTTTTGAAAATGAAACGACAGAACTTTTGCAATAACCTAATAATTTCAAAAACATTTTGGAAATTAAAATCAGCCATGTAAAGAATTTTTTGGGGGATTGCCGCCACGCCCCCTTTTTCTACATTTTAGGGGTTATGGACCCGAAAAAATTCTGAGAAGTACCCCAAAAATTTTTTCGGAGTGCGCGGCTGATGCCGCCGCCGCTTTATTTGAAAAAAAAATTCTCACCCCCCCCCCCTACCCGGACGGGATTGAATCCTGGAACCGCCTCTACAAGTAATGGATTGCTCAAAAAGCTCCGAAAATAATTTTGTGTGGATTAGGTAAGTAAAATTCTAAAGATTCGGTTCTGCTGTCCTGTGGTCGCCGAGGATGGATGGTAAGGATATCAACTGACAAGAGAGGACATCATTTTTGGTTTGATATTGACGTTTGAGCTTTAACTTGCCTAATGAATTACAAACATGAAATGGGTAAGATAACAAGTAGGAAAAATTCGGAAATAGAAAGCAATTCATTTTAGTCGATATAATTGGTTATTTCATAATTGATTTGAATTCTAGCGGTAGTTGAGAAATACTTTTGCGACTTATGAGTATTTGGCACAACATGTTTGAGTGACAGTACTGAAAGACATTCATCTCGTTTTTAGAATTCAGAACGCCTTAGGTTATGATAATAGTCTTTTGTTCGATCTACGTATGCGATACCATTTTTTGCAAGGAGAAGAAATGCTATTCATAGAGTGCAAAGAGTGTTTGGTCGAAAAACTTACTTTCCACCTTTCGCACAGATATTTCTGCGAACAAGATCATTTTAGCGCCTTCTACAACGATGATAAAAACTTGCTTAAGCGCATACATTGAAAATTCGTTACTAAAGTCAGGGAAAGGCTGCATTAAACAGGTTGTATAGTGGAGTGCCCAGACGATTGTGTATGAATGTTGCACTCAGGAGCAGTGAACTCGAAAAAATTTAATGCGACTTTGGCAAATTTAGATGCGATGCTAGAAACCAAAAGCTGGGACTTACAATTAGAGCTCAAAATTTTGTAACTCACTGGAGACGGAATGAGACAGCCCGAAATATACAGGATAGGAAGTATGAGGATGTTGCGTAATACGGCAATATTGCAGCAAACAGGCTTCCATAGCTGCGAAGAAATCATGCGACCCAGATACCCCTTTTTTCATTTTTGTTGCCATACATAAAATTATAGGATCCGCAGGTTACGAATATGACCAGATTTTGCACAAATGTATAGCATCTTTAAAGCACAGATGAATGCGAGCCCGTGAAAAACATTGCAAAAATATTATAAAATTATTGATGGTCATCGCTAGTAGAGATATTCGCTTTTGTTGTATGTGTGAGACTTCAGTGATCCTTCGAAAGCAGACCTGTGCCAGTTGGTAAATTCAGAAACTTTGTCACACATACATGCTTTAAATAAAGTTCGAGCTTTCAAAAGTATTATTTTCGAATTTTTAATCATTTTAGAGACCAGCAGGTTCGACCCCGTAGGCGGCCTTATTTTTTTGCAGGGAGAAGAAATGCTAATCATGGAGCGCAGGGAGTGTTTGCTGCTGAGAAACTTATTTTTCACTTTTCGCACAGATTTTTCTGCTACAAAATCTTGGCACCTTCTAGAACGATGTCAAAAACGTGCTTGAGCACAGTACTTTGAATTTTGTTTTCATCAATACATTAGCACGCAGCATTTAGGAACTCATTGTGAAGAACATGTACCAATTGTCTGCTAATTGGGTTCCTTCTGAACTTACGGTTAGCAAGGCTACCTCCTCTCAGGACCCCTCACCCCCACCTCAGGCACCCCTTTACGACCCCCGTTGCGACAGTCGCGTCAACGGATAAGGATAAAGATAAAGACATGAAAATGAAGGCTGCCGGAAGTGCGTGCATGTCGCGCGCGGTCGTGCCATCGTTACGATTTTTCGAGTGCTTAATACACTGGTGACTGGGAAGCATCGGAGCAGCAAAAGTGTAGTTGGCTCCAGTTGGCTTCTTTTACTCGACTTTGTTCAGTAGACGAAGCTTCTCGAAGGGTAGTGCTGGAAATATAATGCTCTGGGAGGCAGAAGGCTTTTAACGGCGTATTTTGAAGCTATGCTAACTGCCGGAGCATCGGTTGCCTCCATCCGGTGGCATTTACGGTTGCAGGCTCACGTCTCCGCAGTCGCCTCAGGTCCCTTTCTTCGTTGACTCGTTGCCTGCTCTGCACCTATATATAGTGACAGCGCTCTAGTCTGGCGCTTTGTGGCGTCTTTGCTGATTTTATGTTGTATTTTCGAACTAGATCTCAGCTATATGCTCCTATCCTAGAGCAGTTAAGCCTAGGGCCATTCACAGATCGTTTGGAAGCAGGCTAGACTTTGTTTTCACGGTCAAAAAGCAAAGTGGATATCGTTTCCGTGGGTAAGCACAAGAGAAAAAGCGAGGTTGATGTTTTTTAGTCGACATTTCCGAAAAAGGTCAAAGGGAACTTCGAAACTTTGCGGAAGTCAGCGGGACTCCGTTTCAAAAAGCCTAAACGGACTCATGCCGGGCCCTGGTTGAGCCTGATACTTTCGGGATTGGAGAATGTTCTGGATTGGGTAGTTCGTGAGGATAGTTGAACAAAGAGAGCAGGAGAGGCAGACATGCCGTCGTTCCTTAGCCTCGCGCGGTGGATTTGTTGCATGGCCCCTCGAAGTTTATATGTTCAGAAATGAAGCTGTGGCCGCGCATTGATAGCATAAGATGGGCGCCCGTTTTCAGCTTTTCAGATATAAGAGTAGTAGTGCGTTTATACGTAGTGTTATTAGGTTAACACGTTGACGACGGTGTCGCGCAATGGTGCGCGACAGGCAGTCTGTCCCTGTGGACGATGTCGCGCAATGGTGCGCGACACCCTAAACATCAGTTTTAATGTGCACAATGGTCCCAATTTGTGTTCATATAATTAAGTTAGGCTCGAAAGTATTTCATTTTGGCCCCCCCCCCTTTTTGGCAAACTCCGCCCACTCCATTGCCCTCTACAAAAAACTTCCTTCGTTCTCAAATCACATAGAAAAGCTCATAGATGATAGGGGAACCTCAAATAATCTTAATTTTGACCCCGTTCCCCGAAATGCAGGCTCCACCCCCTCAGTGTCAAGCTCCGCCCACTTTTCAAAAATGCCGGAATTTGCGCGAATTCGTTGATTTTGAGCAATTTCCAGCATTTTTGAGAAGTGGGCGGGGCTTGCCAAAAGTGGGCGGAGCTGCCCCGCCCACTTTTGGCATTTGTGTATCTCACGCATAGATGCATGCATATACATGTGCAGCCTGCTGTGAAAATGCCCGGAAACGGTTCGTCCACAGGGACAGACCTTCAAAAAATGGCTCGTCGTCAACGTGTTAAGTTTAGCGTCACTAGGAAAAATAATACGATAGTGTTCCTTTAGTCGCGCGTTAGGTACGCAGTGGATTAATTACGTCGTTATATCGGGCAAGCACTAGGCCTCAGTTAATAACTGTGTCGAGAGCCATGCAAAGTATTGTTTGTACTGGTGATGAATTTGTGGGTGCGACTTTGAAAGAGGATTGAAGATGGTTGCAAAGTTAAATGTCAAGGGAGCACAGAGACAGTTGTGTCGCTGCCTTAAGCCTTGTCGACGCGGGATTTATTTGAATGGCTGCTCCTTGAAAATCTTTGCATTTGAGATCAAGATACAAGCAGTATCATGGATATGCAACTCGTCCCATGTTCCCCAGTAGCAGTGCCAACACTAGTAGAATTTCCCTTTTTCACCTGTAGCTATTGTCATTAGGATGAACACTCTTTTGCAACCCGGAGCAGGCGAAACATCCTAAGTGGAGCAGCGCGTCCGCACCGCCACTGGCTCAGCGAGATAGATTAGAATGAAGAGACGCAGACTGCAAAGCGGCGCGAACCGTTGCAAAGCGGTTTCGCGCCAGTCCAATTTCCACCTAAACTGAGTTTACATTAATATATCTCATGTCTTGTTTGTCCATTGGGTCTGCAGTAGGCTAAGTCGAATCGTTTATATCGGGCATCCATAGGATAATTTCATATCTGGTAGTTAAAGCCTACCGAGCCACATCGACTCTGATCATTTTCACCTGAGATGGGTCCCCATAAAGTATGAAAGATGCTTAAATAGCACTTCATAGTGCTTTTGCTTTATAGTAGAAAATAGGTGACTGGTTCTGATCTTACAAGGATTGTTGTCGCCAGAATCCTCGCTTCTCATAGAATTTTAGGTTATGTCGCATTTTGCGGCGCAAATGTTGTTGCAAATGCCGGCATATCAAATGTTGTTTGCGCAGCGTCCGTTTTGGACGCTACGCCTATTTGTATTATGTCTGATAAGGATAAAACAGTCTACCACTAACCACCTTCGACGTACGCAAAGCGTGCTCGTGCCTCTTAGCCAATGGTACAGTAATGGTGTTTTGCAATTCTCTAGGTCCCAAAACACAAATATAGGTGTTTATAACAATTTATCGCAGTTGATGACTTTTGAAAAAGAAAACCAATTTTTTCATTTGTACGTAGGCTTTGCGATAGCATCATCATCTGGAAAGAAAGTTACAGAGAATGGAAGTCATTGTAAAATCAAAGACAATTACATTACAAATGCAGACCTGGTATTAGGGTAGTTCACAAAGTGGACCATACTTGGTGCCATCATTGGAACAGACTCCACCTTTCATTGCCTTATTGCAAGGAGCATCTTTCTGACAACCTTTCTTATTGCTGGAATCAAGGTTGTAGAGGGCTTCACCTTCCTTTGGCCTAAAAAAGGTACAAAGGAAAGATCGCTTACACTTTACCAAAGATTTCGTCATGAACAGCTGTTCTTGAGATTTCTGCGGGTTTTTGCAAGAAAAAAGCTTTCGAATTTCATCCTTTCTCAGCATTCCCATTGATTTTGCTCATGCATCAGGCCAACAAAACTTTCTCAGTTTCCCTTATGCTGTCAAAAGCTTTTATGCCATCAAATGTCAGTTTCCAAGCACTTGAGGCAATTCTTAATCGTGCATGAGCGATCTTTTGCTAACAAGGCTTGGTCAGAAGTTGAAGTGGCCATTTCAAGCAAGCTGCATATCGTTAGATGCTGCATATAATGCTGACTCTAAACCTGTCTTCCTTGTTTGCAGAACGCGTTTGTGGATGAAGTTATAAGCCGTTGAAGACCATTATTTTACTAAGAAATCGTGCGTATAAAAGGCAAACTTGGTTGTACAGAGCCATTGTCGGCTCAGTGCTAGACCAAGACATGCAACTAGGTCACTTCGTATGGTCCGTACCTAGGGTTGAGCTAAAAGGGCAATAACGTGCCCAATTTTGCGATTTTGGTGTGCAATTTTTTCGCAGTAAAGCTGATAACTTCGCCTACAAAGGCGTTCCGCAAATATGGAAGACAGTTTCGAAATCAGCGTTCTATGCTGCATCGAAGGGTGTGCAGCTTGGGTGGATCGGCCACTTCAACTTCTTACCATTCCCTTGTAAACATCGTCCACCGAAATTGAGTATGGTGAAATTTTTTGTGTTGAATAATTGTCTTTCACAGATGCTTTCTCAGTTCTGATTACCCCGCACTAAGGCCGTGTCATTTGAGGCTATTTGCCTCGAGACTGTGCTGTCTGAACTATCAGCGAGTTACTGACCTACTGTTTTGCTTTCATCTAAATTGTCTAATGGCAAGATTGAAATTGAGTAAGGTGGAGGATCGCATTTTTCTGATATTCTAGCCTTTGCAAATTTACGAATTTTTAAAGGCGTTAATGCGGAGCTTCAGCTAGATGATATTACTACTTGTAAGACCTATCGTGGGTCCAACGCTGACATCTTGATATAGGCTTTGGTCCGATATGGCAAAAATCGAAAAAACGGCTTAGTCGCGCATGCGCCAATCTGTGTTATCGCAAAATACAAAACAGAGTTTTATCCATTACTTTCAATTCATTTATGTTTCGGACTATGTAATTGTCCAGGCCCCGCAGCAAAAATGAAGTTCGAGATGAGAACTTATTGTAGAAACGCAGAAGCGGTAGTATCTTTAACGTCGGTAGTGTGAAGATAATGATTCCGAAAGTGGGCTTCGAAGGTAAGATAGAAACGTTGAAAATCTAATAATCATATTGAGTGTAGATTTATGACAACTCTATGAACAATGAATTTTAGACTTGTTATCATCTGGCTACCCACGATGATGGGCGCACGCCACTACTTCTAACTTTGAAGCCAATTTCGAATTTCAGAATTTATCTTTTGCAGCGGGATCTGGGCGATAAACAGAAGCTGCTTTAATATAAACCATCAAAATCTCACCGCTCTCAATTTGAGTGGACGATACTCAAGTGGAAATGCCTTGCGGTGTCTTACGTGGGCAATGTGCTAGTGGCGGATAAGACTTTAAGATGTGGAAAAGCCCTAGACAATGAAACATGCTGAAGAACCTTTTTATATCTAAATTCTTTCTGCCAATGTACTTCACTCCTGATTCAGAATAGTACAGGAATACTGTAATGAGTACTTCATGAATAAACCACCTTGAACCACTCACATTTGCTCGTAGACACAGCTGATGACAATGTAGTGCGAGTCAACGCAGTAGGAATGAGCACATCCAAATCTCAATGTTTTATGGTATATTATCTAAAAAAAAAGTTTTCGGCAGATGCTTTAAGGAGTACGATTGACAGTTAATTGGCTCAACTAAGCGAATTGAAGGTCTTGGACTAGGGCTCGGCATTAGGGTAGCTTACGAAACAGGCTGGATATCGTTAGGGGGTAAAAAGGAAAAGTGATATTGTTTTGCGAGATGCGCGACGGTGCTCGGGAAAAAGTGTATGTACCGGCTTCGTATAATGTACATAAAAAACCTCAATGCTTAGTGCAAAATCGGATTTTTGGGAACACAGAGGTCTAATCAATCGAATAAAATTGATACGAAGACCCCACAGACTCTTCACTTTGACTGCAAAGCGCCACAAACATTATATTCACTGAAAAATCAGGAGCTCAAAGAGCACGACTTAGAATTGACTTATTGAAGATGCATTCAAAACGTTTATACATTTTTAGATCATATATGGAAAACGAATGGTTACAGGCTCTGAAGAGGGAGATGGCCCAAAAGTTGCCTGAATAAATTGTATAAACACTTTCGTGTACAGACACTGCTATTGAAAGCAAACCGAGATTTATCGAAATTTAAGCAGTGCATTCATTTTCGAGCTAACTAGAACTGGAAAATCTGAAATTTATTTTTCCTTAAAATCAACAATCAAACAAGTTTGAGGAGCTGGCCAATTCCGCTTATAAACGTAACAAGTTTTCGCAGCCCTCACCTTTAGAAACAAATCCCATCCCATCGGCATTGTCACATGAGCCACACATACACTTTGATTCAAAAGGAATGGCAGATGAATTGTGACGGTCGCATCCGCGACGCAGTCTGCGTCTATTTCGTGAGCGTGCTCTCTAATCATTTCCTATCTTTGATTAGGTCGAAGCCACGCCTTCCAGCTACCAATCCCGTTGAAGGAAAGTGTCAGGCGTTATCAATTGCAGTGTCGGGTGCGCGAGCATCTCCACTCCCGCGCGGGACCCTGCACCTCTTCCGCAAACATGCTCTCTAACCATATCCAGTCGATTGGTTCTGCGTTTTCCATGCTCGCAATGGGAATGTGATCAGAGAGCACGTTCAAAAGAGGTGAAGGGTCCAGCTGAAGCGGCCGCGAGGGAGCGGTAATGCTGATGCTCCTGACACTACAGTTGGTAAGGCCTGTACATGCTCCCAACTTTCATCTCCCCCATCCCCCCAAATCACCCACCTCTATTTTAATCATCCTTCTTATCTTCTGAAGACGCAAGTGCTCATCACTACTTTACGGACCCAGGGCCCGGCAGGAGGTGGCATTTCACGATTTTGAAAACGATAACCCCTTTGAAGCCAAAATTTCTTACGACTTCTATTTTGACCCTATTTTTGACCCCCGTAAGTCCCTGACAGTCCCGAAGTGCAAGCTGGTAGGCATGCAATGAACTCGTAACGGTTGTCTTGTCGCGATTCAATCGCGACGATCGAATCGCGTAAACTCTGTCGAGTAAGGGATCGTCCAGGCCAAACACATTGTAAATATGGGTCTTGCTGATCCACAAAAATATTGGAGGCAATGAAGGAAAACACACAAAGAAAAAGCAAAAAATTACAAATGTACAAAAACGAATGCAAAAATTCGATGTCATGTAACATATTTGCATAAATGCACCATTCCACCTACCTGAGATAGTCCGAATGAGCCGCAAATTGGTGAACTAAGTGCGACGTGCTGTAGTCGAAAATTCTGGCATGCATGTCATCTGAGCCGGTAACAATCCAGTTTCTGCGTGAAATAAACTTGGCAGCGCGCACTGGCAAATCACATATCTGAAGAATGCGCAAGATACTGGATTGAAACATAGTAAGCAACATAAGGCCCCAGCCAGACTTCAACTGAACAGCCCAGAACCGCTCAAAATCACCAAAGGCCCCTTTTCACGGCGCATATGTACAAGAACACCTGGCAACGCTTAACTATTTGCGGGATAGAAACTCATTCTTGGATGAGCTATCTTGAGCGAAGTCTGGCCGGGGCCTAACATACAAAAATACATGAAAATTCAAAAAAAAACCTACTTTGAAAGATTTCAGAAGCAGCTGACTCTCGTAAATATATCTGAACGCTTCCACTGTAAAGAGCTGCCAATAGCCACGTTTCCGTGGGATGAAGGTCCATCGACTCTACTCGACTCGATTTTGTCAAAACATTTCCTCAACTTTTGATGACAGCATGCCTGCAACAACCAGAATGAAGGAAAACGACGAAAAACGACCCAAAAGAGCGAAAGTACGGAGAAATCGACCATATTGCGAAAACTGAAGAAACAGAGTCACAAAAACAACTTTTAACATAGAACATCACGACCAAATATGATCTCTGGCCCTTCTGAGCCCTTGTAGGGCTTGTCGAAGAAGCAATCTATTTAAAAATTGTGAAGATTGCTTCAATCAGCGATCACTAATTAAGCAAAAAGTCAAATTCTCGCAGTTTCCGCGTCGTTCGTGCAAGGTGCACCGCTTGCGATTGGAGCGCGCTTTCCGAGGCCGATCATAACGCTGTGAACCCTATTTGGGGCTGTATCGAAGCGGTGCCTTGATGGTTTTGGAAGCGGATTTGAACATATAGTAATACTCTCGACCTAGTCCACATTTATGTAAAGAAATCTGGGAAATTATGTGAAGGGAAGCAGGGAGCCACCCCAGGTGGCTCCCAGGTGGCGCGGGAGCCACCTAATTTCGAAAAACACTTACCATTTTTTAAATTCACATAAGTTTCTCATAATTCTTCATACTTTTTTTGTGCTTATGGTCCTCCAACTATACAGCAAATTTGGTGCCATATCGTTACTTGTGCATTGAAAACGAGCCTATTTTGTTATTTCCGTCTTACAAGAATTGCGATTTGAATTCCCGCCTGCGGGCAGGCTAGCGATCGGAGCACAGAATCTTCAAATTGCTGGAATCTAAGTTCATAGGACAGTAGCATCAACAAGGAATGATGAATAAAGAATGATATGTGCATTGTTTATCGGTAAACAAAAGGGAAGTCGTATTTCGGGGTCCGGGGCTCCGCTTCGTACCCCAAAATACGACTTCCCCTTTGCTTTTTCGGGCCAAAAACGATATCCAGCTCGTGAAAGCGCCACCCCCGCCGGGCCCTGTACGGACCTCATTCTCTGCAAAACCAACCAATCCCCGTTTCAGTATGCCTTGCGTGCAGGTGCGTGAATTTAGAATTGTGCTTTGAGTTGAAAAGGCTTGGACCATCTGCAGCGGCATGTATCAACCTTCCGCTTTGTGTTCGGGCAATCGTTTACTATAGGATGTATGCTCGTGAGCACCAACCCGGATGGGCAGCAGCATCCCACCTCGAGATCGGGTTCTGCCTGCCCGTTGTCAGCAGAATCGCCTCATTCTTTTTTCGCAGTATTACCGATGTTTCATACTCAAGGTGATTACGATCAAAAGAAAACTAAGCAGTATTAAGAAAAGTGCCGATAAGAAGAAACCTCTAAGAAAACAGCTCGAATTCGAAGATATCTGATCCTGATGTAAACTTATTTCTCAGTGTTTTCTCACTAGCAGTCTTGATGCTTGCTCATTTGGTTTTTGTCTTTAGACAATTCTACGAATCCAGAAATCCTCCGTTATATCATGAAGTGCCATGCCATGCTGCTAAGATTACAGAGTGGTTAGTTCGCAGAGTCAAGCAGAGGCGCATACGCGGCAACTCATACACGTGGCACTTCCAAAGCGAAAGATTTCAAAGGATCAACGAATTTACAACGTGCATTCTGTACTCAAAGTACCAATCCAATCATTTTCGTTGACAAAAGAGGCAGGCTGTGGATGTAGCAGCTTCACATTCATCTATCGTCGACTCCACAGTTCTTGTAGAGGCGGGGTTTTGCCAACTCAAAGCGTGGCGTTTTGATAGCGAGAGAGTACGAAGAACAGTGCTATGACGTGGAGGCTTAACAAGTTTACCTGTGTTATCAAGCAAAGTCTGCAATACACCTCTACACAAATCATGGAGACGATCATACCTGTGAAGCTGTCAACTTTTTGGTGAAGAATGGTGGCTATCACTTTTCAGTAAGTACCACTAAACCCATCATTTGAGGTATGCGTCCCTAAAATTGTTCTCATAGGAACCATCAACGTGGCTGCCTTTCGCTCGTTTCAACAAGTCAACTCCAGCAAATAGAAGGCGCTTATTTCAGGTTGACGCTTATTCCAAGCTGGTGGTTTATATGGAAGCAATTCTGGGGGATGCACCACTTGACGGCCTTCACGTTTACAACAAAATAAAAATAAGCGTAGCGAGAAGTGTATGCGAGGTGTAGAACCACTGCAAACCAGCTTGAAATGAAGAGATAAATTCTTTCGTACAATCTAGGATTTTCATAAAAAAAACTGAAGTCGGTAAAGAGCAAGTTGCATGCGTTGGTTAAGCTTTAAGCGGAAGAAATGCAAAGAAACACATGAATGCGTTACTGGTAGAACTCGTCAGCAAGTGTGGCAGATATACCTCAGTACACCGCCATTGATCTCAAACTAGGAGGACCGGGCTATCGCCCGAGTAACATCCCAAAATAATGCATCGCGGATGCGAGGGCCCGTGCCCGGTCGGGTAACCACCCGGACAGGAATCCTATGCGAGCGGGGAGGTTGACACTTACCGCCTCTGGAGAGCACCTGGGAAGGCTCGCTCGAATCCTATTGCCGTCAACTTGTTTCCTTCTTACAAAGCTTTTCAATTCTTGTTATAGAAAATGATACTATATCTCAACAGCTCAGCTTTACCACTAGGTTGTCAAGTTCAAGAGGTGCACTCTCCTGACTTGAATCCTTCACCCTGATTGTCTTACTTTATATGAACATAACATTATGACTAGAATCTTTATTATATATTTATAAATAGAATGAGAGGGGAAGGGAAACCGCCGGTCACCCGGTTAGGCACAGCTCATCTGGAGTTGCTGGGCACCGCCCAGTTGGCGTGGGACTGTCGGACCATCTAATTAGTCTGCGTCTCGACATGTCCATTCCATAGTATGCATATGCCCCATTGCAACTGTGTTCACCTTTGTACTATAATTGTTTTTGCTATCAGATGTTCAGAGCGTCTGAAAGGACTGGATGTTTTGAGAGCCAGTAGCAAACTTCTCATTAACTTCATTTACGCAGCGGCTACTGGCACAGAGTAAGTTTGCCTCAATTCTCTTGGCAGACAACCAAACAAATTTACGAATTAGCGAATTTAGCTAGTCATCGTAATTATCCATGAGATTCTTTTTTAAAACCGATCTTATGTCATGCTGATATGTCAATTTGAGGTATGGCTGGCTTCCAGAATTTCTCAAAGACTCAGGCATTGGTGACCTACTTTGGCTTTTTGATCCACCTTTTTTTTTTTGAAACAGGTATGTGGAAAAGAGAAAAAAATCATAGTTAAGGGCTAGATAAAGCGTACCTCTCTTGGATAATCACTTGAGTAGGGCTGTTGGAAAGTTGTTCCTGATTTTTCTCGGTCTTCCGTAGAGAATATCATTCGAGGAGTCCTTGGGACGAATACCTGCTTTCCACCGTACTCAATTTTGAGAGGTGTGCCATCCAGCCCAGAAGTCCATAAGTGGCTAATCAGCAACAAACAATTGCCGCATACCTCTGGCCCAGACATTCGTCGATGGGGTACGAGGTTCAAAGGGCACTGCCGCTGCATGTGCCTACTTCTGGCGGCTAAATGTCACTCGTTGGTGAGTGATTAGCCATTAAAAACTACGCTGGTAGAGAGCCTTTGGAGTGGCCGCGGGCGATTGGGTAGCGTTGGGGTCACAGGCAATCATAAAAAACGGCCAGTAAAAGTCGTTTTAGGCAAAAGTTATTCACAGTACTTTTTCTACATGTGAAAACTTGATTTGGTAGGGCTCACAGTGCGTTCACTTGCGAGAGTAAAAATACTATCACAGTGGTCTTTCCACTAGTGACAGTTGAAGAGGGAAAAAATTTGGCTTACAGTGCTTTTTCCACTTGCGAGAGGTTAAAAAGTACTATCACAGTGCTTTTTCCACTAGTGACAGTTAAGGAAAAAAAACTTTGGTTCACAGTGCATTTCCACTTGCGAAACCCTATTTACATATGTACAATGCCGGCTGTGGCGATAGAGTCGTTGAGTTTTGTATGTGCGCGTAAAAAAATCTGGGGGATGAAATTCCCACTTGAAAAGAAAGGAAAAAATAAAGAAAAATATCAATGATCCACGGATATTCATGGATATCACGGCTCTAGGAAATCACGGCTCGCGGAATTCACGGCTCGCGGATTCTCAATCTAGAGAGTTGGACTCATCTAGAAAGATCGCGTCGGGAAAAATCAAGGTTCGCTTTTTCACGGCTCGGGGGATCACGGCTCGGAAATAGCAAGAAAAAATGATTGAATATAAAAAAATGGAAAATGCTATTTTGAATGAGGTTACCATATGAATACAAACTCAAACTCATCGCCTGACTCAAAAAACTAAGGAAGAAAATGAGAAAATGAGATAAGAAAGGAAGAAAATATGAAAAAAATTAGCTATGTAGAGACGTAGGAGATGAGGGCTGGTGCCAGCGGTGGGAGTTTGCAAAGACTTGGCCAGAATCAATGCTGATTTAATTTCAATTTTCTTTTGATTCAGAAAAATAATGCTCGAAAAATGATTGATTTAAAAAGAAATGTGAGTCATAAAAAGAAAACAACCCGGGACCTCCGTCAAGTTCAAGAGGTGCACTCTCCTGACTTGAATCCTTCACCCTGATTGTCTTACTTTATATGAACATAACATTATGACTAAAATCTTTATTATATATTTGTAAATAGAATGAGAGGGGAAGGGAAACCGCCGTCACCCGGTTAGGCACAGCTCATCTGGAGTTGCTGGGCACCGCCCGCGTGGGGACTGTCGGACCATCTAATTAGTCTGCGTCTCGACAAGGTAAAACAATCTCTTATGATTTATGAAGCGCTAAGCGTCTGTCTGTCCATGTGTGCATTCTGTCTGTCACGATAAGAGCGAGTTGCAGCCAACGTCTGGAGCTACAATTTTGTGCAGCATACGGTGCCAGCATATATAGGCTGTACCAGCCAGCATCGGTTATGCGACGTCGCGCCTGCGGCAACTTGCGACGGAAGCGGATCTTTCAAAAATTGGGTTTTAAACGGGTCCAGGTGGATTTTGGCTCACAAAGTAGGGTTATCTCCAGATTTTTGCAGAATAATGAACTTGTTTGAAAGGAAAATCTGCAGGCTATAGACTCTCGCCCAAAGAGTGATTGAAAAGTCTATTTAGCGCGAAAGGCGCCAAAAATGAATGATTGCTCATAAATTCAGTGACTGATCGAAACTTGCAATTATCCTTTTGCACAGAGGTATATTCCTTTAAAAGCTACCGATCTTACATGGTAAAGTTTTTGGAAGGTAACTTATCACTAGACCATAACCAGTACTTGAAAGTCCGTGCATTCCCCTAGAACAACCCTAGTCGTGTATTTACCCCGAAAATAGGTCATAATAACTTGCTTATTTGCGAAACGATTCTCATATGTTAAAGACGATTCGAGGCACCAAACAACGGTAAAAGCGTCGATTTTGAACTTCTTTGTAAAGGCCACACAGTGGAGGTAACGTCCAGCCGTCTATGAACACTTACATTTGCAAACGGTTTCATGGTGACATCTTTGTATAAAACGTCAACATCAAGTGGAGTGGTAATGGATCTCTTCCAGTCTTCTACTGCCCTTGTATAGAAATGAGCCAACTCTGCACTTCCAGGTTCGCTATCCGCATAATATCTAAACATAAACTCTAGAGCAAAATTTGTGAAAATGTTTTTGATAAACTATTTGATTACGTTCGCATATTCTCTCCTTTTTGAAGCATATCCATAGATAAGGATGAATGCTTGCACGTTTTATCGTCAATCGTACCACGTGCAAGAATTCCAATGCTGCAGTCGTATTTCTGCATGAAAGGTTTATAAAATCATGTATAGTCGATTCGTTGACCGTACGGACTTATTGTCGAGCACGCGCCGCGAGGCAAAGCGCTTGCCCCACAAATTCCCATTGTTCAAATGGTCCTCTCGCAACATTTTAGCCGCGTGGCGCGTGGTCCGCAGCGTTTGAGCAGTTCCTGCGGTCAACGACGATAATTGATCACAGTTAATAAAAATTATAATCTGAAGATACTTAGGCAGTTACAGTGTGGTCATCCTTCCCATATTCTTTTCTTTTTATTTTATCTTACTTAAATCTAGAGTCTGCCCCAATCCCAACCAGGCCACAATTGCCATGGCGGGAGCCCGCGTCGCTAGGATTTCGCGGTTACGCCCACAGCCTGCTCTGCTCCCTCTTCAATCTCCTTGCTCTCCAATAGCGCGCACATGGAGCGCAAACGCTTAGCGCTGCGAGCGCGCAGATTTAAGTCGACGGTCCGGCCTTATCCCAATTGGAGCAGACTGTACCTTACATAAGAAGTTTGGTATCGCATTCAACACTCACGACGGTCAAAAAAACAGGCTTCTAAATTTTGTGCTTCTTACAAACTGATGTGCAACGCTTCTGATTTACCGTGCTGATCACACTGTGGGCCTTGTACTGGTGCACAGCTTCTTGCGAAGGTTTCAACGATTGATACGCGTGATTACATTTCATTTTACTGAGCGCTCATGATGCTTGAAGGGATACGTAGATATACAGCGCTCAGTAAAATGTAATCACGCGTATCGATCGACCTTCTCGTAAGCGCGTCCCAAAGGTGTGCCTTTTTGAATAGTTGACATTGCTTCCTACAACGTCTTCTGCTTAGCTTTGAGTATGTATCATTCAGTGAAGCAGGAATCATAGATTTACCGAATGAAGTAAAGCAAACAATGCTCTTCACTACTGTAAGATTGCGTTAGGAACTTCGAATAGAATTTTGAGCCATCATTAGCCACATTTTGTTCCATATTACATACTCAACCTGGAAACTTTATCATAAGGCTAAATAGAGTAACTGAACTGATGACGTAACTCAAAGGCAGTTTTTAGGGAAAATTGCAATAGGAGTTCTCCATTATTCCTTAGTTTCTGGATGCTCTGGGTTCAGGGCTATGCTTGAAAAGTCAAGAAGGTTTGTTGTGGTGTTTTCTGCAATTGGAGTTTGCTGGAGGGGATGGGCGAGGGATCGCAAACTGAGTCGCGATTGGCTCTCTCAGCAAACTCCAAGGCTGGAAAATGCCGAAAAAGCACTATTTTGGTTTTTCACTATCTCGGACTCAGCGGATCTAGAAGACCATGTAGGTGCGAAAAGCTCGCACTCGCAATTTTCACGAGCCGCTGCAGTTGAGGCTTTCTTCGACGTTTTTTAATGTTTCTCAAATATGTAAATCTAAACGCTTGAGGGACCCATGGGAAGTTCTAATAAAATCAGCTTGCATGAAAACACTGCTACACAACTTTACAGATTTTTGAAGCTTTTTTTTTCAAAGGCCTATTTCATAATTGTCTTACAATAGGGATGTGCCTGAAGCTTTGAGGCCATTGTTGACGTAGTAACCAGAACTAAGTTTTGTATTTCCTGTCACGCGCTGTTATACCATCGTATGTTAGCTATCAATCACATGAAGGTGATCGCGTTTGTTTGAGCTGCGCAGGCTACGGCGTATTGGGCGTATATCAGCAGCCGATAGGGCTTCGCGATCTGCAGAGTCCTATGTCGTCAAACTAACAATCCATTGGCAACCACTTCGCAATCTACAAGTAATTACTGAGCTGAACTTTTGATGGGATTGCTCGACTGTACGAAACAGCTTCACCGTCTATGCAATTTTACATGCTCGTCATTCTTAGGCCTACTTTAATCTTAGATTTGTTCGGACAAAATTTTGAGAAAGGTTTGCTCGTTCTCTTCAGCCGGAACAAAAAATTTTCCGTGTCGCATTAATTAAGTACATATCTCAGTCCTTTTTGCAGGTAATACTCGTAATCTCATTTATTTTGTTTTATTTTGAAAAGTTGGTCACCACTTAAATACTCATATGTTTTTCCACGTTACTCACCACTTGTATTCTCATATTATTTTGCCTACCATTAATTGTCGATTACGCAGGCTTGAGGCTTGCATCTATGCAAGCCCTGCCTGGCAGATTTCGGTGATTCCGGTTCACGAGTGCCAATCAAAGATAACGTTCTGGGTATAGTTCGTTTACTATACTTATAAAACCCTTCCACTAAAATTGGTTGATTCTCTTTCTACAGTAAATCCAGATCAAAAGCAGCTCAGAACTGCGCGTAAAGCTAAGCAACAGATCTGTGGAAGTCATTTACGGTTATAACTTTGTACATACTTTTGGTGCAGCCCTATATATGTTGACATGTTACTTAATAAAAACCTTGCTTCTTCCACCCAACCGACTGGTAGCTTGATGTACGCCGTTCTTCTGCTGCTCTACATTTCGCGTTCATCTCCATTTTTGGTATATGTTACAGAAGTATAGGCTGTTGCATGACGAAGACGCAATATCTTTGAGCGCGAAGGCGACTTTATTAGCCTAGAGCGCGTGAGACGCAGGACTTACAACGGTGAAGGTACGCGCGCGATTTTCGTGCCCGCGACTGGTACTGATGACTGGTACTGCTTCTGCGCCCTCTTCATGCAGTAGCCTTTACTTTGGAGATTTGACTTTTCATTACATTACAGCGATTTAATTAACGGTTTTGCGCAATGCACATCTAAGGATTTGTGCATCATTTTTTCCCGATTGCATAGCTCCATGGACCATATCACCATGTCTGTGGAAGTCATTGCGAGAAGCGCTCTCAAACAATTGAACAAGTAACATATACAAGGAAAGGTTAGTTAAAGGGGGCTAAGTCTCTTCACCGGAGCCCTCCCCCCCCCCCCCTGATTGCCCTGCAGACATCTACATGAAGCCTCTGCTTGAAAGCACGCATCGATACCAGATATTTCACACTAACAACAGACCGAGTACCTACATCATCATCTAGATTCTTAAACAATAACCGAGATGTTAGCTTAATTCATTGCATCGGTCTAGCCAAAAGATTCCAATTTTTCGTATATTCTTGGGAAAATGGCGCGCATGCATACAAATGCATGAAACACCAAACAGGAGTGAGGCTGTGCGTGTGCTTGTGTGTGCACGCGATAATCAACCGTTAGAAATCAAAGTTGGATGTGATGCGTTGACGTCTATGACGTATTGCAAAAGTTCTGATTTACCATTTTGAATAGGCTTTTCGTGCCACCTATGTTGCCATAAATTCTCTGGTCTAGTGCTCGCGTTGCAAGCTCTTCCCTGACTTTATTGTGCGCAACGACGACGGCATCCTCGACTTCGGCTGGAATTGTGCCACAACCTATAAGTAGTGTTTCTCGACCAACGGAGGACGGAAGGGAGGGATAAGAAAGGTGCAAAACTGAGAACGAAAATTGATTGAATTAGAACTGCGTGACTTTCTCGATCGTAAGTATATCTGAAGTATATATTATTTTTTTTGAAATTTTGAAAGTTTGAAAGTAATGTGGGATTTCCGGGTTCTAAAAAGCATCCTCAGGACTTCGGACGCTGCTTTCGACCACATTTGCGCAAAACTAACTACCTACCAAGCAAACTGCACAGATTTTGATAATATTATGTAATCTTGCAAAACAAATATATGTAAATTTGAAATACAAATTTGTCACTTCGCCCCCATGCATTTGGCAAGAGTTGTTTCTCGTGCAACTTTTAGATGAGATCTTCGCTATCGGGAAGAGAAGGTTCAGATTCTGTCCGCATAAAGACATGGGTGGCTGAGCGGTTTGTAGGTAAGTTGGTGCGGTTTGGACCGCTAATTATAGCGAACTAGCCGGCTTACCCGACTCCGCCCGGCCCTGTCAAAACACTATGTCAAAGAACACTATCCCTATTCCTGTACGAACCTTTCCCTGTGCCCACGCCTACATGCCAAATCACTATTCCCGCTGTTTTAGTAATAAGCATGCTCGATTACCCCCCTGTGCCAACTCCCAGCCTCGTTGCTCAAACTTTGCAAAAAAATCGATAAAATCGATAAAAGTAGTGGACGATCTTAAAAACTAGTATTGTATTGGTAATCAGCATGCTCGATTACCCCCTGTGCAAACTCCCAGCCCCGCAAGTCAAACTTTGCAAAAAATCGATAAAATCGATAAAAGTAATCGATAATCCTGAAAACTAATATAGTATTCGGAATCCCCATGCTCGATTATCCCCCTGTGCCAACTCCCAGCCCCGTAGGTAAACTCTGCAAAAAAATCGATAAAATCGATATCGATCGATGACGAAAAGTAGCCTATGACACTGGCCGGGGCCCGAAGTGTATGTGTGCCAAGTTTGGTCCGGATCGGTTCAGAAATAGAATTTTCTATTCGGAACATACCACATACATACATACATACAGACAGATAGACAGACATACAAACAGACATTCGGCTTTATATATAAGATGAAGTGCAGCCATTGCAAACGTACCGCAAGCAAAAGGCAATTTTGGCAACTAAATTCATCGCTTAATTGCGAATATATGCAGATCATCTGATAGTGGAAAATTTCAGACACTGTACGCGGTGCACAGGATTGCCTGACATGCTAACTACGAAAATGGCACTCATTCTGCTTTGTCTCTTCGTTATAGTCACGGTATCATATGACGGCATGTCGATATCTCACAATGTGCTTAAAGTTTTACATAATAAAGTCTACTGGCTTGTTATTCGTGAACATCATGCAAGCCCAGAACAGACTGTCTTCTTTCCGGTTTATTTATCAAAGTTTTGGCAGAGCCTCTCAAGGCCAATAGTGTTTTTTTTCTTGAATTAATGCGCGTCTCTCGCGTCTCTCTCGATTGTTCGCGGAATTACTGGCTTGCTCATGAGGAAGTTGCAAATTGAGAGTTTGTTACGAAAATTATGGCAGTAATAGCAGGATTCATATGCTCTCTGCGCCCTCAAAGGCCCTTCATTCCCTCCTTTCCTTCAATTGCGATCCCCTTCTGACCTCATGATCACTTCGACCCCTCAGGTATAGAGTCTTCTAACTTCGCTTTCGACTCTGATCGTCCTCAAAGGCAGCGCCCCAGCAAAGTAAGAGGTGCCGGGCTTTTGTAGCGATGTTTTTGTAGACCTCTACCTAAGCAATGGCTGAAGTCGGAACGAAATTAGGTCTAATAGGACTAATTTGCCACGAAAGTGGCCCGCATCTTATGATAGGCCGGACGCCGCCACTTTGAACTGCAAGGGAAAAGCGCGTACGCAAACAGTCACTGAACGCAGGGTCGCATAGCGACTCTGTGTCTTAGCCTTAAGGGAGTCGCGTGCTTACGTCCTAATTCAAACATGGGGCTTCAGGAAAAGCCCGTTTTCGAAATTGTCACACCCTGCAAGCTGCAAGTTGGAATAAGCAGACGAACAAGCCCAAATAAGCGGAAAACCTTGAAATCATTCTCTGCCGGGACGCTACTTTCGAAATTAGTCTTATAAGTGTAAATGTTTACAATAAACGCTCTGCTTTTTGCTCTAGAGCAGCGGGAGTAAAGCTTAGTGCAGCATGAAATTGTGACTCGTACGCCCTTGCTAATGCTCCTCCAAAAGACAAAAGATACTTTAGGAAATCTAGGGCACTATTGATTACAGATTAACACTTATGACTACAAATGTGAAAAGCAAAAATTGAGTCGCCTGATGAGCTTGTTGTAGTGGTGGTGGTGGTGGTAGTGGTAGTGGTGGTGGTGGTCGTCGTCGTAGTAGTGCTTGTGGTATCTTGAAGAAGAGAAAAGTACAGAGACCATTGTCATGTTGCATGTTCACAGTTTCTACCAGCACACATCATATTCGAAACTTACGGGAAGCAATTTCGCAAAGTGGTCCTTCTCCGCCCAGAACATTAGTCTCACATATAGCGTCTTTCGTTACCTTCTTACATGAAGAGTCGACCGTACAGCCTTTCTTCCCCGTCGAGTCAGCCCAATAAAGTGGCTGTCCTTGTTGTGGCCTGATAGTATGGCTCCAGTAATACGTATGCATAGACAATTTGACTGTAGTATAGCGTTTACATTGCCGAAAACGCTAACTTGCAGATAGTGGCAATTTGCCCTTCAAGGCAGTTTTTATGAACGAGTCAGAAGCAAGCATTCACGAACAAGACTTCTGCTCCTGCGAAAAGTTGTCGGCAATGCAAGAACCCTATATTCACCATCAAATCTATTATCTTGTAATTAAGAAGATAATTCGGGCGTACCAAATTTGTTTTTCGAATTGAAAGGTGAAGCTTACATATATTCGTATGCGCATGCAATAGAGAGCTTTTTATCTTCTCTGCAGTATGAATGCCAACACCCAAACTTCGTGGTTTTATTGTATATGATCTGGGTTAGTTTCAAGTACAGAGTAGGCTCTCATGGTGCTTTCAGAAGCTTACAGTTGCAAATGGGGCAGTGGTCTTGTCGGTGTACACGGCATCTGCATCCAACGGCTTTGTAACGCTGCCGCTCCAGTTGTCAACAGCAAAATCGTAATAGCTGGGCAAGTTTTTATTGTCGAGTATGCCGGGTACGCGAAAGCTAGAATGTGGTGGTGAACTAGTCTCCCTAAGGACGCTTTGCCATACATACGTTTTGAAGTTTGCACCAACTCCGATAAGATTAAGATCCAACCGACGACTGCAGTCTTTACCAATCATGGAAGTAGCAAGGGCTTCATATGTACAATCATATTGCTGCAATATCTACTATGTATTTACACCCCTTGTGATTTTTATATCTTATGGAACAGAGCAAAGCCTTTAATTTTGAGTAGAAGCAGATCAACTTTACCTTCCCATTAACAGACCTCATGAAATTTATAGAAGTAATACTTACCAGCTTGAACATACTTTTTGTTCCTGGGAGGTTCCCATACTTCTTTGCATCTAAAGCTCGCTTTGCGACATCTCCTCTCAGCAAATTGTGAGCATTTACAACTACCGTCTCAACATCAGAAGCCAGATTACATGTTTCTGAGAAATCGTGGATTTATAAAGCTGTTTATCGCTTTTACTGTTTGAGACTCTTTTGTCGTTTCCGCCTGCACGGGTCACAGGAATAATTATTGAGGGTAAACTTTGTAAGAAAATGTACTCACGAGCTGCCGCTTGATGTTGGAAGAGAGAAACCTAAAATTTAGTGGGGTTTTCAAGATTTTTGTCAACATGCATAATTACCAGTATGTAAAGGAGCATTGTTGATGTGAAATGGTATTGTACCTGCGAAAAAGTCACGGTTTATGATAAGTAGTGAGCTTATTTGTTATAGCTCAATCTATAAAATGACGTTAAGTAGATTAATAATAGCTTAACCAGTGAAATATTTCAAGCTCAGAAACAACAAACAGTGTTATCAACGAGTGGTGATGTGTCAGCTTGCAAATACAACAAGCGGTACTTTTGTAATACAATTCGATGCATCGAAATTTGATAAAACCATATATTGTCATGTTTTTATGGGTTTCGTGGGAAAATTATTAATACAGAAAGACTCGCTGATCAAAAATCTGTTGTTCTTCTTTAATGATATTTGCCCGTGCCTTCCTGTCGAGAAACAAGAAGGATAAGAAGGGGAGTCCCAGTTGGAGCGTGGACTTTGTAAGGACTCTGAGGATGTGGAGAAATCTTAGTGACCGATAGGCAACGTGTTCCTAAACCTGAGCATAAGAAATTCAAGTCCATGATCTCTACTTAGATTCCTTTCCATATGCTTAGGTATGTCAAGCAATGCTATATCGCGGCCGACATTGACTACGACAATGATGACAAAATTCGAAACATCGGTCGAAGGAAAGTTATAAGAAATTGGATATATTTCGCAATTCTGTAAGTTGCAAAAGATCCGGCGACGGAAATTGCCCACATTGTTTGATGATAGAAGAGAGAAGACGAACATTGTAACCATAAGAAGGATAGTATACTTGGTAGGTAATGAGAGCTCTAAACGAATATAGCTTGAATTATTTGTTTTTGAATTTCATTGTTGATTTAAGAGTCTGCTTCGATTAAGTGTTCAATGAGTTACTAGGTTCCTTCAATGGTATGTTGAGGAGGATGTCTGATATGTGTCGTAGTATCATTGCTCTTAATGTTGTAATTCGATCTTTGATTTTCTGTTGTTAGTTTCAAATTTGTTCTCGCGAGTTTTCCGCCTATTTCTCATACGGATTTGTGGTGTCTGGTACCGAGTGATAAATTCTCAGAGTCGAGTGTATATAGTTCCCGTAATCGTTCAATGGCTTATTGCTGTTATTCTAGCTAATAAACTGTTATTTACTCCCTGTGTCTCCCCACTCCTGGCGAAGAAACGAAGGACTATAACAGTAACGTTCATTTTCGTTTTTGGACAGATTATAATGCATGGTTGAGACGCTATCGGTCAAAATGGAAGGCAAGAGTGAGTTGTCGTGGTGCATCTTGCTTATTGTCTCAGTGTGGAACACTCAATAGTGGCGGCTGTTTCACCTTCATCAATCGTGCAGATGACTTCCATCCTTACTCCAGACGTGCAGTAACATCCGTGTAGTTGGCTTATTTCGATGATGCACGGCTTTTTACATTTTTGAGTGATTTTCAAACTTTCTGCCACTAAATAAAGCTGTGAAGCCGTGCCTAAAACAAGCCGTGCCCTGCCTAATGCCTAAAAAATATTTTTGTTTTTCTTCGCCATCCTTTGCGATTCAAGAAAATAAAATTGTCTTAGTCGATACGCTGAACTGACATTGTGTTGTCAAAATATATATTTGATTAAAAGTGCCGATGCTTAAAGTTTAGGCGCATGCTGAGGATGATTCAAAGGAGCGTACGTAAAGTAGTTGCTAACGCAAAGCACTGGAGCGCTGGAAGCAAAGCTGTGCGTTTTTTGGCAACTGTTTGTGGGAACATGACGATTACCATCGTAGGCACCCACTTTTTCACACAATGATACTTGTTTCTAGTGAATGCTGGAAATGTATAGTTCCATCTGGGCAGTGGATGGGAATCCAGCACAAATTTTCTTGAAATTCTACTCGTACTTTTGCAACTGCGACCCCTATTTGTGCGCAGCGAGTTGCGTGTTTACCTCCGTGTTCATCGTCCTGGCAGCGGGTGTTGGTAGTGCTGCCGATATGGATGCTAGAAAGAAGGGTTACATAGTAATGCTTCTTCTTTGGCTTTGTCACCGAATAATGGGATGGATGGGGTTTGCTCGCTTTCTCTTAATCTGTTGCAGATGAATCTGATTTTGAATCATATTGTGGTCTCGTAGTCGTTTGGATAGTAGCAAGAGGTAATTGTACTCACAGTCTGAAACATCGATCTATCACTTTGCATAATTTCCATTCCTCCAGAGTGTCTTCAATGATTACGTAAACACCATTGCTAAGCTGACCGTATTACTGTGATCGTGGCTGTTCGCGTTTTGTTTTTCACACTAGCGAAGAGAAGCGATATGTTCAAAGTTTTATCGTTTCCAGGTTTTGATGAGCAATTCTGATGTGATTCCCCATCACAATAGCTGTGTCTCTCGTGCTGTTGTGATTGGTGTCCACCCATTCAATGTCTCTTCTGAATAGCAGCTATTCTTGCGTACAGATGAAGAAGTCAATTGGTCGTAGGGGAAAATAGTCTTACTCATCGATGATGTACGTCAGTGATAGGGCGTTCACATTGCACCTAAGGGTGATCTTTTTAATGTCTAGTAAGTTGTTTCCAACTGCCCGTTTGAAGGATTTCCTGAATTTGTCCACCAAATCCACATAAGCACCCCATGCCAAGAGCTCTTGGTATGAATTTTATTATTATTCGTTTCCGAGTGCAGTAATCTAGCACATATTTATCGATAATGGCTTGGACGGACAGTGATGAGTAACATTCCGCGATCAATTTGACTGACTAAACTTGTAGCACACTATCCATGTTGTGCATCCAGTGATGAAACGCTGTGATATGTATAGTGTAGTGCTGTAGTCATGTCAAGGATGACAACGACATGAACTGCACGTGTGTATAGGCAGGTGACACCCAATATCTTGTTGTTTTATCCTTATAGGCAGGGTCAGGTTCACCCTAATTCCAATGCATTACTGAAGAGGGATTTGCAAACTCTAGCCCTAATGTGAGTGCAAAATACTGCTTCCGGAGCAAGAAAAACAGCTTCAGAAGTGTAGACGGACCCGCCCTTCGATTCAGTGGCGTCACCACTGAAGAGGAATTCGTGGCAGGACATGCCGCTGCAACGAGTGACAGCGCGCTGCGGCCGTGTCTGGCGCGATTTCGTGCTTCGGTAATGGCGTCACTGAATCGAGGGGCGGGTGTGTTTACACTTTTGAAGCTGTTTCCTCGCCCCACAAGCAATACTTTGCACTCGCAAACGGGCTAAAGTTTGCATGGGCAGCCCTCTTCGGTTATGCGCTGGAATAAGGTTTTTCCAAATCTGCCCGGACACTGCCTTCAATCCGTATCCCACTCGACGGAAACGCTGATTCAAATTTCTGGCTTCCTGTTCATGATGTTGATTGTTTGTCGTCGGGTAGGTATTTGGGAGAATAAATTCAAATGTTTGTGATACTTCTAGGCTCTAGGAAACGCGACGATGCCAAAACGTCAGCGGTCGATAAAATCTTTGACACTTGGTGTAAGGCCCTTTAGTAACTGATGAATTAACCAATGGAAAGTGGTTTCTTCAGTAAGTAAGCAAATGCGAGGCGATCACTCAAGAAAAGCTAGTCCAAAAGCACTTAAGATTCCATACGAACGACGCGATAAACTGAGCGGCAAACGCAGCGCGCGGACAAGTGTACAGCTGCGATCCTGCGCGGCATGCGCTTTTGTCTATAATTGACATGAGGCGCATCCGCATCGCAATGATTTCGAATCACGTCGACTGTCTGCTATAGGTGGCAGTGTTATAATCTGTCTGTTCCCTCTTCATTTTGATCTGTGGCAATGCTTTCTGTGCACACATGCAGCGCAAACCTCTCTCAGACATCGACCGGACCCCTCCGCCGGACAGTCGAAATCTGCCGGAGTGGCGCCGGACCCAGTTGACGAGCAGGGCGATTGGGCGGTCCCTTCTTGTAGGTCGCGGTGACATCACTGGCAGGCGAGTGGGACCTTTTTCCGGCCTTGCTGCAAAGGTACGCCATTTCTGCTCCGGAGGTACGCCAGATTTGGCAGAGCCGCGCAGGAGAAATTTGCCCGCCGCGAGTCCGCCAGATGGAAGAGCCGTGGAGCAGAAAATCGGAGGGGTCCGGAGCACAAATGGGAGGCCTCCGGAGCACAAATGGGAGGGCTCCGGAGCACAAAATGGAAGGGCTCCGGAGCACAAAATGGGAGGGCTCCGGAGCAGAAATGGGAGGGCTCCGGAGCACAAAATGGGGGGTTTCCGGAGCAGAAATGGGAGGGCTCCGGAGCAGGAGTGGCAGACACCCCGCTGGGGAAACCCCGCGGCCCTGCCATTTCTCCGCCGGAGGGGTCCTATCCGCTGTCTGAGCTAGGGATGCGTTTTGACATGGTCAAATTTGGGACAGGTTGAGTGATAGAACCACATTCGCACCTACGCTGCGGCTTCGTCTTGGACCTATGTACAAGGTGGAGGTGCTGTGACTTTACCAATATTCAAATGAGCAATCCTATGTTAATTTGAAAATGGACATGGGTACTTTTTAGTTATCAGGTTGTTAACATTACTAGTCGAAAATTTATGCGGAAAAGATGCAAACAATTTGTATCTCCAGGTGTGTTAATTTCTAAATTCGTGAAATAACTCAAATGGAAAAGAATCATTTGTGAGGAGTAGTCGACATTGAACGAATTGTTGTGGGAGGAGTTGTAACAGTGGGAACAGCACGAGAGGAAGTTTGTGATGGAGCAGGCTTAGCTGATGATGTCGGAAAAGGTGAAAGGGTTTGAATTTGAGGCCGAATTGGCATTCGAGTTGTCGTTGTCAGCACTTGAACAGTTCTAGGAGCGTAAGTGCGGAAAGTTGTTGTCGGCGTCGTTGTCGTTGGCGTAGTCAGCAAAATCTGAGGAGGCGAATTCTGTGAATCTACAGACTCCACTCGACGTCCACGCCTTCTGGGACAAGGACAGTAAAGTGCATCTGCTCCATTTTTGCCGTTGTCTCCACGCTAAAATGAGTCAAACTTAGGATAATCCTTGAGAGGGCAGTTGGTCATTAAAAACTTACCATTCCTGCTTGACCCATCCTACCGGGGCGCCCGTCTTTGCCAGGAAGACCAGCACGACCTTGTGGACCCGGCATTCCTGGTTTGCCAGGCGGACCTGCCTTTCCAGGTTGACCCGGTGGTCCACGCATTCCTTGTGGACCAGGCATGCCTGGTACGCCCATCATATACTGAGTTCCCGATTCTCCAGGAGGACCTGGTGAACCAGGGCGACCTCGCATTCCACCTGGTCCTTCGTCACCTGGTGGACCAGGATCTCCCATGCGTCCCATATGGCCTGGAGGACCGACGATTCCAGGAGCTCCTGCTGGACCCGGTGGTCCTGGTTCTCCAGTTTTTCCGGGTGCTCCAGGTGGACCAGCTGGGCAGCTAATGCATCCTCCGGGAATGTCATGAGTGACGGCAATGGCAACTCCTGCAACACCCGGTCGACCGTCCTCGCCATCGGTGCCAGGCTCTCCTGGCAGTCCTCTTTGGCCCTGCGGCCCAGGTGGACCAGCTGGGCAATGCATTGCTTGTCGGGCGCAATTACACTGATTTGCAGCGCGCGAGTGGCGTCCTATAAGTTCAGCGAAGTTCAAACCGTTCGATTTTCCAGTGTACCCGAAATGCTTTGACATCAGGACCATCCACGCGTCCTCGGCGATGTTCTAGAAAATTTGAATGGTACTGTAAAAATTATAAATTCGTCTATCCAAACTTACATTGAACTCATCCAAATCACTTTGCAACTCGTCTTGTAACGAAGAGATTTCTTCAAGTAGAAAAGCCATAGTTGCAAGTGAACACACAACTACGGCTAATATAACCACAGAACCAAAGACGATCACTTTACTCATGGTAGAATCCGACGAGCTGTGCTGACATAGCTTTCTCCGCAGCCCTTATATATGCGCATACAACTAACAGTCTCGCTGTATTAAAAAGCGCATTAGGAAGAATATTAGAACAACGTTTTTGAGAGTTTAACCCCATTTGCTCGCTAATTCGATTGTAACAACACCTTTTTTTTGGAAGCCGTCTAGATGTTTCATGGGGAAAGTGTGAGAATTAAATAGATCTCCGCCTTAGAGAAATGAAAGCAAATGCTGCCATGTCTACAACATAAAGCCTAGCATAATTTCTGAAGGTTATTTTTTAGAAAGAAAGCCAAATTAGAGACGTTTACATTATGTTGTAAAAGAATGTAACAACTCGTACAAAGATTGTAACACTAGCTTTGAAGTACAGCATGGTGGAGAGTGATGCTTGCTTTACAACAAATTTAACTAAGCCCGAGATTGCAGCGTATGTTACTTCAAAAAGTCTCAATAAAATCTGAATTTTCCTTTGCAACAAATTTGCTTCCATGTTAACAGAACGTGTAAAGTTTGGGACGTCGCGTTGCCGACGTTTGCCTCTGCCAGCTATTGTTTTTACGGGATTACCAAAAAAAGGAAAAGATGGTTTGGAATTTGCAAATCCGCTCACGCGAGCACCTAAAATCCGTTAATTTGGGCAATGTCATAGAAACATGTCTTAACAACTACTACAGCACTAAGAAGGAATGTTCCGCATCTCGAGTTTACTCCTTCTAAGCACAAATGACGCAACAGAAACTGGACCTCATGTTTTCACATCACCGATAGATTTTCAACTGCATTTTGGAAATGTGACAACCGCTTTGAGATCAAATCAGTTGTAGAAATCCCAGGAGCTTGCGATAGCTTTGGAAAAATTGGGTCTATAGCATACTGAGATTATTGAAAGATTATTCATTTGCAGGGTCCGTATTCATCATTGAACGTGAGATAAATTTTACCTCGAGGTAAATTCGACCTCAAGGTTAATGGTATCTTGAGCAATCGGTATTCATCAATCTATCTCAGGATAAATTCTACCTTTGCCAGCGTGCTATACACTGACGTTCATTCCGAGCACGCTATGACGTCTTAGCGGTGCTCTAAGTTTCTTATTGCCAATGAAATTTTTGTTGAACAAAAATAATTGTTACTTTATGTCCTATAACTCAAGCTGACATATATTGTGTAAGAAGACGGTCTGAAGGGACCTCACATGTTCGAACGCGATAAAATGAGGTTTTATGTCTTAAAGTAAAAGAGGCTTGTAGCCATTTTCCTCGTTTGAATATATGTTTTAAAAAAACGTGAGTTCGCACCTCATCAAATTGTAAGGGGCGAATACCAAGATGCAGTGACATCGAGATGTGTTACAGGTGTCTAGAAATCTTTCAGCAACTTTGCGGCACTGTAACTTTGTTGATATCCTTCGCATTTAAACCAAATTCACCAAGTGATTTTGGCGTGCAGATGACATTATTTCATGAGAAGTTTGATTTTTGCAAACACAGAACTATGACTTTGATGTTAAGTCAAGTAAAGGACCCACTGTTCGAACGTATACGACCTTGTTTGATGTGCTGATTTTCAAATACCGAAGCTTCATTCTATGTTTACGACATAAAACAGAAAACATCGGTTCCTCTTTATTAAACAACGTATAGAAACAAAACATGAATTTTTGGAATGGTATCCTGCCACTGGCCTGAAGAAGCTCACTTTATCAAATTACCTAAGTGGGGTAATTTCGGCTATAAGGCTGCATTTTCTTCCAAAACATCGTTGGATACACAACGATCACCCCATAATCGCTGTTTTTTCTTGTGCTCAGGAAGTTTGTATAAGTTTAGTTTTTAAGCTAAGGTTCTTGCCCTGTTTGGTTTCGCATTATTCATCTGCTACTTGGCTCTTTAAAAGTCTGGTACAAGAATTGTTTCAAAAAGAAAGAAAACTTAGACATCACATTAGCTTTATTGTTGGGTTTGCAGAGCTTAGTAATTTTTCATGAACTTTGGCTGGCGCGCGGCGCTTCTGTGCGCTTTCTGTTCTTCGGCGGTTTTGAGGACTCCAGAGTTCTTTTCGGCGAAGTTTGGTCGGTCCCTTAGAAGAAAAATTGACTTTATTCAATATATTTTGTCGTACTTCTGAGTACAATGATGAGATTAGAATGAATCCTACTTCAATGCAAACCTCAGCTGTACTTCAATGTACAATTTTCTGTATTCATCAAAGTTTTTCTCTCAACCTTGGGATTAGCTGTGCCAGCATTTTTAGGACTGACGTCTGTTAGGAGAGTGGCATGACGTAATCGCGGTGAACTGCTATTACCCTAAAATCCGTACAATAAGTCCGGACTTATCTGCAGTTTCGACGAGAAAAATCGATGAAAAAACGCCCTCTGCGCCGCCAAAAGTCTACCAGATAAGTCCTCCTAAATCCACTATCAGATAAGTCCGCAGCAGATACAGGCCCCGTAAAATCCAACTGCCCACGCGTCGCTTTGAACACTATGGCGCGGCGCGGCTGGGAACGTTTGGTCCCGAAGCGCCACAGGCTCTTTTTACGAACGACAATGAGCGCGCACCCTTCCCACACATTTTTCTAAACTAGTGAAGGGAGCTTTCGTCAAGATATACCTTGCATTGACGAGAGCAACATGAAAGCTGAAGAAAGATTTCCTGGAATATAGTGAACGCCGACAGTCGTTCGCGACGACAGCTCGCTTACGCTGGTGTTCAAGGCACGGCGCGGGCAATTAGGTTTTACGGCGCCTATATATAAGTTCGCCTACTCAGACAATTCTGCGCGCAAGCGGCGCGCACTCACAGCTATCTAGCAGGGCAGGCGGCGCGCCGTGATTTGTGGGCGTGGCCCTGCAGCGCACAGGCGGCGCGCACTGAAATCAGCCAACAGGCGGCGCGCAAACACAGCGTGCATGCGGGCAGTGCGCAATGAACTTTCTGTAGCATCATAAGCGGAGAGGGACGCTTGCTTTCCGCGCAAATGCAGAATCCTGTGCAGATTATCGTTTCTTTTCGTTCCTCTTTGTTTTTTTTCATACAAAGTATTGTGTTGTTTATAATCTCACTTTTACTCTGGATATATCCTGAGCATGAGAAGGCGGACTTATCTGCAGGACTCTTGGCGGCGCGAGGGCGACTTTCGTTGTCAAGAAAGCGGACTTAACTGTTAGTTCCTTTGCGGACTTATCTGATAGGGCGGACTTATCTGATAGGCGGACTTATTGTACGGATTTTAAGGTAGGTTGTTGCAAAAATGATGTCCGTTTTGCAAATTTTCACTTTGGAAGGCTATAACTTCGTTCAGTCCTCATATTTTTGAATGCAGTTAAGACCGTCAGAAACAACAAACCTTTCGTAATTTAGCGCGCCCCTGCTCGTATTGATATGGCAAACGAGAAGAAAACCATGCGCCAAAAAAGCAGAAGTTGAAAACCTCTTCTTTGAGAGCTTACATCTCCCTTCAAGTTTTGTTCGTATGGCTGGCAATCAGCTTATTTTATAGCCGCAAGCCACGAGTTTACTGTGTATGGAAAAGACTCCAAAGAAGGAGTTGTGCGAAAAGAAAAGATAATGATTCAAACTGTTCACTTTTTCGAGCCTATTTCTTGCAGGCTTGTGAGTGCCAAATGACAAATTTCTGACCCATAGAATGCCAGCAGCGAGTATCTATTTGAAGGCGTCAATTTTTCAGTCCAGATATCTCCAAAAATCTAGGTGAGCATGCAGTCGGCAAACAATCTTCATCTAATACAGCTGCAATGTTTTCAAAAGAATTCGTTTATTTGCCCCTAACTTGTGGTCAAGAAACTGAAAGCTATGAGATTTCAATTTTGAGTGCGGATGTGCGAAGTACTGGTAAAATTCTCATAGATGAGCATAGCAGCTTTTTTCCACCACGAGAGAGAGTACATGAAGAGAGCTTTCCAATGATATGCAGATTCTATATCGTAAGAGAAAGTTTCATGGAAAAAAGTTGTTTGGTATATAGGCCTAGAAAAACGGACGTTAATTTCGCAACAACCTAATAGTTCTACCTAATATTTTATGATGTTGAATCAATAATTCTGGAATTGCGCAAAAGTTTCAAATTATTTTCGCCTCATATTTTGGCGTTTCCCCTCCCCCCCCCCCCTCCCTGCAAATTAGATTCTTTTGATAGAATCGTGAAGTTTGTGGAGCTTCGCAGATCATGCTAATCAAATCAGTTTCTGTTATCCAGAAAACTTTAGAGTTACATGCTGCTTAAGCTCATATGCACGTCGTTACAAAAATGAAGAGTCAAGGTGTTAATATTCTTTGATGAGCCAGCAACATTTCATCTATTCTTTTGCATACAACGGCCGACGCTCCCCCTCCCGCTAGAGACCAGCCCCAGTTCTCCCTGAGACATGCAAATAATTTAGTAGTTAGTGCGATCCGAAATAAGCAGTTAAGGAGTATAAAAATCGAGGGTTAATCGCTTTGAAGTGAGCATCCTTCTTTCCTACGAATCCAAAGATTAGAAACGAAGTGCTTCCATTAAGCAGCTTCCACTTTGTAATTTCAACAATGCTACTGTGCTCCAGATGCTGCGAGAGAGTATGAATCCTGTGTATGACTACCTCTAGCTTGACAGAATAAAAAATTCAGGCTTTTGTTACACATCTATAAATTTGCAAGTATAGACAGAAATTTTATGCCAGGTTCGTTAACCCCCTACAACTCTCGTCAATCTCAACCAAACTTCGCAAAACTGCTACAGTGACCTAAGCTACATTGATGCATTATTCAAGCAAAGACCGAACTCCAAAAGTTTATAGATCTCTGAAGGTATCCTTCTAATCTTGGCTCCAGCTAAGGATAGAAGTTGTATTGAAAATTCACCTCAAGGTAGATGCAGTCCGTTTAATGAATACGGATTTCCAGTGATACAACTACTTGAGGTAGAATTCCTCAAGATACTTTCCATTCAATAGCAGATACCTTGAGGTAACTAGCCAAGGTAAAATTAACTTTGAGATACTTCAAAGTACTCGACTATCTGCTGATAAAGAATGATAAAACTACCTGGACGAGAATTCATTTTAACGTATCAATTATGAATACGGCCTCAGAATTGATTAAAAATAAATAAAATTAAATATGTACCTAATCATTTTTTAGGTAGAAAAATGACCTCGGCAACATTTATTCTCACTTATTTCGAAAGATTTTGGAAGCCTTTTGTAAGTCTTCAATGCATACTAAAGCTAGCAAAGGTGCTGCAAAATACCGAAAATGCAGGACCAGGGCTCAAGAAATTTAACAAGGTAGTGTTTTGCTTGCACAATGTTTTGCATATTTTTGCTTTTTGATCCCGTGCATTGCTACGTATCTGGCGCTGTGGAGAGACAAAAAGTAGGAAAAAAATCGTGTTAATGTGCAGAAGGTGACGGGAGAGCACACGAAAGAATTTTAAAGGACTACCACAAACTTTTTAGGAAACGAATAGTGAACTGTCTAAATTATACTTTGTTCGTCTTCAATTCAATGAATCTTGTTAAGAATGACCACTAAAGAATTAATCTGCTGTTTCTGTACATATGGTGACTTAGCTGTTAGATGGCTTTGCCTTCTGCTTAGAGATCCCCCTTCCTGGCCCAGTGTCCCTAACGGATTCGTCCGTCCCGGGTTAATTTGGTCATGCAGGCTCTGGTATCTTCTGTCGTCCTATATTGCATCCGAGTAAGGGAAAAGGATCGGTAGAGGCATCCTCAGTTCTTGAAGAACGAGAACGACCTGGTCCTTCCAGCAAGGAAACTACGATCTTTTTCGACGTGCTATGATTTTGTTGTATGATTTTTTGAATGTCCTTTGCATACTTTTTGGATGCTTTCTATTTTTGGCGAAATTCGGTGTATAACATAGATATGTAAATAAATAAATGGAATTTTTTACAATTTTCGAAACTCAAGAACTAAAAACAAAAGTAAAATCACTGGTTCTTGAGGCAAACTACCTCAACTGTCATATCCTTTGCTATTTCCTAGTGTAAGACTGATGCCTTCAGCATGCATGACGCAATTTATGACACAGACAAATCTTTGCACTTTTCTTTATATTCTTCGGCGCTCTCACATTTTACCAGTTTCTCTCGGCCACATATCGGATCGCTGACGTTTTCGTAAACGTTCGGCCGCAATGGCTATCATTATAGTCATTCAGTCATCAACGAGCTAGTTATTTCTTGTGTTGTCTATCGATTCGAATGCAAGTTGCCACGTTTTTTGCACTTAGGCAAGCTTTCTGCAAGAATTGGGCTGTTTGGTGCTGTTTTGACAATCATTTTCTATTTGTGAAGCCTATAGAAGAATAACTTTCTTAGGCAGACGGACCGCCGAAACGTTGGCTTGTCGTTAAATAAAGTCTTGCTACCAACCTTGGTCAACAGCTTCAAAAAACTATATTGCAATTGATCACAATGCCAAAGTTCATCGACATTCGAGCACGAAAACTTTCGCTTCGCTGAGGCATAGGCAATTGCTGCAATTTTTCGTATCCTGTGAGGAATTTATTTCGACGTAACAGAAAGACTCAGCTTGAGTAAACGGAAAACAGTAAATTCTAGCTTACATTTTTTTGAGTTTTTCACTTTTCCATCGACATTGAGATACTCTGAGACTGAAGTGTTCGATTTCCTGCAAATAAAACATCTCCATAGTTCAAAGTGCTTGAGAAAATCAAATTCTTGGTTTTTGGTTTGATATTGTTCTCGCTACTAGAAATCAGCAGGTTCTACTCCTACTTCCATCCTAACAGAATCCAAATTGTTGGATAGTTTCTTTTCCCATTCTCAATTTTTCTATCGTTGATATTAGCACTTGTTGTATTTTTTGTTTACTAACTTCTAATGCGCAAGCCTATAACCGTATCAAAATAATTAAACAAATAAATCATTCAATATAAGGAATTTTAAAATTGTTTCCATATCTGAGAAAGGTCTTAAAAACATTTGATGGGCATGATTTGTGATCCACTGAGTATAGTAGACGTCATCCGTCTAGTCACCTCGGTGCGATGTGTGTTACTGCACACAATTTTGAAATTCCGGATGAGGTGCTGGGCTCCCGCCGTGCCGTACTTGCACCAAGTGCGCATACGGCTAAAATTTGACGCCAAACTGCCCGATTTTCTTGTTTTGATGTTTTTTTCGTTTTTTTCTGCATTTTTTCTGCACGCATGGTCTAGTTCTCAATGATTTGTTATCTTTATACTCGTGTATTGCCATTTTAGATCGGATATCTTGAAATTTATCACTTCTGCTTTCAGGTAAGGGAGGCACATGGGCAATCTTGCAGGAGTGTAAAGTAAGTGTGTTTTTCGGTATTGTGGTGCCCTTTGAGTTTGTTTGTACTATTTGAAACCTTCTGATTTCTCATGCTCAGTCACTTATCATTGAAGGCTCTGTTTCAATCACATTTCAAATGTCAGAATCGAAAGGTAAGGTGGCGATTGTTGGCAGGTGAGATTCGGATTTCAAAAATGGAATCAACAAATACCGCTCAAAATTTCAGCGGACTAATCGGAACGTGCTGGGCCACACTATTTGTCAGCGCTGGCTACACTGTTTGCCTGTATGATATCTCTACAAACCAGCTGGATAGTGCCAAACAAACAGTGCTAAAGAATTTGCAGAAGCTGAAGGTACATCACTTTTCAGCTTTTTTCGTTTACGTGAGAGGAGAACAGTACTGCTTCTCTTGTCAATGAAAATGAACCAAAATTCTTTCGTTCGTGTTTTTTTCTCAAAGTATTTTCTAGAGAGTATGACATGCTGACTGGTGAAAATATAAAAATTGAATTTTTTGTGTTTGGAAAGCTATATCAGTCTAGAGTAAAAATAAGATAACATTTTGTTTGTGAAGCACGAATATTCGACTTTGATTTATATTTTAAAGAATTCAGATTATAAATTTATTTAAAGGCTTGTTTGTAGAAGTAGAGGCGAAAATAGTTAGAGAAAAATTACAGTAAAAATATCTATTTCAAATAGTCTTTACATTGCCATTGTGGTTGAGCAATGTGGAGTAAGTTTAGGTTCTTATTAGGCTTCCGAAGCAGGAAACTTACGTAATTTTTTGACCGAGATCAGCAAGTCAGCAGAAAAAAGCAATGGAACGAAAAGAAAAACTCTTCTGGAATTTAGTATTAATCTATCATCGGCTCCACGATTCGTGTAGAGGCGGGGTTTTGCCAACTCAAAGCGTGGCGGTTTTTGATAGCGAGAGAGAACAAAAAACAATGCTATGATGTGGAGGTTTAACAAGTTTACTTGTGTTATCAGGTAAAGTCTGCAATACACCTCTACACGAATCGTGGAGACGATCATACATTCATGAGATTTAGCAATTACTATCGAAAATTTCCAGAGTGAAGGACTTTCAAGAGGTACGACAACTCTTGAAGAGGCGACAACCAGAATAAACACGACTACTAAACTAAGCGAAGCGCTGGCTGGTGCTATCTATGCTCAGGTTTATTATTTCTTCAGGGGATTTTCTCTAATTTATTCGATAAATTTTGGTGACATTTATGACATTTACTAGGTAAAATTTGGATCATACTGTCATTACCAGTCACGCAAAATGTTCCACTAAATCTTCAAATTCAAAAAATCTGACCAAAAAATTGCAGGAGTCAACTTGCGAAGACGTCGAATTCAAAAAGCAAATTTTTTCTGAGATGGACCGATATGCGACGTCCGATCTTACTATGGCAAGCAGCACGTCAACTATTCCTGCATCAAAATTCACAGAACAACTGAAGCATAGTTGAGTATTTCATACAGTCCCAAAAGGAAGAAAACTCAACGCAACGAATTAATTTCAGATCACAATGTCTCGTAGCGCACCCAGTGAACCCACCGCTCTACTTGACGCTCGTGGAAATAGTACCAGCACCTTGGTCTGAGGAGAAGCATTTAGCGAAAGCTTGCGAGATTATGAAGAGCATCGGGCAGGTAAACAAAGAATAAGATGATTTTTTCCAAAGTTCTGCGACCACGAAAAACCAGTTCTGCTCAGTTTCCTCATAATATATTTTTTTTGGAAAAAATCGTGTCAATGACTGTGCGCCACACGACCCAGTTCAGGGTCAGGGCGAAAGGACGTTGAGACAGGCTAAGTAGCGTAACACAATCAGCGAGTGCGATCACCGTACAGTCGCTTCTTTCATATGATCATGTGTGCCATTGCACACACAGTCCACTTTGGCGTCCTCATCCTGGATTTGCAATCGCAAAAAAGCAAGAGACTTATCGATTGTTATCGATTACATCAATTTGAGGTGACCAGTAACTAAAAAGGAAAGAAAATGCTAAGAACACCTTAGAAACACTTACCTGAAGGCTTGTTTCCCCCACGAATCCAGGATGGGGACGCCAAAGGTGAACTGTGTAATGACACACATGATCATATGAAATGAAGCGACTGTAAATAATCTAGGCATATATGACAATGTGCCAATACGGTGCGTACAACATCTGCGCGAAAAACTATGATACTTGTAAATGACGGCTACATTTGCGCGTTGAAATGGCCATAAGGCCACATTCTTAAGTGCAGCCTCCTCATATTCATTTACTCTTGAAGATGTTGTAACAAAGACATTTTCGTGTAAATAATTGGAATCAGAAATGAGAAGCTACAGAATACAAAAAGCAATCAAGCCTTGATAGCCGCTAATAATATCAAACCATTAGCTCTGCCCAGCACTTTAAAAAAATCGGCAATTCAAAGGCACAAACATCTCGATAAAAAAATTTGTTTGGTCTCCCGATTATTCCCAATGCACCCCGCTTGACCATACTCCAGTTTTTGAAACTTTTACTTATGTTCTAAAAGTTGATATTCGATCTTGAGCGCCATTCGATCTTGAGCGCCATCCCGAGCGGTCGGTGTGTTGTTTGCTCTATCACACGGCCAACAACTTTACTATTGGGTCATTTTCTCCTAGCACTTGATTCCTTGTCGGATATTCCCATATAGCCGGCCTTACTCTTGTGCTACCTCTCATTGAAGTGATCGCTTTTTCGTACACCTTGACTTGACAGACTCTTGTGCTACCTCTGATTGAGGTGATCGCTTTTCGCACATCTTGACTTGACATTTTTTCAACTTAGTTACTGCTATCATTGCCGCTGTACCGCTGTGCACGGCAAATCAGGCTTCTTTTCCTGTCGCCAACCTAAGTATTGATTGTGTTTCGAGTTTTTCGTCGTTCGTGCAATCGCAATTGATTTTTTTTTCTCTTGCATTATTTATTGCTCCGATTTTCCGTGCACGGTAGGTCAAATAAAACAAATCAAAACATGGGTCCAAAAAGCGCGCGGGGTAAAAACGTGTCCCTTTCACAGGCATGCTCGTCGAGAGTCGATGCAGGGAGTCAAACCTGCACCGACTTTTCGAGCATGTCGATTGAGGACGTGATCACCTCAATCAAAGATCGGTGCAATAATGACCCGGTCGTCGATAGGTTGTTGACTGTGCTGGTCGAGAAAATACCACGGACCAGCTTGGAGGATTTGGAGGCTGAAAAAAGGTCACGAAGCATAGTGATCAGTGGGTTACCGGAGGCGAGCGAGAGCTTGCGCTTCCACGAGCGTTGCTCTCAGTTAGAGAGCACGGTAGGGGAGGTGTTAGATGTATTGAAGGTCGAGTGTCGACCAACGGAATTGTATCGAATGGGCAAACTCAACCCTAAACAGCCTAGGCTTATAAAGGTTGTGTTCCCATCCAAACACCATTGGCGGACAGCGCTCTCCAATGCACGCTTGCTTAGGAATAGTGCTTTTCCTAATGTGTTCATTAGGAAAAGCATGACATCAGAGGAGAGGAAGCGCGCTTACGAGTTAAGGCAATTGGCTCGTGAGCGAAACCGCGATAAGGGTGCCAAAGAGTGGGTCGTGTATCGCGATGAGCTAATACATGTCTCCCAACTTCCTCGTAGGTCGGGAAACATGTAGGGCTGCATGGTACCTCTGATACCCTTCGTATATTCCTACTGAATGCGAGAAGTATTGTCAACAAACTAGATCTTTTACACGCATTTCTTTGTGAGACTAAACCAGATCTTTTGTTTATAACTGAAACTTGGCTAAATGAGTATATACTTGATTCGGAGATTGTCGGTGATTTACCATATGCCATTTATAGAAGTGATAGATGCAATCGCAGAGGCGGTGGGATTTGTTGCTTGATAAAAGGACTGATACTATCTAGCAAGGTTGATTGCAGTATCAAAATGTTATCAGATATTCTCGTTTTGAACATTTATCATCCATGTAGGCTTACGCGTTTGCGATTTATCGCGATATACCGCCCACCAAATTCAGGGATGAATGATGATGAAAAGTTGATAGAGGCTATGGCTGCGTATGCGTTTGCGACTGAGCAAGACGAAACAATAATTCTTGGAGATTTTAATTTGCAGATAGATTGGATTACCAAGAAAGCGTCAAATCATGCCTCTAATCTTTTTTTGAAGTACTTTGATGATTGTGGTCTCCACCAGTACGTTTCTTATCCTACACATGAACAACGCACCCTTGATCTTGTTCTCTCCTCTGTTGTTGATATAGTCAACGTACATGTTTTACCACCGTTAGGATCCTCAGACCATGGAATAGTTTGCTTTGAAGTCTCTAATGCCGCCTTTTCACGCATGCTTCCACTGCCTGACTTTCACCGAGTTGATTATACCGCACTGAATGACTATATCTCATGCATTGATTGGTTCTTTTTGTTTGACCAGTATGATTCTTGTTCAGACGTGTATAAGCGATTTTGTGAAGTGGTCTATTCAGCATTTGGCAAGTTCGTTCCCATGAGACTGCCCAATGTTGGCTCGACGCACTTTCCTTCGCATATAAGAGCCCTTAATATGCAGAAATGCAGACTTTTTGATAAAATGCGAGACCCTCTTCATAATCACCTGTACAAAAAGGTGTGCTCAGATATTGACCATCATGTGAAGAAATTCATAGCTAATCGTGAACGTCGGCTTGCATCTAAAGCTTCATCTAGAGGTCTTTTCATGTATTTGAAAGCAAGGTTGAAACCCAACGTGAATCTGCCAACGCTTGAAAATCAATCAGGATCCCTGTTTTACAGTGATGCTGATAAAGCTAAGGCGCTTGGTGCTTACTTCTCAAGTGTTTTTACCGCAGATAACAGCTCTGAGAATTATTCTACTGATGGCTTGCACACTGTTCACGGTAGTTGTTCCAATGTATATTTTGAACCGTCTGTGGTGTTCAGCTATTTGAAACGTTTGAAGCCGTCCACTACAGAGACTTATGACGGTATTCCCCCACTTTTTTATAAGAAATGTGCATCATCTTTGGCTGCCCCATTGGCGCATTTGTTCAATATCTCCATGTTGCTTGGTGAGATGCCAGACCTTTGGAAGCATGCGCTGGTGAGAGCTATTCCAAAAACCCAAGGAGCTAAGCTGCTGAGTGACTTCCGTCCTATCAGCTTGTTACCAGCACCTGGTAAAGTAATGGAGCGAATCATCAGAGAAAAGTTATTGTCCTGGCTTAACAAAAACAACCTTATCCCTCCAGAGCAGCACGGTTTCATTGATGGTGCCTCTACAACAACCAATCTCGTTGACTGCGTTTATGATTGGAGTCTAGCTTTGAATCAAAAGCAAGAAATAGATGTGCTCTACATCGATCTTTCGAAAGCCTTTGATAAAGTTAGCCATGCAAAGTTACTTGTAAAGCTCAAAATGATAGGGATCAGTGGTGCATTGTTGTCGTGGCTTACGTCTTATCTACAAAACCGCTTCATGACTGTCAAGGTTCGTGATGCATATTCGGATGCATACTGTTGCTCAAGCGGCGTACCCCAAGGAGCGGTACTATCACCGCTACTTTTTCTCATATACACTTTGGAATTGCCAAGTCTTCTTAGAATTTCGCAGGATGTAAAAGTAAAGATCTATGCGGACGACATAAAGATCTATGCAGCATACAGCCCTCATACCCGGCACAGGGTACAATCCGAATTGCAGCTATCTCTTACAAAATTGCAAGATTGGGCTACCCAATGGAACCTATCTTTGAATCAAAATAAAAGCTGCGTCTTACACATAGGTAAACATGCTGCAGGCACATATGAAGTAGGAGGGGTTATCTTGGGATCGCGCTGCTCTGTTAGGGATTTGGGTGTCATCGTCGATTCGAGACTTTTATTTAGTGAGCACATTGATAAAGCAGTTAGGCAAGCATACTCAATGATGTACAGACTTTTACGATGCGTTAAAAGTGATTCTCCTGTGATGCTTACGCGCCTTTATAAGGCACTAATTCGCCCTCATCTTGAATACTGCTCACAGGTTTGGAATCCTAACCGTAAAAAAGACATCAACAAGATAGAAAAAGTACAGAGAACATTTACTCGTCTTTTATATCGGCGAATCTTTCCTGACCGTTCACCACCAAAATATGATGTTCGTCTCAAAACACTCAATCTTCAGAGTCTCTTTCGGCGAAGAAATTGTTCTGATCTAACTTTTTGTTTCCAAGTTGTTAGAAAAGAAGTCAGATTAAAGGCAAGCAAATATTGGGTCTTCATGCCTATCAGTGAAAGACTGGGGGGTTTCAATTTACACTATGGTAAAATCAGGAATTATAGCTCATCGAAAATGTATCACAACATATTTTGCAAAACTGCAAGGTGGTTTCAACGGCTACCAAAAGAAGTCCACAGTGCATCAAACTCTTATTCTTTTCGAGCAAAATTGAATGATGTGGACTTTTTATGATTCACTTCAAGGTTGACTAAAGTTTGGTTGACTCTCAATGTGTTAGTGGCTCACTGCATGAGACCAAGTGCTAGCGCTTATCGCTGGTGTCTTAAGGCTGAGCCTTGACATTACCTTTCAGCAATGCTCGGGTGTTTGGGACCAAGAGGCTTTAGTAGCCACTTGTCGTAAACACTTGGGCCTTGTGGCTTTGATTTAGGTTTCTGCATGGGCCGACTGCGATTGTACGTCTATCTTTCTCCCACTGCTATCCAATGCCTGCTTCTATCTACTGCATGGTACCTTTGGCAACAATGGTTTTCCGCGCTGGTTTAACCTTCATCTCCATCGGTATTTGGAATCCTGCTCTTGGCAACCATAACTCCCTGCTGATGACCAAATGATTGCCCCTGCCGATATTTTGAATTAAAATCTTTCTTTTTCCACTTCTGTATCTTTTCTTTTCTTTGGCTTCATTAGACATGGCATTTGATACATATAGTTCTCCCCATCAAGTTTTATCTGTTTGATTTATTCTCCATGGCTACACTAGTTTTAGGACCTAGACAAAGTAGGCCCGCTTTCGGCTTGAGCCCTTGATTGTCGGATTTTTACTATACTTACACTTCGTCCAACGTTGGCTTGGGTCCCACCCCCTTTTTTGTTGTTCCTTAGTAACAGCTTGTTAGGCTTGATCGCTTTGCATATTGCTATCTTCTCTCCATCGGAGTTCTGCTCTCTCCCCAGAAATTAGTTGGGCGAGCTCAGTCATACTATCATACTTGGTTGGATTGGCTTTGTCATACAGTACATTGCGTAATCTCAATACCCGCTACCCAGCTACAGTTGCTTATCGAATGATTTAAGAGCACTTGTGCTGCAAGCAGGGGGCATGAGGCAGACTCCATCGAGATTCCTCGCCTATGACATGATTCCGTTCATGGTCTAAACAAGCTTATTTCCCTTTTCTTTATACAACATTCGGGGGCTGGACTTAAGCTGATTCAATGGATGTTTTTTTTGTGTTACTGTTTTTCTTACTACTGAATGTATCTTGAGTTTTTTCATTGACTGTGGTCATGTGGCACGCATTTTGCGTATCAAATAAATAAATAAATAAAAAAAAATAAAAGTACCTATTTTCCTGGAGAGCCCTAAAAACTTCACTAACATCTGTGAGCGGTCACTGCTACAGTAAATTTTTGAGAATTCGCATAAGAAAAAGACAACAGGAAAAGTCCCAGAAATAGGTTCAAAAATCATGAAAGTCTCCCACTTCGCACAAAATGGACATCTGCGGTACCTGAAAAAAAAAGACCAACGCTTTATTGGAAGTAACTTGAACATATTAAGGAACCCGTAAAACTAAATCACGAAGTGCTTGGTTTTGCTGTGAATCGACTTCAATATGCATTATTAGCGGAAGCTTGGCGTTTAGTTGGTGAAGATATCCTGTCACCAGAAGATGTTGACAAGGTACTTCATACCCAAGCGACATCGAACTATATGAAAAATTTCTTAACCAGGTTATGAGCGCTGGACTCGGACCACGGTATGCTATCCATGGACCTTTGCAAACGGTCCATCTCAATGCAAATGGTGAGTTGAACACTCACTAAGGTGGCCGTGTAATCCCATCGCTTCCAGGCATTCGCGATTACTTTGTCAGATATGGTGACGGTATTCGACGAGTCATGGCTGACATGGGTCCTACACCGACATTCCAAGAAGAAGATATTATTCAAAAACTAGAGAAGACACTAAATAGAGATATGCCACTGGACGAACTCCCAGCGTTGAAAGCCCAGCGGGAGCGAAATTTAGCTCGAGTAGCTAGTATGAAGAAAAAGTTGGACTGAGCAGGACATAACAGTGACACACTTTCCATTTCCGATTCAATACCCTCCTTTGCGCCTTTCTCAACCCATCTGTGAAAACAAATCTTGTTGTTCGATAAAGCTACCAGAACTCGTGATGGCAAATAAAAATATTATAATATATTTATCACTACAAGTTATACTCTTCAAAGCGAGAAGAAGAACCATTTGTCGGAATGCGCTTCGTTACAAAAACCTGTTCATGTATTAAGATACATTACCAAAAAAGCATATACTTTCGATAATACAGACGCAAAAAGAAGTCATGAATACATTTATAGGACCAGAAGAAGATGCGCCTGGTCTCAAACGACAGTGATGGAATTGCGATGCAATCTAATTCCTTCTTTTTCTGTTGTCCCTCTCTTTCTTGTCAGCGAGCAGAACAATTAGGTATCTGAAAGCGAACATAGAGTATTTATAGGGTAGGGTATGATAAAATCGGTGATTACCTGAAGATATTGGCAAAGTCCATGAACAACTCGATCGCATGCCAGATGTAATCGTCATCACCACGGCGCGATTTTTCAGCAATCAGCTGAGTATCGTAAACGACAAATGCGCACGCCAGAGCAAGTCCTGGAAAATAGGAATAATTATAGCAGAATAAGCAGCCTCAAATTCATTCCTTTAGTGATGTAAGCTATTGTGACATACAAAGAAAAGAGTGCCAATAAAATTGGAGCGCAACGTTGAGCACTTTAAATCTTTACTGAATGTTTAAATTGTTGGCGAAATGAACGTACTCGTAGAATTGATGCCAGGTCACATGATGTAAACCAAACTCCACTAAGCGAAAAAGAAAACCAAAAAAAGGAAAGGAGCTGGCATAAAATAAACAACCAACCTCCCAAGATGATGACGTAATATGAAGCGAAGAAGGCCGCAAACAAGAGGCAAAGTGAAGCTGAGGCCAAAGTTCCTGGAAAAGCACTAGTAAAACTTTCCCAACTAATGTTTGAAATTGTTTCGATCAAATCCAGTACAACAATTCCATTAACATTTCCGGATGCAATGCATTTCTCAAATGGCATCTTAAAACAGACACTAAGCAATTTCTTCCAAATTTCGATATACCACGGAAGCAGTGGCGTACCGAGGGGGGGGGGCGGGGGGGGGGCGCGCGCCCCCCCCCGAGAACGGGTCGCGAAATTTTTGAAAGTTACTTACATGCGTTATAAAAATGTGCAAATGACTTGTTTATTTTTGTAAACAATTAAAATAATTTTTAAAATTTTTTAAAAATTCAAATTAGCCTTATAAAAAAATTTTTTTCGGGGGCGTGGCTGACGCCACGCCCCCTTTTTCCAGATTTTAGGGGTTGGGGGCCCGCAGAATTGTTGAGAAGCCCCCCTAAAATTTTTTCGGAGTGCGTGGCTAACGCCACGCACCTTCATTTAAAAATTTTTTTTGCCGCGCCCCCCCCCCCCCCCCGAGCCGAAATCCTGGGTACGCCACTGCACGGAAGTCATAAGATTCATACTGTTCAATCCAATTCTCTATCATTCTTACCTCCCATATGGATGTACTTGGTCGATGGTGCGTAAGTAGCAACAAGTGAGAAGCATCCAAACACAGTGGTTGTGGCGAGCAGGGCAGTCAGCACAATCGAGGGGTCAATCTCAATCACACGTTCGAGAAGAGGGCCAATGCTCAGTCCTAAAAGGAAATTATGCGTTTATGTATTTCTATCTAAACAAACGAAAAATTGAAAGAGAGGCTTGCCAGAGAGTCCGCAAAAGGCAAAGTAATAAGCAAGTCGTTTCTTTTCGTTATCCCTAGTATGTGGAGTTGAGATCAGTGCAAACATCAAGCCCATTGAAACAAACGCCATGAGGAAATTCGCTCTAAAATAATAGTATTACAAGCATTTCTTGCGAAACAAATTCAGGACAATTACCTCAAGATATTCGTGAATAGATGAATTCCTGCTCCAATGGCGGCTGCACCAACACCGGCTGCAACAGTTGCGTAGACGTTACGCAAATGTTCTTGCACATTCTTTTCCCTAAAATTTCGCAGATAAAAGAGTACCTCTTGGACTATGAAAAAAAACTTACAAATGGTCGTTCAGCCCAGTGAATGTGCGATTGATATTGTCGAAAAAATTCGTAGCACCTTGATCACGAGCACGATTCATTCTAGAAGGGACAAAATAGTAAAAGGTGTAATTGAACCAACGTACGAAATGAAATGAGCGAGTGTTACCAACGTACAAAAAAGATACAAACTTCACATATACATTTGACGAGATGGTGTTGTAAAGAGGAGGCACAGCGGAATAAGCACTTTTCATATTCCATTGAACGCTAATGCAGGCCACAAAAAGCGTCTATCAATTCAAAGCCTCTTACAGAGCCTCTTACAAAGCCTTGTTAGATGAGAAAAAGAGTCAGAATTGCGTGTCACCTTCATTCAAAGCCTATCAAAAGTGTTCAAGAGCGCCGCATTTTTTGCGTGGAATTTCTAGCGCTGTTCACTTCTTAAAATGCATGGTCTAGAAGATGGAATTGCCTGCAAGGTGCCGACCAATTGCGAAAAAAATATAGAGACATGCAGAAAAGGCTTCCAGCTACAGTACAAAATCGGTGTCCCATTGATGCTCGATTTTTTGCCACTCCAAAAATTCGGGATGAGGCTCACGATATTCTGAGTGGATATAGTGTGCCACGGCGATGCAGATTTTCGGAGGTGGGTGACTACACAGGTGGAAAGAGTTATGAAATTTGAAAGTGTTTTTAGAATGATCCGCGCTCCTACAAGGGTCATAAAGTCGTTTCAGAGAGATATTGCAAAAAAAAGGAACAAACTACTCGCAACCATAAAAAGATGAGCATGCCGTACTCAAGCGAATATAAAGATGAGAAAACACTAAAAAAGGCCCTCCTCATCACATCATCAAAGTATATTTAACCACAGCCAATCTGGAAGACAGAACTTAAACAAATTGGAAAAGAAAAAAGGTATGCTATGCCATTTTGAAATGAAACTTGAGCAAAAATTGCGCCGCATGACGGACATGAAAAGTTGTATATGCGAATAAACGAACAGTAGAATAGCACACGTATCACCTGACTTTGTGGAACATTACCCACTAACATGAGCACTGCCTAGCAACAATAGATATTGTGTTGTCTATCATTTAGCAAAAAGGAGATGCATGCTCTTTTTAATAAGAGGAAACGATGAGAGAAACCAAGGTGAACACGGACGAATTCAAGAATGCTCGAAATGAATCCTCAGACTCGTCCAATATCCTCAACATATCTGCCACGATTGGAAACGACAAATAACGCAAAGCGATTTCTAAAGATCGTGGTCCTAGCTGCTTCACACGTACTGAAATAAACAGGCAAGTGAATAAAATTCTATTCTAGGACTCGAAAAAAAAACAGATAAAAAAAGCATGTGCCGCGTCACGCGACTCCTTCTCATTTTTTTCATAGCAACCGCTGATAGTGATAACAACAGTCATAGCCAAAGTACCTCGATTGCATGCCTAGTGGTCTGATTGGAAATTAGCGCTTATCGCTTTTTACTCGCATACAAAATCCGAAGACTAGATTACGGAGAAAATCCTGATGTCAACGAAACGCATACACAAAATTATGCAGATCGGAGTGGATAAAAGCCTCTACCAAAGGGTAGATTTGAGAAAATTTGAAGTCCATTATGTCACCTGAAACATCAGAAGACACACAGATGTCAACTGTAGAAAATGGCTTCTCATTATTTCCAAATGCATGAGATAAAAAAACATGTGCCGGATAGTCAGAAATGAGATGGTGTGATGACAAACATTAATATCGGATGCGCGCATAATCGCACACACCGCACCAATCGAGGCCATCGGAGTGGAATGACAAGCGAGATGAACGACTGTATGTGAAACCAAATATATAGAATTCTTCTACAGAAATGAAACAGAATTCATAAAACAAGTTTTAATTGAAAACAGTCACAAAAAATCTGCATCAAAACTATTGCGCTTTACGAAATTTCTTGACAAAAGAAAGAAATATGGGAAGCATCATTGGTAATCAGATAATCTAAGCTTCGAAAGCTGAAAAAAACCTCAACTATGCAATCGAAGCTGATTATACATGATTAGTTTGATAGATGGAAATGAGATCCTTCCCAGGAGAAAAGTCAGTCACCCACCGGTCGTAAAGCTAACCACTTTATAAATAAACCTCGTAGGAACCAGCTGTTAAACAAGCTACTCAATTTCGCAATGTCGTCGTCATCTAGAAGGTACACGTTGCATAGCACAGACAAACGACGAAGAGGCAATCGATGGAAGGCGGGCGCCGCCCTTTAACAGCACTCAGGACAACACGCTGGAACGTTCTGGGGAATCGCGTGATCTTTCAAAGTTTATTTATGGAACATAGTTAATTCAGTTGTGTAGCGGTTTGTACTTGCTGAGGCGATCTTTGGAATAGAAAAAGATTTGACCTTAGCAATGGTTTTCATTACTGGAATACTTTTGTAGTAAATTACTCCTATTGAAGGATGGCTGCAATCTCCGTAATAAAACTACCGACACTTTCCGCAGCTGTTCAACTTTGAGACCTCAAAATTCGCTGAATCCCTATTAACAGAAGTGTGGTGATCAAATGCTCAGAGATAGGGCCCGTATAGGAGTATATAACTCGGGAAGGCTTGTTATTTGGATACATTCCGAGACTTTTCTGGTGGGACATTGCCTTTAATTTGCTCAAAGTAACGGTAGATATACGTGGGAAACAACACAAAAAACATGGGACTGCTGTGCAAAACTCCAAACAACAAGCAAACTTCGACAATATAAGCTTTTAAACTTAGCAGTGTATGCAGTAGCGACAGATAAAAATAATCAAAATAGTAAAACAACCCAGGACAAAAACCAAACCAAGTGTATTAAAGTACGCGTACCTTAAATAGTGTCTTCAGGCTGTGATGCAACGTAGAATATGAACCTCTCTCAGACCACGGATAATCTGATTAATTGGCTGATGTGATAAGTGCTTGTGCAAACATGAAAAGTCATAACTTATGAGATTGAGACTATGTCTGCGATGCATTGTTAAGCTGTGGATTTGACAAAAAAAGGACTTATGGAGCAAAGAAGAATCTAGAATTCGCTCCTCAAATATCAAAGCGATGATTAAAAAGAAAAGCCAGTTTATTCTTTGAGTCTCATTGAACAAGAAGATGACGGTATTCAAACGCAGATACGAGGACTTCCAAAACAACTCCATTTGAAACATTTTATTTGCTTGCCTTACACAATAAATAACTTCAATCATAGAATTCTAGCAACAAGCATTGAACTTTGATAAGAAAAAAGCTACACCTAATATTGAGAAATTTAAGACTGACTCATAACAACCATTGCAGATGTAATCACGATGTTGTTCCAATTATTGCCATTTTCACATAGTGGCATTTGTAGAGAAGAGATAGAGACTAATGAGAGAACTCAGATTGTAAAATTGCCCTGAAAACGCTGTGCCAAAAAATTTTCGCTAAAATTTCATTCGGATAAACCACTTCAAAAGACCCTGATCCAGTCTCAAGATGCATATGGTAGATCATAATGTGGCAGCCGCTAGACTGTAATGTGAGCTAGGTACAAATGACAAACGACGATGTTACAGGGCAACATACTTCATATGTCAAGGATTGAGAATGATGATTGGTATGGATGCACATTACCATGAAGAACAGTAAGTATAATTCAAAAAACAACATAAAATGAAGTATGGTATGCCGTAGCTTACCACCTAAATTACGCCAAATCTGCTAACAACCGGTAGTAATGATCACGCCTTCACTTCCTCTTCTTTCCCTTCCCTAGTATCTAAAGCTGGATCGTAGCGTAAACGTGGCCAACCAGCCAAGTCTTTCTGCTTCAATATCACCTCTACCTATAAGTAAAATATAGCGATATTATTAGGAGAATAACGCGCCCATAAAATACAAAATCACCTTCCTTTCTCCTACAATAGCTTTGCTTTCCTCGCAAACAACTTCTCCCCATAAATCATATATCAAATCCGTTTCCTTCTTTCCAAACCCGTGCACAATGTGCAGACGCAGCATTTGTCCATCGCTTGTGACACGTACATCTTCAGGTAAAGCGCCCTATCAAAATTGTCATGTTGCATAAGAGAAGAAAATGCGCTTATGTACCCAAGAAACCAAATCACAGTCTAATGACTAACTTGTGTCAGCGGAATTCTGTTGCGAAATTAGTAAAAAGGCACAAGCTTATAAAGAACTAGCTGGCTTGCCCTCCGCCGGGCCTGCCAGCTAGACCCGTGTACGTATGTTCCGAATAGAAATTTTTATTTCTGAACCGATTGGGACCGAACTTTGCACACATACACTTCGGGGCAGGGAGCATGTCACAGTCCACTTTTCGTTATCGATCGATGTCGACTTTACCGATTTTTTGCAAAATTTGAGCTAGGGGGCTAGGATTTTGCACAGGGGGGTAATCGAGCATGCTGATCACCCCCTTCGGGGTGATCAGCATGCTCGATTACCCCCCTCTGCCAAATCCCAGCCCTCTAGCTCGAATTTTGCAAAAAATCGATAAAATCGATATCGATCGATAACGAAAAGTAGCCTATGACACGCTCCCTGCCCCGAAGTATATGTGTGCCAAGTTTGGTCCCGATCGGTTCAGAAATAAAAATTTCTATTCCGCACATACGTACAGACATACAGACAGACATACATACATACAGACAGACATTCAGCTTTATATATAAGATCAGTAGAAACATAACTCTTGATGAAGCAAAAATGTTAATAAGGCAGGAAAAGGATGCGGAATTTTGAAGCAGACTCACCTTACAATAAACATTAATGGTGATCAATCCGTTAGCCGAAAACCAATCATCTCGCACATGATCCACCTTTTCATTCTGCAAAAGCAAAACATATACATGCATCAATATAAAGAAAGTAAAAGAAGTCTGAAATTCAGAGGCCAAGATATTCATGACGTTATCAGATACATTAAAGCATGGATTTTTTTTTTCAGAAGATGAAGAAAGGTGCTGCAATTTACTATAACATTAGTTTCTGAGGCAGTGAGAGACATATGATTTGCTATTCGGTGAACAAGATATTCATGACCTTATCAGATACATTAAAGCATGGATTTTTTTTTCAGAAGATGAAGAATGCTGCAATTTACTAAAACATTAATTTCTGAGGCAGTGAGAGACATATGATTTGCTATTCGGTGAATAGTTCGACATTAATGGAAATTATGGAAATTTTCAAATGGTTTAATCGAGATAACGCTCACGATCAGTACGGACTACCTTATGAATAAAGTTTGAAATCGCCAAAACAATAATTGGGCGAAACTCACTGCACTCCACTGATGCTTCCCTTTTGAGCATCCTCCTTGTTGTAGGAAAGCATTGAAGTTTGAGGTTTTCTTTTGACAACAAGACCAATACTTCATGCCTTCGTGAAATATTGCTTGACCAGGATGATGTATACATGGGGTTTCGTCGGATTCCGGCCCGGAATAAGACTGAAAAACGGACTGAAATTCAATCTGCAGAACAATAATTCTCCGACACCTTGTCACAAGCATTGTTTCTGCACGGTGCACCAATACGCAAACCTTCATCTTTAGCCTTGCCAGCTTGTTGATCACGCCAACGTTGTATGGCCGCATGAGCTGCGGGAGTCGTTTCAATCTTAAATAAACAGAAGATTTAGGGCCGCATGCACTAACCTCCCCGCTTGGGAGGGGATCGCAGCTTAAAAGAAAGCTTTATATTTCGAAACTCCAGATACCTGGATTTCACGTTGTGTACCTATCCGTAAGTATTCTTACTACCCTTTACTACGAACATGTTGAAGAGGAGCGAGAAGCTGTACGAACCGATTTTCCAGCTTTTGTATGATACCTGATGATCCCCGGCGCTTTTCTTTAAAGTCATTTTTCTTTCTCCGAAGTCAGCGAAAACTTTCCAAAGCTGTACTGAACATCTAACACAATAGTGCTAAGCATGTTGCTGATGAGAACAAATGAGTTTTTGAAAAGTCGAGTTTTTCGGCAAACCTCAAATTTCGACCTGTAGATCATCGAAAATTTCATGACTTCAAAAGATCATTTGTTCTTATCACGAACATGCTTAGCACTGTCAGGTTGGATAACCTGCACAACTTTGGAGGTTTTTCGTTAACTTCGGAGAAAGAAAAATGACTTTAAAGAAAAGCGCCGGGAATCATCAGGGATCATACAAAAGCTGGAAAATGCGGTTCGTACAGCTTCTCGCTCCTCTTCAACATGTTCATAGTGAAGGGTAGTAGGAATACTTACGAATAGGTACACAACGTGAAATCCAGGTATCTGGAGTTTCGAAATATAAAGCTCTTTTAAGCTGCGATCCCCTCGCGGGATGTTAGTGCATGCGGCCCTTAGAAGGTTAGTAAGGATTTTAGGAAAAGGCGAACTCGACAGAGTTTCGAGCAGGTCCAAACAAAGTTTTGACTTTAGTTTTTCTTCTTTTACCTCTTCTAGCGAAATTCGAAGAAATCGGTAATTAATAAAAAGTTACTGCTGTTCTCTATGCTGCATAGGATGTATTAGAGGTGAGCGCCGAACTACAATGGCATGAAAACTACCACAAAAAATTTGGATTATGTTTATCAACATAACTCTCTGTTGAGAACACATACTGTGAAAAAAGAAAGCCACGCTTTGCAATAAGCTCGAAAGCTCTCAAAAGCAATAAAAAAGCATTAATTCAAAAAAAGCGCGAATGCAATCAAAAAACTTACAGTAAGAGGAACCTCTTTTCTTTCTTGTTCCGCTTTCCGTTCAGCTGGTTTATTTAGACCTTTCCAAACAATAACTTCTTCTTCCTAGAAAGGAAATCGAAACAACAATGACAACTGATACTCTGACGCTGAAAAAAAAATTGCAGCTCTAACCTTCTCTGGCCGGATCTCTTTCACGGCGGCGACTTTCACAATGTCTGCTGGTTTTTCGGGATTATGCTTCCCACGAGTACAACCCGGAAAATTCAGCCAAGTACTGAAATCTGTGCTTTTCTTGTTGCAACAGTTCCAGATTTTGTAGGCATCATGAAAATATGGTGGTCCGGGATGGTAGAGACAGGAATCTACAACATGAGATATCAAGAGGAAGTAATGCCCTTCAGGTAAGCTTGAACAGTGAAACTACCAGGAGTATTCGTATTCGGATCAAACTTCTGACCACATCCTTTATTGTAACACTGCACTAATGTCTCTTCCGCAGCTGATGTATCAGCTGGCATTGCCCTGTAGAATGATGTGCATAATTTCTTCAAAGAGACTTCGTCAGGGTTGAAACGAGGATGCAGGAAAATTTCGAAGCATTCAAGAAGAAAATACCTAGTGTTAAGCTAGGAATTTGAATCTGCTTGTCTTTAGAAAGGTATAAACGGGGGAGCGACAGGATAACGAAGAGAAACACTCCGGATATAGGTACAAAAGCTGATTATATCAGCATTTAAAATAGAATTTAGGTAAGCAGAAGCATAAGGAGATTGGTACAATACTACAATAGCAATAACTGTTTGATGCAAGCATATCAAAGGTGCAGGAAGACTGTAAACCGAATTTTCGAGAAGGCGTCAATTTTCGAGCGAGTGCGCGCTGGTGTTCGCCGCAGACATGCATTTTATTTGACGGTGAGAAGTTCTACTCTGTCTTCACTTAGGACGTGAATATCTACCCCATCCTTCTTATGAGTTCTTTGCGACATCATATATGTGCAGAAGAGGAAGTTGCGGATATGCATGAAAGTTCCTTCAACATTCATACCAATTTTGAACCGTTAATCGTATGGTTTTCGCAGCTCGTTGCAGTTGCAAATTTATGCGACAATTAAGAGAAATGCATTTTTTGTTTTTCACTTCAAACAGTATCCACCTTCAACTACAAATAGGCCATCGATCGAATTTTTGTGGTACTTGAATTTAAAGGCAGCGTCCGTCTGGACCTATGGGGACTTTACGTGGAAAGCACTTTTGGTGCCCTGACTAAGGCACTGCCCAAGCGGCAGCGCAGGTAGTGCTCTAAAGGCTGCGATATTCCCCTCGAAACTGGACCCCGCGATCGTATTCGCATGGATTCATGGCAGTTTCGCGCCAGGATCTACGTTTTGCGCCATGAATCCATGCGAAGTACGATCGCGGGGTCCAGTTCGAGGGGAATATCTCAGCCGTTAGAGCACTAGCTGAGCTGCCGGTTGGGCAGTGGCTCAAGAGGACCCCAAAATTACTAAATTAATAAATTGCTAAATTATCCACCTGAGATCCCCATGTGTCCAGACTTGCCGGACGCTGCCTTTAACAGTTAAAAGACAGCGTCGCGAGAGATTGATGGCTTTTGTGGCAGTATAATGACCCTCTACCCAAGCGATGACTGAAATTCGGAGGGAAAAAGGGAATCCACGAAGCCTACAATCCGCTTAAAAAGTGTCCTAGACCCCGCGGGATCATTCTGTTTGTCGTCGATAACAATATTGACCACAACGGGCTGCTTCAAACCGAAGTTTGCATAAAGATCATGTATCATGACTTATAATAAGCGGCTTAATCTGAAGTTGTGTGGAGTTTGTCCGTTACGAAATTACAGTGGGGAATGATTTACATTGCTTAAATGCATGTGAGAGTTGCAAAGCAAGTAAGGTTCATTTTTGTAATTACTTTGCGGTTTCCTACATCAAAGAATGATGAAGGCCAAGATCATTAAGTAAGTTTACCTGTACTTTTTAGATGGCCAGTGCGAACCTCTGCGAAGCAGAGGTGAAGCACTGGTCTTCAAATAAGAACTGATTGCAACATCGCGTGTAAGCTCGATATCATAAGATTTGAGTGCATACCTGTCACTTGCTTCTTCACAGAAGTGTCAAGTGACAACAATATCTTCGAAGCGATGCGCTTAAGCCGGGAGTTACACGCAACGGCCTGTAGCACAAGACTCATTCGTTTCGGAATTGGGAACCCATACCATCTTCCTGAAGTGACACGATACCAAGAATCTAGGGGAGGAATTAGATGTGGGTTCCTCTTACCAATGCCAGGCTTTTTTCCCGAGGCTTCATCGACCCATTCAAGAATAAAGGACAACCTTATCTACATGGTCTTCTCTGTCCCGTATGGAAAGAAAAAGCACGATTACGAGCTTGACGAACCTTCGTTTTTGGCAATAGAGTACTGACAAGCGTAGAACAAATTGCCGCAAGAAATAGTAAGCATCGACGACATGAACCTCACCCTCTACTTTATTACGGCCTTTTACAATTCCCACCTCGAATCAAGAGTTCGTTCAGGTATACAACCGACCGTACCAGCCCGGAGACAGTGATGCCCCATCCGAAGGCACAAGTGCGTCGCATCGGAGGTCGCGATAAATTTGACAAAGTGCCGTACCATGGCCACTTCAAAATCCACAACCGCTATTCGTTACTGTGCCAATATCAATATCACAGAAAGGATGGGTAAAGGATATTCGTCGACGACTGCCCCGTTTAGTGCATTTACACCACCGCAGGCGTGCCTCGTTGGGGCCTTTCCAGCTTGACAGTCCGCTGCAGCGCGCCGGGACTTCATAGCTCGCAGCAACACTGTCCTTTAGCCTCTTTTGTTGATTTAAGTATTTCGCATCGTTTTTTCTTCTTATTTTTCATTTCAGGCAATCGACCGTTCTATGTCTATGTGAGACCATCGTCGCGAGCAAAATGGAAAAAAAGAATGACCTTATTTGTAGTTGCAGTGGTGGATGTCATAGCTATGATTGCGATTGCATATTTTCTTCAATGTTTTACAATGATTTGATATGTTTCCTGGGACATACCACTGAACTGATTACTTCAACACTCCTACATCAGGGACACCATGTAGGAGTGTTGAAATAAACATTAAAGTGGCCTCATCTAAGGAAACTCCATGATACCACCACTGTTTTATGGACAAAGCACACCCTTTCACCCAACTTTACCCGAGGAGATGTTCACGTTTTGAAAAAGAATGTTTGGTGGGTGAAAAGGGAGAGGAATTCAAGAAATGTGTTCTAAACAAATTTTTTCCTTACCTCTCAGTACTCATCAAAGTGAAACGTAGGACATTTGAACATCTAGAGAACCTAAGAAAAAGGGAAAACGAATGACTGACTGAAATACGTAAACTAAGAAGAAAAAACGATGTGAAATACTTAAATCAACAAAAGAGGCTAAAGGACAGTGTTGCTGCGAGCCAAGAAGTCCCGGCGCGCTGCAGCGTACTGTCAAGCTGGAAAGGCTCCAAAGACGCACGCCTGCGATGGTGTAAATGCACTAAACGGGGCAGTCGTCGACGAATATCCTTTACCTTCAACGCTAGGTTACCTCTGCACAACGAAAGATTCCTCTGGAAGGCGACGAAAACTCAACAACAGTCGTGAAAAACACCTCCGTCGCAGAAATTTCCCCAGTCTCCTATAAGGAAGATTTGCTAAACTTGTCAATTGGCCTGGAGCAGGATCTGCTCTCTACCCAGCAAGTAACTTCCAGTCAGCAACCGAGATCCAGTGAAGCCAACGACTGTCCAAAACCGTGCGACGTTTGCAGTCGACTTCAGAGAGACCCAAAGAAACGCTTCCAACTCCGGACTGATGATCGAGAGAATGGCAAGCAAAGGTAGAGATTCCAAAGCTCGACTCAGTTCACATTCTAGAACTAGTGCTGCACTCGTACATAAGCCAAAAACGCTACATTCCTTGCTGCTCTCACTAGAACATGGAGGGCACATCTTTTTGTGCGCACAAGACATGTTACAAGCAGTGCCTCGGTAGTCAGAAGAGCACGGAACAACGCCTCAGGAGAATTTGAGACAAACTTTGCATTTTGGGCCAGCAGATAGAACGTGTTGCGAGCAAATTTTGGTTTAAAAATTGCCAGCCTGTTGTTCATATGGGATAAGATAAATAGCACGGAGCGGCGACGCGTACATCTCGCGGGTTTGCAGGACGTTCTCAGGGTGGTCGATATACTGCCCTCGATGAAACGTCAGTTGGTTCGAGATCGATCGTATGATCGTACACCCAACTGCAGCATGCGCCTTTGCCCATTTGGCAAAGAGGGTTTGCATGATCTCCGGAGACTACCTATCACATCTACCTCATCACATGTTTATCGTGTGCTGATAAGTACATTCAAGAAACAGGTCGCCTTCTTTTGCTGGCGCGTCAAAAAAACATCTGATTAGGTCGAATCATTAAAACCAGGTACTCCATTGAGTATCCCTCGCATTTCCTGCCACGACGATGTGGCAGGTTAATGGTTCTACGAGATACGTATTGGAGCGTCTATACTAACGCACGAGCCCGACTCCTTGCGCACAAAACCTTGGAAGCGTTTTGTATTAACGCAAGGGTCCAAAAAATGAACCGGAAGGAAGAGTGCATTGCGATCACCAATAAAATCGCACCCATTAATCCCTCTGTGGATTGTGATACGAGGTCAGGTCACCCGATGAAAATAGAGAAAGAGGTATCATTTGAGTAGATGTCTGACACACTTTTCAAGTCATATAAGGTGAGTATAGGTAACCTGCTCTCTCCTTTGCCATTCCTGCTAGCTCGAAGCTGATTTTTATCTTGAGTTGTAATCATGGCGTCTGAGAAAATGTTTTACTTATGTTTTTGACTTTATAGCCTCTGACGAAGGCAATCACGTCGAAACTTGGCCGTGCATGAAGAGTGATTGACATCTTGGTGGCGTGGCGCGTTGGACGAGACCCGGAAAATGAAAAAAAACATTTTTTTGTTTGTGATTTTTGTAGATTAAGTAATTAATAAATTGTCATTGTGTTAAGTGTTGTTGGAAACAATGAAATGAAAACAGAAGAAAAAAGTAAAATAAAATAGAAAATTCGAAGAAGTAGTAAATAAAGATAAAATAAAATAAATAAATAAAAATAAAAATAAGTGAATTAAAGTAGAAATAACAAGAAAAATCGGTTTCTCAACATTTTCAAATTTTATATGCTCGATGAAGTCATAAAGGGAGCCGCTGGAAATAATATGGAGGCGAAAGGTAAGCCGCCATATTTTTATCGACTATCGAGAAAAATATCCTATAGCGGAGAAATCGGAAAATTTAAAGTGAACTTTATTAAGTAGTCAGGGTGGTTCCTCAAAACCTATTTTCATCTTTCGGTCTACACGGTCAGTGTGAGGTAATTCAGGCTCGACAGAGTAAAATTGGGGCCAAAAAACTGAGAAATGGCCAAAAAGTAATTTACTGCCTTTCTCATGCCGCAAACGACAAAAATAACATCTTTGTTTTGCAAACGCGTTCTCTAGGTCCCAGTCCTTGCCATTCATGTCGGAAATTGAAGAAACTAATTTACTGCACGCACTTCTTACGAATTATATTAATCACAACAATTTCCTTGATAAAGGAATATACCAAAAATTCGCTTTACGTTGCTGTAATTTAAAAAAAAAAGTAAAAATGGCAAATTCCTCCTCCAGAAATATTTTTTTCATTCCAATTGATGCATTCATGCTCTCAACCATTTTGTTTTGGTAGAGTTGAAGAAAAACATTTCAAAACATGCAATTCTCAATATGCGTGCCATGAATTGAGCTGTGTTACCATTGTCTTTGCTCTTATTTTGGCGAGTAGACGTCTTATGTGGGTGCGGGGTCAATTGCGGGCGGAGCCAGCCGGCTTGACTTACTGTTGCGAAAGCTCAGCTTGTATCATGAGTTTGCTAGCTTTTGCAGTAGCAATCGATATGAGGGGTCAAAATGGGGCGTGTCCGAAGCTGTACCATATATAAGAAGAGGATTATAAGCGTTTTCTAGACTTGGTGCTCTCAATTAGATCCTCATTGCCTTCTCCTCTGAGATCACATGCCTTACTTGATAGCACATGAAATCTGCTTACTTACAGTCATGAAAGGGTATTGCAATAGCACACGCTCGTCAAGGGTAGTGACACCGTGCTTCATGAATCAAGTATTCGAATGCGGCGAGGAACACCAGAGAGGACCCTTTGCCAGGTAAGTGACCAGCCCAATTATTCACAACCTTTTTATCACAAGATCCTTTGCAGTTTCTTCATCGGGGTCGCCTTAGCAGTAACAACAGGACTGGTGGCAGCCGTGCTCCTAAGCATTTTCGCGTGCACCAACTGGGTAAGGACGAAGAGAGCTATGAATGGGGTCCAAGCCGCCGTCAAAGGCTTCTTCAAGCCTCCTTAGCATGGGGGCATTTTTTCTGTGTATAGAGTGTATATATTAATATATATATTGTTTTTTGTATCTCTTTCTTGTAATAAAATTTTTTCCCATGTTGTGTTCTTCGTGGAACCGTTGTGGCTCATACTACTTGTGACTATTTTAGTGCTGTCCTTAATGCAATAAGTTTTTAGCAAATATGCTTACCAGCGCTGAATTGGACGAGGTGAGGAGATGGGCAGGCTGTGTCGTCCCCGGCACAGACTAAGTTTCTAGAAAATGAGTGAATATGCGAATAAATGTTTGTTTAAAGACAAAGTTGCGCTTATTGGCGGCATGGTTATCACCGTAAATGCATGAGTGTATGCCGCCATCGAATTTATTATGTATTGGCCGATCTTCCAAAGACGTGTGGAAGGCGTAGTGAAGGGTTGGAAGGAAGCGGTGGAAGTGGATGAGGAGAGCGGCGGAGAGAGTGAAGGTGGGCTAACTGGCTTTCGACTGATATATAATATGTTGGCCTGGAACGACGTCGCTATGGAGTCATCAGTTTGCTAAAATATAAAAAATCAGGATTTTCAGAATTATGTAACTCTTGTATGAATCAAGGTTTTCAAAATTGAATATCTTGTAAATGAGATTGTGTCTCGATGGGAAAGGGGTAATTGGAATATACTCATTATAAGCTTTCGAATGGTGTACAACAAGTTGGCCTGAATGGAGTTCTTTATAGAAAAATCGTGCCTCAAAAAGACGAAAAATCACGGTGCTAAGAACCGATTTTTTAAAGATAACTTTTGTATAAGTGATTGAAATAGGAAGGGAAGGATATAGGCGAACTCTACTTCTAAAGAGCTCTCGATTGATATATATTATGTGGGGGTTCATGCTGCTGAACTTCGGGAACAAAGGGTGAGCATATTTGGCCGAAATGCTTACCCCCAAGGGCGAGATAATGATATAAAGTGAGAGAGGCTGATCCCATGTTAGAAACTAGAAAATCGGGTTTTTAGTTAAAAAGTTTTGGAGAAAAATGATCTCTTTAAGGATCAGCTTTTTCAAAAAGAGGTTAGAAAAACGCATTAATGAGACAACCTAATATATACTCACCTTAACCACACAGCCATGTCAGAAAATGCCCATGTACCAAGTTTGAGAGAAATCCACGACATCTTTAGGGCCTGGATTTCGAGTTAGCCATATAGCTTCCAGTTTTATTACAAAATGTAAGACCATGATGTAACTGATGAAAAATGTGGAGTTGCGCACGAGCGCAGTGCGAAACACAACACTATGATGGCTAAGATTATGCATGAACCTAGCTCGAAATTATGCAAGGAACTCGTGCTAATGTGCAGCACGAATATTTGCCGCGCGCTATTTCGCGGTCCGAAACGTGTTAATCTCAGTTGATTGCAAGTGATCTCTATGTAACAGTGGCGCTCCCATGACTTCCATTTGGGGGGGGGGGACTCAAAATTTTTTTCTAATAAAGGTGCGTGGCATAAACTTCGAAAATTTCTTTTGGATTCCCATATTTTTTTGTCCACAACCCCAAAAATATTTTTATGAGGCTGTTTTGACTTTCAAAAAATTTTGAGATTTATCTTATTCAACAAGTCACTTGCACATTTTCATGCTCATGTATGTATTATAGTTAGCACCGAATATTCGTGTTCGAATAATTTATTCGAAATATTCGACTATTCGAATATTCGAATAGTCGAATATTCGAGAAAGTCCATTTATTCGATTATTCGAATAGTCGAATAAATGAGAGAAGCCTATATTCGAATAATTCGTTCATTCGACTATTTCGAAAAATGACTTATTCGAATATTCGTTCATTCGAGAAGTTTTAAAAAAACGTTTATTCGAATATTCGTTCATTCGAGTAGTTTCAAAAGATAGTTATTCGAATATTCGAATATTCGAATATTGCATCCAAATATTCGAATAATATTCGAACATTTATTCGAAATTAGTCGAATATTCGGTCAAGTTCGGTTATTCAAGTATTCGTTCATTCGAATTTTGGAATGTGCCAATATTCGAATATTCGAATTCGAATAAAATGAAAATCGAAAGTCGAATAATATTCGTTCATTCGAAGAATTTTCGAAAATCAAATATTCGATATTCATTCGTTCGAAAAATTTTCGAAAATCAAATGTTCGATATTCATTCGTTCGAAATTTTTTCAAAAATCAATTATTCGATATTCGTTCATTCGATGAAAATTTCCGTTCGTTACAACTATAGTATGTATCTGGAAAAAGGGACGTGGCCTTCCCCCCCCCCCAGGGATGGGCGCGAGGAAATCGCCATTGTACAGTAAATTTCAAGTGAATTTAGGCAAAAATTGGAGTAACAGGAGTCCATTTCTCAACGACTCGCGCCGCTTTGCAGTCTGCGTCTCTTCATTCTAATCTATCTCGCTGGACCAGTGGCGTTGCGGACGCGCTGCTCCACTTGGAATGTTTCGCCTGCCCCGGGTTGATAAAGACTGTACGAATCGTGCACTCTGCGACATTTTAGCCGTTTTGAGCAGTCCGTCCGGTCAGCGAATCGACGATAGGTACATATGTTTGCACTCAAATTCTTGCTTTTTGTTTTGTTTGTATGTGTTCAGTCGGTGACAGCTATCCAAAAGTCAGAATCCCGCCGTGTTTCACCATACGTGTGGTTCATCCCCGGAATTTTTCCCATATGAACCATCAACGTGGCTGTCTTTTGACCATTTTAACATGTCAGCTTCAAATAAGCGCCTTAATTTTGCTGGAGTTGCCGTGGTGAAACGATTGAAAGGCAGTAACGTTGATGGTTCATATGTGAACAAATCTGAGGGATGCACGATATCTGTTGCCACGTACGCCTTATGCAAGCTGTTTATATAGATGTCGTCATACCATGTTGGGGCTTGTGCTTAACTCGAAGAATGACGAGTAAAATTACATCATCCTTCTTATTGAAGCAAAACGTAGGTTTTGCCGAAGGCAAAACCTACGTTTTGCTTCAATAAGAGTTGGAGGCAAAAGGCATATAAATCCACTTTAGACGCACTTACATGCGAATAGCTGAAAAGGAAAAAAGAGTGGAGGTGAACAAAGTTCATTGGCTATTGCTATGCAAGTCTTCGTTATCACATCCCTAAGAAGCTGATATCCAGTTGTGTACCTTTATTATCTTTCTATCGTCTCTAGATCGTAGTTGCATGATGCAATCGCATGATGCAATCGCAAATAATCGCAAATAACTTCCGGGGAAAACTGAACTTCTAAAACTTCCGGGGTGGACGCTCCTGTTGACCCGTATAGGTGGGCCCCGCCCTACATGGCAGTTCCAATAGGAGTGTCCCCTCGGAATTTACAGAACTTCAGTTTTCCCCGGATGTTTGCGAGTTTCAGAGGCAGTGCGGCTATGACTGCTTTTTGTTACTTTACTGGTTAGCTTCTTCAATATTTTGCACCTTGCAACTCCAACCATATGCTCAGTTTACCGGAACCGTGAAGTCGCTACAGTTGCTACGGACCTTATCACACGTTCAATGATGCTATTCAATGATGCTATCATGAATAGCCTTACTTTACACTTCCACCAGGTTGCAACATATGAGAGGGAAAAGGCGTCAGAATATCTCAAATCATCGTCGTCTAGCATTACTAGCTCAAAATTTTCTACATCTGCTATCGTTTCAGTCCCTTGAAAGATGGCTGTCACAACAACTTTGTACTACTCACAGCAATGAAGCATCTGCTTCTTTTGGTACATTACGCAAAGTATCACTTTTTTCTAGAAGATAGAGAGAGACAAATGCGCTATAACAAAGACATTTGTGAAATTTACAACTGGAAGGGTTATATAAAGTTGGGACATGCGTTATACCTTCATGTAATGAACAAATTGGTCATACGCTGTACAGTGCTAGTGCAAATTGCGGAAAACAGATCAGCATACAGCTAAGGTTATTATGACTCGCGTTATTAAGGCTCCCGCCAGAGTGCCGAAGCCATGCCAGCGCTACGCCAGCGCCGAGCCAGCGTTTCGATCGATACACGTGCATATCGTTGGGGCAGGGCTAGCTGACCTAGTTCCCAGCCAGGACCCCGCCTCAACGAAATACACGTATATCGATCGAAACGCTAGCTCGGCGCTGGCGTAGCGCTGGCATGGCTTCGGCACTCTGGCGGGAGCCTAAGCACGCGGAAAATACTACTCAATGCCTTCTGGATAATGATTCCACCCTTGATCCGTATTCAGCCGACCACCACCACCACCACAGGATCGCTATTGCAGCAAAATCCACCCTACCACAATATGGCGGTCCAGCAGAAATTAACAAAACCAGGTGTGTTTTCATTTTCATACATCTTCTAGAGCATACCTTCGATACATAGAGCCATGTACTCTGGTAACCTTCACTTTGAGCGTCATGATAGAACACAACCTTCACCTGGGGAGAAGTACAGAAGTCATCCGGGGCGAAGCCCCGGAAATTATGACCTAACTAATGACAAAACCGTATAGGGTTGAATTTAAATGAGGCAAATATAGCAGTGACATTCAAAAGAAGCTCAAAAAATTATGACCTAACTAATGACAAAACCGTATAGGGTTGAATTTAAATGAGGCAAATATAGCAGTGACATTCAAAAGAAGCTCAAAAAACCGAAGGATTGCGATTTTATGGCCTTTTTTGTTGAGAAGAAGGAATCAAAAACTAGAGCAAAATCTCTCAATTAACCTTTCTCTGAACTACGGTTGAATGTTGGAAGTTCATTAAAGCCGCTAGAGTTCAATAAAAACGAAAAACTGCGCTCAAATCTTGCGCAGAGAGTCGCCATATGAATGCAGTTCTATTTCGTTATGGAGTGATTTTCAAGACCCGCGACGTTGTCAGTGCTCCTGGCCGTCTTATGAGGATCACAACGATATATAATGTTGCAGGGTTTCGTTGAGACCCTGCGAAGATCTACGACCAGAGCCAAATGCCCCGTCGGCTCTGGTCTGTCTCCGCTGCTCGTCTGCGTCTCGGCGCACTGCGCGCTACCTCGCTACCTCAGATGCGGGGCGCGGGGCATTTGGCTCTGGTACCCTTTTCTTCGTTGTTCGGAGCCCAATTTCGATAATCTATATATCATATTAAAGCTCTTGATCTCTATTTTCACGCTGACAAAGTCGCGGAACTTCTTTTTGGGATTTAAACGAGAAATTCTCGAAAAACGGCGTTTTCGAAAACCTCTTGTTTTTTCCTCAGTTTAACTTTTTTCACTCGGTTTTTTTGTGTATTCGATAGGTCTTGTTTCTGTCTATAATGTAGACAACGTCGCCGAGCTTACTTCTTTGCTTATGCCGGTTTTTTTTGTGAAAAATACAAAAAAGTGCGTTTTTCTTTACCTTGTTCTCTTTCTGTGCTTTTGCAGCGAATTTTTTCCAGCTTGGACGATACTTGCTCAGAATGATGAGCGGAAGAATCCAGACAACGTCGCAGCGTACGAAACGACTATGCGGGGGTGAAAATTCAAAGGACGCATCAAAAATCAGATTGGCGTCGATGTGCAGCACAACTTTACAGACATGTTTAACATGTTCAATTCAGTTGTTGACAAGTTCTTCTTCTTTCGGTATCTCAACTAACGCCACAGCTCAACAGCGCTTTTTTTGATTGAAAAAGAACTTTGTTGTTGTTGCCACCCAATTTAACCAGCAATTCTGGAGACGAAACTCTGCGTAGGACCACCAAGTTAAGGTTTCAGATTTGGTGATGTGCTAACCTCTGCTTTATATGAATTTTCTAAGTTTTCTAAGTTAATTTATATCTCTAAATTTTCGTCTATTTTTCTGGAACAACCTTCACTTTTTATAGGGGGCAAGAACTCAAACAACTATCACTTTCTAGCCTCTGTCTCTTGACTATCGAAGGTATGTTCTAGAGGAGCCAGTCCAGACCCTTGGCAACTCAAGCGGAGCCTAGTTCATATTGGCGATACTGAAGCGGCACATATATATATTTTTAGCAAAGCAAAAAAGATCAAATAGTGCTGTACACAATTCGGCACATATGTAACATTCTAAGGCCAAAAAAGCAGATAGGATGGCATCCGGGATCAGGATAATTTTAATCGGCTGGTTAGTCATAATTCTGTGGTATGTGAACATATAAGTTTTTTTGCGGTGTCGAACTAACAGCAAGTTCTCCAGAAGAGTTAGTCATAATCAATGGTTTTAGTTGAAAAAATACATGGAGAGTATCTGATGCAAGCTCAGTCACCATACCAATTTCTTTTACAGTCTTATCTGATTTCACTGTCTGTTTTCTCTTTGAGCTTCTCATAACTAATATGCCCTTTCTTGAGCATGCTTCAGCTGGAACAACTTTTTGGGGTCTAGAAAAGTTGAATGCTCATGTGATGTATCTCATACCTCACTACGGCTAATCAAAATCATAACGTGCAACACTAAGCTAATAGAAAAACGTTCAAAAGGTGACTTGGCGGCTAACAAACCGCCTCACATGGAACTATTCACTATTACTATTCATAGCTACCTGGTGGTCCGGCACCAGCTGACCTATTCACGCACAGAGGATCTAATAAAAAAAGTTTCGACTGATAGCTTGGCACTTTCTTGCGCTGCTTTTCTGAACTCTTTTCCGAATGTAACGAAACTCGTTCTTTAGAGCCAGTCTAGGTGTCCCTAGAGGCCTTTACACAAGGCACCTTCTCATCAACTTCAACTTTGGAACACACCACTCTCTGCACGATTGATTCGGAAAATTAACTCACCGCATGACTTTGCTGCAGGACAATTATGCAGCTGGGCGTTCGGAGTTTTTTTGCACTTACAAGGAGAGGATACTTAGCTGAAAGCACCAATCCAGATGAGACATATACCATCTTAGAGCGCTTGAAACGCTGATTCCAAATCTGCAGTTTCTAGCTGCGGAGCGGTTTTGTAGAGGAAGTTATGAGGGGTCTTTCCTCTGGGGTTGAGGCACCCTCCACCAGGTCTCTCCCTACCTATGAGCACTGTAGAGGAGTACCAACTGGTGGCAACTAACCTAGTGGTAAGTGACATGCTTGATAAAGAGAGTGTTAAGGTTTTAATCCCCTTCGCATGCTAAATTGAACTTCTAAATGGCTTAAAGCCCTAAAGCATGAAACTTTTGATGATTTTAATACTAATCGAAGTGAAGTGTCGAAAAAAACCAAAGTAATTTGAGTATTACAGTCTTTACTGTAATCTTTATTAAAGTTACTTACCATTAGGTCAGTTGCCACAGCTGATACTCCTCTACAGTGCTTAGAGATGCGGGGAGACCGCCGCAGGGCGCTTAAACCCCAGAGGGTGACACCCTTCATAACTCCTCTCACAAAACCGCTCCGCAGCTAGAAACTGCAGATTTGGAATCAGCGTTTCAAGCGCTTTAAGATGACATATGTCTCATCTGGATTAGTGCTTTCGACTAAGTATCCTCTCCTTGTTAGTAATATAAAAATCTGTTGATGTTAATCCCTCAAAAAGCGTATGAATTTCGTTCATCCTTAAACGGAGTGACCGTTGGTGGCATATCGCATGTTCTCTGTTCCGTAGTCCCTAAGAATTTCGGCTTTACACGCGCAAAATGAGTTGAAGCGTCATTTAGTGTTGTTTTGCTAGTTGTTTCTTGTTGGTATTTTTACAAAGTGTAGCATTAAGACAGTTGTTAATGAAGTGTAAGGAGTCAAGATTAGATAAATAATAACCAATGATTCCAGTAAGAAATAATGAGGGTAAAAGTCTTCATTTTCTACCTCACTGAACGATTCTTGGTGTTAGACGCCTCTTTTACAAGATAAAAGCTTGGGCGTGCTATCATTACCAAGCATTGGACTGTACGCCTGATCTTCTTTCACATAAAACCTTATCAGAGAACATCTAATTTGCGCGTGAGTCATAAAGTAATGCTTAACAGCTTACTGCTCTCATAAGTTGCTTGAGCGGAGATACGAGAAGTGATCAGAATATTACGTCATTTTTTCGGCACTTTTTGTGGTGATGTTTACTTCCTCGTCAAGGAAACTTTGTACCCTTTTTAGGTGTATGAGCTGCACATTTTTGAATTTCCATGCGAGTTGCTTAGCCGCCTCGCTGTTTTGAAAAAAGCGATCCTCCTCTCGCACGATTTTCTCAAGCAATGCGCAGCACTGCATAGAGTCCTTTGGTTGCGATGCCCTGGCGTGTTGGACAAACTGATCTTTAAAAATACGAATCGTCTTGAGCTCATGAGCTCAGAAGCTCCTAGAAGATGCTGTGGTACCATTGACAGAGAATGTAGAAAAAGAAAGAATTGGAAGTAAATAATAAAGGGAACACATACTAAGTGCATGCTCTTCAGTCTCGCTATTAAGAAACATCCTTGGAAAAATTTGTGATATTTGCATAGGCTCAAAGAGAAAAATATTTGCAAGCACACTTGAAGCATATCATATTACAAACTATCGATTATGCCACATTGGCAAACTTTATACTGCAGAAAATAAAAATACTATTACTGAAACATGCTCATAGGACCGTTGTCAAGATGAAAGAGAAACAGGTCTTTTGATATCATCAGAACAATGTTGTTGAAGCATGTCAGGAGGTATACAACATTTTATCGCGGCCAGGATGTTAAAGGCAGTGTCTCACCAAAGTTGAGGTCGCGCGGATCTTTACATATTCTATTAAAGGGACCTCTAAACAGGCCATTGCAGCAAGTCCCACTCAATTTGGCCCCTCCACGCTGAGAAAAATTCGCTCAAAGTGGAGAGCGACTTGGTACGCGCGGACGACTCCTTCGGTCTCTCCCCTTACGCGCTTGAACATGTCCCTCCACTTGGCATCCACCTCCCTTCTGTTGCTTCCAGTGTGGCTGAGGCTGAAGTTGGAAGGTACAACTCGCCCACGTTGCTTCCGCGGGGTCTCCAGAAAACGGGGTGTTTGGGAACCTCGTGCGATTTTAAGCCATACAGTGCTAGACAGGGTCCGAAGGCATGCAAAATGCAAAAATCTCGGCAACTAAATTTTGGTGAGACACTACCTTTGAAGCTTGAGAGATCTTTGCGTTGCATACCAATATTATATCAGTTTCTTAGCAATCCTGATAATAATGTTCACACTTTAGTGATCTCATTCTTGGGCCTTTGCAATTTTGGTTATAATGATCACACTTTAATTACCCCCCCCCCCCTCGGGCCTCGGCTGCGTCCTAAATAGGTCTTTCGGTGACAATTTGAATCTAGTAATGTTTGTTGTCGATGCGGCTATCTCACGGACCGATAACTGTTATTTGCCTGGTGTACTGATTCACGCTGATCAAGCTATACACACCCGATAAGCGCTTACCTGCGGCCGAGCCACATAAATACAAGGGTGTGGCGATCGGCTAAATCAGTCTTTTGCGATAAAGTCAATTGCCTTTTTTCTTTACTGTTAGATTGCAATGTATTTTACAGATCAAGCCTGTCCATTGGAGAAATATTTTTGGTACAGTACTAAAAGTTATCAGAATGCTCGATGCCCCTTCACATGTGATCGCCGAGACCACACTGTACCCAATGATAAGGCCGTCAACAAATTGTGCGGTAATGGGGCTACCCCTTGCATCAGCCCGTGCTAGGCGTCCTGCTGTTTTGATTTTCTGCTGCTGACCTGCTTTAAACCATACTGTCACTATCCGTTAATAATGTAGTCCCTCTCAAAAATTGGTTCCTTTTGTGAACTCTTGCAGCGCTCTTCCTGTCTTTTCTGCTATTTCAAGATGTGCAGTACATTACTGAGCCACTGTTATTTGCAATTATCGTCCTTACATACGTATTGCAAAGAAAAAAAGAACTGCATAGGACCGTTTAATTCAGATGTCTGGAACACCCAAAGTTGAAGGACGATTTCAGTTAGATGTTGGCACTGCTGGAGATGACATTGGAGCCTTTTTCGCAGGTACAGTCCTCACCCTCTTTCTATTTTTTTGCGGTGCGAGATTATGTCCGATTTTGGATTTTTCAGTAACTGTCTATTACATGTAAAAGACATATCGTTATGTGCTTGATTTGTTTTAAAGTACAGTGGGCTGCATTGTTAATCACCTTTGAACTTCTATCAAGTTTATCAAATTCTGAAGTAAAATGAATTTTGGGCATTATGTTTGGGCACACAATGAAACCTTCGAGGGGTTTTTTTAGATAACAGTTAGAGTTAGTCAACAGTTATTGCTTTTTCTAATGCTTCCACTACTACTTCATAAGTTAAGTCTGTATACAAAAGAATAAAAACAAAATCAAACATTCCTAATGTGGAGAAGCTTGGAAAAGTTGATTCTCTCAAGTTCACTTACTTAATGCACCAGTATACGGAGGAAAATTATGATACAATAAACTAATCTTCCTCTGTTCACTTTCAAATTCATGGATTCATGAATTCAATACAAGTGAAACTCTTGAATGGGCAATATATGTATAAGACTTTAGCTCGAATAATTTTCTTTCAGTACGGAATGTGAACAAGCAATACCCGATCGATGATATCCCAGATGACACAATCGAATTCGACATTCTTCCCTATCGGTATCAAATTGGTTCAAAGTTGCGGCGCGCACTAAACAATCAGGATCGACGAGACGCTGAAGAAGACAAAAACTACAAGGCCAAAAGCAAGCTGTAACTGTGCTTCTCTTCAAATATCTTATTAAGTATAATCTTGCAAATCCGTGATGCGAACAAAAACAATTCGCTACTTCCTACGATATACATAACAGATCGGCTGTCCATCATTGTTCTCAAAACGATACATAATTTTGTGGATTTCTCATGAGATTTCCGTAATTTGATACTTGTGTTTGTAAATATATTGATTCAATGTTGTGCTGTGAATTTTGAATGAATATTCGTGCATTCATGTTGCAATTGTCTGTTTGGGTTTCGAACGCTCATTGAGCCTACGTTGTAATGGGTTGCATACTTTGCAATGAAGACTAGCTATCCGAAGTCGAAGAAAGTTGCCTCGAGAGTCACTTTGGTCGTATACCATGGCAAGGAGTGTTCTATTGACGGACACTAAACTCTTGTGGGAGATCTACGGACTAGGAACAAAACTCAAAAGGTTTAAAAGGAATATTGTAATTTGGCACAAAGTTCAACTTTAGGAGGAGAAACTCTCGAACGTTGTTCAAAGGTTGAATACAAGTTTGCATTGCAACCCAATATTCGCAAATATGCTGACATGCCGTGATACTTGTCTTACTGTAATTGCCATTTCTGTTGTTTATCTTATCAAGATGGGAGAGCATGCAGAGAGGTTATTTCAGCCGTATAAGCTAGGTAGGCTTAGTAAGATGGCGCGGAACACCGAGAGGTGAAATCTTCTTGACTTGGCAATCGCGATATACCTTTTTGAGGTGTCAACAGAGGTATGGCTTGAGAGCAAACTGAGCATGGGTTGACTGAGGCAAAAACCTGACAAGGAGAACTGGAGAGAAAGAACACGCAAAAAAAGGCTGATGTGTGCACAGGGCGTAAAGCAGAGAGGCGAGGCTTTGGACTAGATTAGCGCGTTGGACCAGAGGGCTTCTGAAGCGAAGCGCTTCAAATTTTCGTAAATTTGCGAAGTTCCCTTTGATTTTCTGAACCCTCTCATTACTTTAAGGGAAGTGTCAGAAATCGCTGACCTTCTGAAGCAAGATAGGCACCGCCTAGAGCAGCAAACGCCGATTCCAAAACAGCCCTTATCAGTTGCAGAACACAGCTGGATAGGAGTTATAATTTTATTCGCTGAAAGTTTACAACGCGAGGGTAGAGCCAAAATTATCAGAGTTCATGTAACTCGGGCTTGAACATAGATGAAACAGTTTGTTTAGTTAAAACACCTATTATTTAGTTAAACAGTTTATTCAGTTTATTTATGCTATGTAACTCTACTCCTTCTTCAGTGTTAAACTGTAGTGCTTAATAAGTATTCGAGCGATTTCTCCTTGATCGCAGAGTATTCTAATCCATGCAAAATTTAGCGGTCAGAATGCCTATAGCTCCAGTCGCAGTCTCGTTGTGCGTCTAAGGAAGGCTATTTTTGAATCAGCGTTTCAAGTTGCTTCAGATGATACCTATCTCGTGTCAAAAGGACACTGCGACTTCTGAAACTTCCCTTATTAACCCTTATTAATTTTTTTTCTTCAAATTTGGTCTTCGCTTAACCCAGATTAAAGAAAAAGCGAGAACCCCTTCTTTACCATTTTTCAACTTTCAAACTCTGCTTTATCGTAGTAAACTCCTATCATGAATGGCAACTTCACAAGATGGTCTTCTAAGCTACATTGGGGCCCTTTGAGCTTTTATATGGTTGGTGCAAAAATAATGCGCGTTTTGCGAGTCTCATCACTTTGATCTGCTATAACTTTTAAAAAATTCACATTCTTCAGTGCGGTAAGAAGCATCAGAGGCATCAAATATTTCTCAATTTAGCGCACATCCATCTATGCTCATATCACCAATGGGCACAAAAATATAGATTAAACAAAGAAGATTTGCGGGAAGGAATAAAATTAATAATCAAAATTGTCCACTTTTTTCGACAATTTTTCGTAGGCCTCATAATCTCAAAATGGAGAGTTTTGTGGTTTTCTGTGTACTGAACAGCTTCCACATTTCTGCAAAATTATCAGCAGGAGGCCCACCCTTAAGCTTACAGAAATGAGCAAAACTTTGGCGATTGCCCTTTTCAAAAAAAATCTAGGGGCCGCAGAATGGCCAAAACCACTGCTTATGTTGAGGCTTCGAAATCTCAATCTAGGTTGTTTCTAGGAAAATATTAGGTTGTAACAGAATTGATGCAGGTTTTTCGCACCTCTTTTTCAATGTGTTGATTCAAAACAAAATTCCATTGTCTCAAAAAAACTAGGCGTATCATCTGAAAGCACTCTTCTTCTAGTTTCGTAGGCATGCTTTCATTTCGAGATTAGTGGATTCATCCCAAAATTTTGCGCCTTCGAATTCAAAAAGCTAAACTCTGAATTATTTTCTTTTCAAATCCTTTGCTCTAAATTCACCGCGAAAAATCGGAATTTTTCGCAAACTGATATAACGTTTGCATGTGACCGTTGCTACAAACTGCAGATTGAAGCAGATTTTTTAAAAGTCTCCAGAATGAGAAGTCTTATTTAAACCCAAACAAAAGCTGCTATCATTCTGCGGCGTATGAAAATCCTAAGTGCACAAATGCAAAGCTTTAGTCGTGAGCACAAAGAATAGGCACAGTACATTTGATGGCAAAAAAAGGAAGATGTTATTGTCTTTGGCGGCGAGAAAATTTAAAATACAGCAAAAAAGGACTTTTTTTCCTTTTCAGAGCAATTGATAAAAATGAGTGATCACAAATTTTTTGCGATATTTTTTAGCCAAAATTTTTTCGCAAATAGGCTTAACGCTGCTGCACAATCAACTATTGTCTACACATTGAGTAAAATTTGTATCATTCTACTGATTGTGCAGCAAGTTATGGCCTCTCAAATTAAAGGTTTTCCAAGAGAAATTTTGGCAATCTTTGGGCTATAAAATTTTCCTCAGTGAGACTATAACGACATAGTAGTGCGTACTATTCCCAAAGATTTGCTGATTGCAGCAGTCTTTATTGGAAACGGATTGACTATTTCTGTGAAAGGATATAGTTATCCAAACTCAAAATTTGGAAAACCTGCATTAATTTTGTTACAACCTAACAATAAAGTATGATGTAGACAATTTCATTACATACAATATTTAAATTTAAAAATGCCTTTATTCGCGTTTGAATTCTGGCCAGAGGAGTAAGTGCAATAAAATTCTAGTTTCGAGTGCGATTGTGAAGCTCTATTAACTTCTAAGGAATGAGGCTAAAAGCTCCTTTCAGCCATCACTAGATAGCGCATGAAAGGAGCTTCTTGAAAATACCCTATTTTCCGGTTTATGAGCCGCACCTTATATAAGCCGCATCCACCGCACCGAATAATGGCGCGAAAACATACTCGAAGAGAATGTTTTGAAAAAAGTGAAGACTCGGTGCATTTTTTGGCTGCTCTTCACTGCGCATGTTCATGTCTTTGAGTATTTCTAATCTTCTTTCAAGATTCGGGCAGTTTTGCGGGTGCTTAAAGCTGCGCTATCGATTTCAATAAACCGCTGATTTTTAAATGTGCTTTTAAAACATTTGTAATAAAGGACGAAAGCAGAAAATTATTATCAGGTTACTAGGTGAAAAAAGAAGTAATCGGCTGCTTCTGCGGCTTCGCGCATCTGACATGAAAGTAATTGTGGCTTTTACGCCGGAAAATAGAGTATATAAGTTTTTTTCCTAAGGAGGAAGTTTGATGGAGAAACGTTATCCTGAAACAAGGGTTAGAAAAATGCGCATTACTTTTGCACCAACCTAATGGCGAATGCAGGAGAGGTAGAATTTTTTTATTTATACCGCCCTTACGAATTTTTTGAAGCAAGTTTCTGTCTGCGAATAATGCGTTCCACGTTGCTTCGATGGTTGCCACTGGAAACATCAACGACACATAGTACAAGGGGCATCTCTATTTTCAAAGCTCATCCTTTTGCTAACTCCCTCTCCATTTCAGAAAACGAAATCTGTGCAGCATGTCTAAGAACAAATGTCAGGAAATTACACCCGTTACGGTGAGTGGAACTTGAAAGCTTAAAGTTCTTTGATACCTGTTTGGTTTTTATTCTACATGTAGCGGGGGTGGTTTAGTGGTACTAATAATTTTAACCGGATCAGTCAATGAAAGACACGGTTAGAGTAAAGATATTTTATCGCTGAAGTGACAACGAACAAGAACAACGTAACAACTTGAAAACACACAATAACAACCGGGCCCTTCTGACCCGATTTGACCTGCTCAGCTGGGTTTTCTGTCTCTAGCTATCTAAGGGGGGAGGTCCTTCTCTCTTCGACAGATCTTTTGACTACCTGGGCGCTCTCTTCAGCTCTGGCTGCTCCCCCTTGCCTACCCATACTTATACCCCGCTGAGGGGGTCAAATCGGGCCCTTTTTCCGCCAACAAAGTCACAATCTCCACGATCCAACATGCAGAATTTAGTGCCAAAGTGAAAATGGATCGGAATCCAATCTCAAATCGTCGAAAAAAGATGATGTGGAAGTCATGGTAAGTGATCGTAGGTATCAAATGCTTCAAGACATAGTAAAATTCAGAAAATGAGATCACCAATGCATTTGCCTTTAACACCCCTAGGTACACCCGAAAAATCAGTGCCACGCAGTGCTGAGACTTTTCACAAAACAACCTTGTCGGGAAGAACTGTAGGTGAGTGACATCGAAAACGCAGCCGACAACATTCCTCAACCCTCCGAAAACAGTATACTATATACTTTACCGCATAATTATGACGGAGGCATTTTTTATTCCATACTACAGCTCAAACATTTTCTATCTCTAGATATCATGATACTACCAAGGACAGCAAATGATGACAACGAAAAGAAGGACGATTCCGAGATGATTGAGTCCGGTACCTATCTCTCTTCTCGTATATAGATACCTCAATCATACTCTGTAGAGCTGCCGAAGTGCACTTCACAAGGTCAAAAACAGGAAATGAGTGAAGCCATTCTGAATCCAAGAGATGAGCCAACGAATTATGAAGGAAGAAAATCCTAGTTTTATATCTATGCCAAATTTTACTAACCAAACATCATTCAGGAATGACTGGTCCGGAGTTTCTTGCAAACTTGCCAGAAGGCATATCAGCGTGCCCTTTCTTGGAGCATGGCTGTCACAAAGTTGGAAGTGAGTTGGATGTCAAAGTACATATACGCGATGACAGGTAGAAGTTCACTGACCTGCCACCTTCTTCTCTCAAATGGACCTTTCCAGAATTTTTCATCTTGTTTTGCTTTGTCGAGCCGTGCTTGATCTGAAAGCGGCTCAATTGAAGACTCTGCGTGAGCAACCGCAGAAAATTATGCGAACTGAGGAGCAGCTTACTCCAGCATATACTGTCCTGAAGAAGTATGGGTGCGTTTACTGCACTTGTATCTTTGAACGTAAAACAATAGTGGAGCCCAGCTGCAGTCGTCAATGGTTTCAGGCTCTTCCGCACCGGCGTATAAGCCCAGAGGGATTATCCCCAAATAGAACAGCGAGATGTGCGGATGATAGCGATACTTGCGTCATGCTGTTATGCTTGTTACTAGTAAAACACTATCTAGGATTATAGACCCTAGGCCACTAGTCTTACCTTCTATCCCCTAATGAGAAAATTGCCGGGGGTAGGCGGTCATACGATTTACAGGCAAACGGGCACTGGAAAAACACTGATTTTTTGCGGACCGCTTGCAGATATTTGGAAGAGGTCGGCCTCTTTGAGGAGCTCAGAAAACAGTTGCTGCCTTTTCATAGACCGCGAGAATCTTCAAAATTGTTGAGAGGCGCACGTCTTTTGTGAGGGACCTCTTAATCCATGGGTACTTTCCACGGAGAGAAAGTATATGGGTGGTTAATTTATGACACCTCTGCCATATAATGTGTTACCTTTGCTCGGCGTACTCCCGAAACTGCCTAACGAGAGTCAGAGCGCTGGCTGATGGTTTTTCCACTTCGCTAAAGTAAATTATATGATGAACAGCGCTCGCTGCCCAATGGCGGAACATGCAATGGTGAAGGAAGTATGCTCGCTGAAGGTTTGGCCATTCCCCAAATTTGGCTGACCACTTGCAGAAAAAAGCGAGTTCGCGTCCGCGTGCCCCGAAGATTTTGTGTAATTGTGCTCTCAGGCTACTCTTTATATTGTTGATACCTGGGGGACAATTATGCTAGTATCCGCGGCCCTTAACGCTGACTTTTGGCCGTGAGCGAGCCTCAATCAGGACTCAGCACAGCTGGCACCGGGTCAAGCTGGATATCGTTTTTAGGGCGGAAAGCAAAGGAGATATCGTTTATACAGGGGCCGAGGCAGAGAACTGCCGCAAAAATGCCGCCGGCATGCCACCGGCATGCCATTGGCAAGCTGTCCATCAACAAACAAAGGCGTTGTTTTCAGCCAAAACGCAATAGTATGACACCAAATTTGGTGTGTGCATGCGCGTTGGTGGACCGGAACTACAGGCCAATTTATGAAAACTTATGTGAATGAAAGCTGTGCCTAACTTTTTTCTGAATTAGCTGGCACCGTGCCAGCCGGGTGCCAGCTGAGCTGGCACCGACACTTTGCTCACATAAGTTTTCATACTTTTTTACATAAAATGTATCTACACTGTAAAAGATTACATACGGAGAAGAAACAGTTTCATAATGTTCTCTTTTCAGCGTTTTATAGCAATTTGAAAACCACTCGGCCCGCTCCGCAGTCGAAAAATTGGCTTTTTCTGCTTCTCAAGATGTGATTCGACCACTTGAAAAGCTCAGAAAGCTGTGAAAAGTTCTTTAATGAAATCAGAAATGCATGAAAACACTACTACATTTTTTACATAATATAAAAATGATGACGGGTTTTCAAAACAGGTCAAAAGGGACTTCGTCCGAAATTTTCAATATCAGACGGGACTTCGTTTTGAAATTTCCCTGGTGCCAACTCGTGCCGAGCCCTGGCCTCAATTCTTGGATTGACCATCCGTAGCCCTAGATTTTTGGCAACCCGCTGCTCAATGTTATCGCGAAGGAAAGGCCGTGCGCCCCAGCTGTTTCATGGGAACACTCGCTGCCCAAGAAAAACGTCCGAGCGAGCCCCGACACCTTGCATATCTGGTTTCTCGGGCAAGCTCTAGCCCTCGAGGCTATGGCGCGACAGAACCATTCCGCTGAGCCCCGCGCCTTGCTGGACGCGCGCTTCTTACACTCTGTAAGAGAAGACGTTTCTTGCATGAGATGCGCCGCAATGATATGGTTACCCGCAACTTTTGCCGCTTGGGTTGGAGGTCAAGTGAAGTCAGGCTCTGGTTACCGATAGTGCCTATGACCACCACTGGACCGCCACTACCCTGGGACCAAGGGTGGAGGGGTGGTTTGAACTATCAGACGTCATCTCGTTTCTGTGTAGATTGTGGCCGTTATGTCAGGCTGAAAACGGAGGTGTCCAAAATCTATATGGTTTAGATACCTAGTGCACTATTCGGCCGCCCGCGGGTGCAAATCGCACAGTTCTCGAGCGCTTGCAGGCACATCCGATGGTATTGTTCGGGCGCTTATCGCATCATCCGCGGGCTCATCGCCGCTCATCGTGTACTTACCGGCGCACCTTCGGGATGGGCGTGGCGTTGCCCGAGGGTGGTCGGCGGTGTTCGCCATAGCGCAAATCAGCCAGCGATGTTACTGGGACCAGCAGAATTGAAAACTCCCTGAGTCCGCTCCACCGACACGTGTGAGAGACAGGCGTATCACAGCTGAGTCAGACTGAACGCGTACTTGGCGTAGGCATATGTGCATAAAGATAAGGGGCGTACACGCGCACTCTTGCTCAACCTTACATCGACTGTGGCGTGCTAGTTCCCAAAAGGTGAATCTTTTTGAGTAAGAGCAAGTTGAGAAAGCACTGCCTGGTCAACGGATGTCAGTGAATGGAGATGGAAGCGGACCAGAAATATACAGGGTGTCCCAAAAAGATGTGCACACTGTTTGATTTTGAATAACTCTCTTATTATGAGGTCTTTCGAGAAGCGGTAAGCGCCATTTGTAGGGCTGGCTTCAACTTAGATTTGCAGTATAGAGCGAATCACCGACCGCTCTTCGTTACTGTAGGATTACGGTAGCAATTTCAAGAAGGGTTTTAAGCAATGAAAGGCCATATTTTGCCTCAGAAAGGAAACAAAACAGCCTGAAAACTTTTACACTAGGCCAATTAGAGTTGCTGATTTTAACTGTAAGGTTCACGACCTATTATGATGTTTCACTGAAGAGTTATGCGAAGTAAGGAGTAGCGGCCATTTTCTCAATGTTCCTAAAAAGTGCGGTTACACCGTTTAGAAAGCTTCGCAATCTTGAGAATGGTTGAGTGTTGAACTCAGCGTTCCTAAAAACCCTATTACACAAGTTTTCACATCTTTTTGATAATTTTTGGAACGGCAGCTTTTTCCACATATGACACCATATGTTCCAAGTTTTTACCGTATTCCTACAGTAACGAAGGGCGGCCGGTCATTCGCTCTATACTGTAAATCTAAGTTGAAGCCAGCTCTACAAAATGGCGCTTACCGCTTCTCGAAAGACCTCATAATAAGAGAGTTATTCAAAATCAAACAGTGTGCACATCTTTTTGGGACACCCTGTATATATGTAGTCTTATATATAAAGCTGAATGTCTGTTTATCTGTCTGTATGACTGTCTGTGTATACGTATGTTCCGAGTAGAAAATTTTATCTCTGAACCGATCCGGAACCAAACTTTGCACACATACACTTTCGAGGCGGGGCAGGTTCTACTTTCCGTCATCGATTGAAAGATTTTTATCGATTTTTTGTAAAGTTTGACCTGCGGGGCTGCGAATTTGCACAGAGGGGGGGGGGGTAATCGAGCATGCTGATTACGAATACAAAATCAGTTTTTGAAAATATCCATCACTTCTATCGATTTTATCGATATTGCAAATTTCGAGAAGGGGCTAGGAGTTGGCACAGGGGGTAATCGAGCATGCTGATTACGAATACAATATCAGTTTTTGAAATCTTCCGTTGCTTTCATCGATTACATCGATTTTTTGCAAATTTCGAGCTACGGGGCTGGGAGTTGTCATAGGTGGGAGGGGGGGGGGGAAGGTAAGTGAGCATGCTGATTATTACTAACACAGGGGGAATAGGGAACTGGCATGTAGAAGAGGACACAGGGATGGTTGTACAGGGGTAGAGATGGGAGCTTCATCATAATGTTTTGACAGGGCCGGGCGGAGCCGGGTAAGCCAGCTATTGCGAATACGATATTAGTTTCAGAATTGTGTTATCGATTTTACCGATTTTTTTTGCAAAGTTTGAGCTACGGGGCTGAGAATCGGAACAGGGGGGGGGGATAAGTGAGCATGCTGATTACTAATGCAGCGGATATAGGAAAGTGGCATGCAGAATTGGGCAGGGAAAGGTTGTACAGGGATAGGAATTGAACTTTTATTGTGTTTTGACAGGGCCGGGCGGAGCCGGATAAGTCAGCTAGTTGGTAATTGTGTGGACAGTGAGAGGCGGAACATCGCGAGGACTGGCTTTTGAGACCTTTCCTGCGGCAACGGCAGTCTCTTCTAAAGGGTATCTTCCTTTTGCGCAATCTTTGTACATATCACGTATGGTTAAGAAGGAAAAATGGAGTCAAAGAACCGCTCAGAATGGGATTTCCAAAATACCCTGTTTTTACGTATACAACTGCGCCCTGATCGCTCTGAAGGCAAAGGCCGCGAAGGAACCCGCGTGCCATAGGGCCTTGGGAATAGTAGGTAAGAGTAATGGCCCCCCGAGACACACGCGCAGCGAAGGCCCAGGTTTACACTCGTTTAGAAAGTAAGGTATGGATCAACCTCAGTTTTCATCTTCTGCCATAACGGGTCCCCTTTCGTGACTATAGCGGCCTACAGGGCCACGTGTTTTGAGGATCTAAAACCTGATTTCAGACCCCAGTGCATTTTTCACATTCCTCAAATCCACAACGTGATAAGCGACGCGAGAAAATCGGGCCAAAATTTGGTTGTCAGGTAATATCGCAACATACAATAGCATGTCATCTCCAAATAAGTTTGCAGTCAGCCTTTTGAAACACATCGTTTTGGGTACAAAATGACACTTTTGGTGGCGCCATATGGAGACGCAGAGGGTATAGTGGGAGAAGTTCTGATGTAACTTCAGGCAGCAATTTGTTACAGTATCTCGCCAGTACATCTCCATATTTGCAACAATTGTCAAAGGCGACTACGATGCCATTCAGTGCTGGCCGTTCAAGCTTCCCATAACTTTCACTCTGTACGCAGTGGATCCAAATAAGAACTGTGAGTTATCCAAAATTTTCAGTCTATGAGGTGTGTACATTGCTTGAGTAGAAGGCAGGGTCCGGGCAAAACCTCGATTTCTACAAAATTCGCCTACCTGGGGTTATCCGCGACGCTGAACCCGAAAATTAAAGCTAGAAAGTGCGGAAACGGCAAAAACAGGCCCTAAAGCCTCAAAATTTGGATTTGAAACGAGAACAGTTCGCTCCAAGGCTGAGAGGCAGAGTCGCTGTGGGACCTTAAATCTTTGGCTGTGGGGCGACATGCGCACTCTGCCGCAGAGCAGGAATCACAGGCGGTCGAGGCTTTTCGCGGGGCGTAAGTTTCTCACTCCAACCGTATTTCTTATTTCATCTGGTTGAATGTTATGGCCTCGCTTTTGCGCGACGTGTATCCGTGGAAGTCCCTTTCACCTGTGTGGAAGTCCACTTTCACCTGGCTCCGAAATCCCAACAATCTCAACCTCGCCCGGGTACTGTCTTTGCTCTATAGCTTGATTAGCTAATTGAACGCTTCTCATGCTTGTCGAATGAAATTAGCTAGCAGCAAGTAATAAATTTGCAGTAGAAAGGGTGTTTATACCAAACCCCACAGCCGAGAACGATGCATTTCTGGGAAGACCTAAAGGAGCTCGTAATGCTGCATTTGGAATCCAGGTGTGTTGCAGAGTTAGCTTCGTCTGCATGTTGTAGCTTCGACAGCGACGAGTAAAATTATTGATCTATATACGTCGGCAAAAATACTTTCTCATTTCTACTCACTGTTATTCCAGCGTTTTTGCGCTTTGAACGATCTGGACAATTACACCATAAAAGGAGGCTTGTTCATTGGCGCTCATGTGGACTTGAGCGGTCTCCATCGTGCTCGCCGAATGCCGTCTGATGAGCTATGAACATTTCGCTTTCACAGAGTTATCTTCCATGCTGAAACTGGGATATCCGAGAACGCTGTTGCATCCAATTTTCAACACATTCAAACGTTTTCTCATAAATTCTAAGAATAACTTTTCCAAAACGTGTTAGGGCACGAGTATGAAGTCGTTGAAAAAGCTTACGCTAAGCGTTTTCGACTATCCTAGTGACAGAATGGATGCTACCTACAGGGCTTATCAAATGAAGTGTCGGGTGCGCCAGAATCTCCGCTCCCGCGCTGCAACTGCGTCTCTTCCGCGGAACTTGCTCCCTATTCACTTCCAATCGATTGAGGCTCCGCCTTTCCCACGCTCGCCGTGGGAGAGTGCTCAGAAAGCATGTTCCGCGGAGGAGACGCAGAATCTAATACTTCATTTGATAAGCCCTGTAGTCTGTGATCATTCCCATCTTGTGGATTATTAGATGGATGGATTCAACTAGATGCAGTGACCGCATCTTGCACAATAGCGTCCTTTTGTATGAATTGTGTTTTTCATTTGATACCAATTCATAGTCCGCTGGTAGATGTCCTGATTTTTACAAATCAATGTTTTATAAGACAAAGCTTTTCCGTTCAAAGTGATAAATTGGGTTGAGGAGAGTTGTGCAATAACGTCTGATGGATAGTCAGATAGCCGTGAAATTTTAGATAATTAAAGATTGCATACATGGGCAGTGTGATAGGCTCGTGCGCTTCCTCAAGTAATTTCCTCTTTTATTTTTCACAGAGCTATCTCAAGTTGCAAAATACCTTTTCAATATGCTACTTCGCATTTCCAAGCAGTCCTAACTGACTCGAAATCCCTCCAGAGAATCTGTTTATGTCAACTGGATGCCATTGCTTTGAGGACAGTCCATGGTACCACAGCTCATATCACTTTGCTCAAAAAATGAAAACTGAAAACAAAACAAGCCTGATACTAAACGTCAATTTAAGTGATTTCACTCAAAGTTGACCACCAAAGCAGCAGGAAAGCGGTTGCTTTTGGGCCGCGATCTCCGCCGAACCTATTTTTGCTAGCACAGTAGCCAATAACGCCTATAAAAGGGGCGGCGCCTCATTTGCTTCTCTCACTATCGTCTTCATTTATCTTTCTCTATAACTTCAATCTTGCAATGTCGTGCCTTGAACTCTCGGTGTGTTTTTTCCTTGAAACAAGCGGTCGGAGCTTTTTGTGCCTGAATTTCGGAATAGTTAAGCGCCTTGATACGCAATGGAAAGATTGACCTTTTGATTTGTGGATGAATCGAAAATATTGTGAGCGGAGAGGGTTGCGTTTCCCGTGGGTCTGCGCGACAGGCTGCGGATCTGTTGGGGAGGTCTGGGAAAATTCATGATTTGAGATAAGGATATTAGATCCGTTGGTAGCATGAGACGATGCCACCGCCCCGTGTTTTCTTTTCTTTTTCCTAGTAGTTTTAGCATCAGTTGTAGGTTCTTTATGTTGTTGAAATAAATGATTCAATCTACTCAGTCTTTCTTATTTAGCGTTCACGCCCTCTCACATATTATGCGTGTAGAGGCAGTCCCGGCAGCACCGCTAAGGCGTCATGATCCTTAACGGACGCGCAACATCACGTAGGGCACGGTAGGGATCCAAGGTGTAGACAGCGGCCAGCACTTGCGGAAGGTGCTGATCCCACCGAGCCGCTACAACTATGAAATAAGACCTTCTAACAGCTTTCGGAGAATACAGGATTGCAACCACCAATTACAGTAGCTATGATCTACGCGCAAGGAACAATACTACTCCAACGCCAAACCGTGCCAGTAAGAACTATGCAACTTGTAAAAATACATTGTCTGCAAATTTTTAATAATTATGTTCATGTTGTCGGCCGTGGTATTCTTTTTTGTGCCAGAAATGCAAATCTACCCTATTTTTCTGCTTCTTTTCACGGATGTCCTTCTCGGTTCCGGATAGATAGTGACTGCAACTAGACGGATTATCCTTCAAGTGGCAATTTCTGCCTCCGATTCCATCTAGATAATACGACGACGGCCAAACTAGCTGAGCCAATGCAAATCAGATTAGTTTAAATGTCAAACTAACTAGACAGATACGATACTTGCTTCCATCCATGAATATCGAGGGCAAGACACATGGTGGCAAAATTTGACACATTTATAAGAACATATCAACATAGCATTTCATCATAATCACAGTTACACCGTATTACAGCAACAAACAATATGCTACACAATTATTAACAGTGAAAATTACAATATTGAGGTACCGTTATTATGCGTCACAGTACGAAGACTCAAGAAGGTCTAGTTGTGACTTTTTCGTATTGTCTCTCTTGACGAATACGTAGAAGTGGCACCACAGTAATGCTGAGCACAATATCGTCAATGCTAGTGCAAATACAAGGAATAATACAGCACTGAAAAACAAAAACAATTAAACTTTATAAACATGTCTAGTTTTTGTATTTGTTGGTATTTGAAACCTTGTTGTTCTGGTGTTTTTTTTTTCTTTGACGATTCCGTAATTGTGAAGAACGTAAGTAAAGGAAATGTTAATTTGCTAGATCGTAACCCAAACTACGTTTTTTCTGAGCGGCTTCCGCTTTGATTAAAATAAATTCTATGAGCTTACAAAATGCAATATCTGAACAGCGCACGCTATGTATCTAAAAATTGGCAAACCGCCAAAGCGCGCAATGGATCCCGCGTGGCGCGTCAAATCACGTATGCTCGACCTAGATTCAAAGGTGAAGTAAGAACAGCGAGTGGCTTAAACATTATGACAAAGTCAATAACTTTTGAACGTATAGAAATGATCTAAATAAAACTTGCAAAATCTTATTATACATGAGAAAATGGTCAGCATACCTGACAATAAATTCTTGTAATTGATCATATGACGCTACAGTAGGGCCATCCATGACCCAGTCGTCTGCCTCTTGATTACGAATAGTTATAAGAGTATTCTTGTATAGTTACAGGACGTTATACTGGAATCCAAATCGCTATAGCGCATGGGAGGGTCTTTGACCTGAAAAGTAGTCAAACATTTTGATTTTTCGATAACTTATACGAGCGGAATGGAGTCGGAAGTCAAAAATGGAATGAGGGGATACGGTAAGCTTCGACTATGGCAAGTGCAAGACTACTTATCTAGTTTCCCTAGCTAAACACACTTGCGGCGAATGGCCAGACAACAGCCGGTCCGTACTCAAACACTGACTTTTTGCGGGAGTTAATGACTAGTGTAGAGTTTGACAATGCTAATCAAAACTCGAGATAAGAACACATCAACAAACAAGAAATGTCGAAAAAGCTCTAGACTATGTGCACAGCCGTCTACAACTCACTCATCGATGTTCCATTTCCTATTCGATTTTTACACAAAATCATTCAGTCTCGAAAATCCTTATGATGTTTAAATTAGGTCTGCCACTTAAAACAGCACCTTTTTTACGAAAATGATAGCAATGATCATAGATTACTTCTTGACTGATCTTTGCAACTTTTAGATGTGCCTTCAGAGTGGTAATTTTCCAGAATATTTTCTGCATTATTCGCCTAGAAATTTTGAATAAACTAAATTTTTGATGATTTTCTAAGCAATCCGATCAATCCTGACGTGAAAAGATGCAATGCTATAGATTTTCAGCTATGTTCAAAGATAAAATCGCAACGAGATAGCTTTTCTAATGCTCTAGTTTTAGCCTGAACAGATCCGAAAATGATCAAAGAGATGATTTAAATCCTCTGTATTCGTAATTCTTAGCATTTTTGTGAATTAAGACTGTAAAACGTTGTTGGGGGGGGGGGGGAGTTACGTTAGTTGAAAATAGTTGAATTTTACCAATTTATGTGAACTTCGAATTTGCTAAAAAAGTTGGAGAAGTCCCATAATAACAGCTGAAAACTGTATACGTTATTGTTGAAATAACAGAGTGGTTAACCGAATATACAATTATCAGATTGACCAGATTCTAGGCATAGAATATGAGCAAAGAAGCAAACCTCGAAATGGTACACAGTCTGTATCTGAACTAAATTCTAAATGAACTGAGCTGATCACGGAATATCAACTGACTCGTCGGATGAAGAAAATTGGTTCAGTGGATCATTTATTCTTTTTGAAAAATATATAAGCTAGTGTTCAGATTGAACGTTGCTCGGAACGTTTAACACCAGAGTAATTTTGGCAGCTGTCCTGTCGAAATCGGATATATTACAACGAATTGCACTTTAGCAGAAATTTTGGACGAGTCTGCTTATCGAACTCCCGACATCGTATCAAAGGCGCTAAGACGTCAGCTTAGCAAGAGCAAAGACTGGGCTTCGAAATGCATAAGATGACACTTGGAAGGCTTAGAAAATAGCAGTAAAAATAAACGTTGTTGATAAAAAAACCTAAGGGTGCAAACGTGGGAAAAATTCGTTGCATAAATGATAAAGACTCGGGGGAAAATCAACAGAAGTAAGTAGATAAAAGGTTACTGAACTGATGATGATGATATATTGATATGATATAATCATTCGAATGATAATACTGATGAAATAATTATTCAAGTGAATGCACGAATAATAAGTTCAAGTGCAAATTGAACAACAATAAATGAACGAATGATTCTTCGGCGAATAAGTGGAATAAGTTCAATGATTGAAGTAACTAGAGCATGAATGATTAACTGATCTATAGAATAAAAGCAGGAACTTAGAGATATTAAAAATTCTCAAAAATATTAGCCATCGAAAGCTCAACGTCTTTTCAAAAGCCTTCGAGCCCTCCCTTGAATGCAATAAGCGAAAGTCTATTTATTTGGGAAAGGAAAGCCACAGCATCAATGATTTCACTTATTTTCCATCATTGTCAGATTTGGACATCAATGATCGTCTGCACTTCGTCCGCAATTTGACGTCATCCGTGTTTTCCCGGTTAAGTCTGATGATCATGATGTTTGTCGAAGGTTTGGAACCTGTTTGGGATTTTATGTGAAAACTACTACATAGCTCGATTGTAAGGGAATAAATTCGATAAACTCTGTTACAAAATCAATAATCGATTGAAATGGTTTGTACAGGACAACTCAGCCCCCCTTTTTCAGAACTTCGTTTTCTCATAAAATTGCGTGTCGGGAAAATTCGAAGAGCTAGTCTGAGACTAAATGTTCATAGCGACATGTTTAGCTTTCTAATGCAATCCCAATGACGTGACTGATGTGATGCCGAGAGAATTGCATAAACGGTGACTGCTAACTTAACATAGAGCACTGATCAAGGTTGAAAAGTCATTCTAGGACGGATTAGATATTCTAGTAACTTGTATAGCTTGTTCAGTTCAAGAAAGATGATATTTCGAAAATAAAAGTAAAAGAAGACGAGAGTGTATATTTTAGTTTTGAAGGAAGTAAGAAAGGTGCAGGCGACAGTACAGTCATTAGTCATAAGTACAACAACACTCAAGGTAGTGACCAGTTTTGAGAGGTTAAAGTTTATTTCTGATGATGGTGATGAGTCTTCAAGAAGATATAAACATTGACAAGACCGTAATTGACCACTTAGATGTCGTGATTGATACACGAAAACATTAAAAGATGTATGAGTGTAAAGACAAACAAAACGAAAGACACATACTGGAAAAGAGTATTTGATATTTGAGAATCTGATATACTAGGCAATTCTAACAATAAGGAGAGCCCACTATACGGCATAAGAGATTACACTATCGGGTTGATTAAGAAGATAGTTCTTTTTTTCAAATACGAAGCTCTATAAGAACTCAGATATTCGCTATTCAGCCAAGCTTTTCTGAGAGACAATAGCTACCACAAATATGTTGTTACTAAAATTTTCTATCTGTAATAAAAACCACTACTCCTTATCTAGCCAGCCTTCCAAAAAGAAATCACTATTTCTTCTTCATAAGCGTTTTCAAGCTAAAGTGAATGTCCATTACAAATATCAACGGATTCACAGCCTTGTAACTAGCGCGGAAATACGAATCATACTCAGCTTTTGTGTTTCAGTGGTGACAAACCTGAAGCAATGCAGCAGTCGTATGACTGTTTTCTGGAATCCTTACCATATTGGAAAACTCCGTAAGTATGTGAAATTATCGAAAGCAGAATCGTCCCCCATGAGGCACCTAGATCCTTGTCTCTAAGCTGAAATACTACACAAATCTCTAATTGAATTAGGGCACAAGTATCAATCTATACATCTATGGGACGGAAAAACCGATATGTATATGAAAGTAATTCAGATAAGAGAAAATACCTCCGGCCTGACCTTTCACTTGATCAGTAATATTTAACTTATCTATTGAACCATCCGCTTATTTTTTATGAAGATTTTTTGAACAGTTTTGAGAAAGAGACACTGTGCTGTACGAGAAGAACTGCTGAGCAAAAAGATGACAATGTCAAAAAGCAAGCTGAAGAATGTTACACTTGACAGGTGACCAGCTACACCTTTTGAACTCGTACGACAATTGTTTGTTGCGTCTTCACTTTGTTATTGAACTTGCTTCACAACGTAAGGAATGTGTGTAGTGTTTATGACAGAGAACTATATAGTCTAAGAAGAACTGCACTTGATAAAATGCATTTTGCTCGAGAAGCTATTCAGGCAACAATGGCCTGAACTTAGGAGCATAGAAAGTGCCCTGTAGAGCAATTCAGACTAAACTGAATAAAGCAGACATTCAGAAGAAATAAACAGCTAACAAAAGGGTGTGGATGTGAAATGGACAATGAGATTTGCTGCCTACCCTCAGCTTCCCCTTTGCGACACGTGAACTTCTGGATAGAGAAAAGGGAAAACCCGGAAGTTTTAACCTTGACATACTTTTGAAGTTTACACATGGAAAGCTACTTCATCTAAGTGCTATCACCATTACCTAAACCCCAGTGGCGGTCCCAGGATTTCCGTTCGTAGAAGGGGGGGGGGTGGAGGAGGGACGCGACGGTTACGCATTCCGCATTCCGACGGGTTTGCGGTTTTCAAAATTTTTTGCGGTACCGCCCCGAGATTTTTGGAATTAGAGGCGTGGTGGAAGCCGCCAAATTTTTTCTACAAGTCTAAATTATATTTTTGAAAATTTCAAAAATTTATTTTAATCCATAACAAGTACAAAAAATTCAATGTCACATTTTATAACTCATGTAAGTAAGTTCGAAAATTCCGTGACTCCCCTCCTCCTTCGGTCCGCCGCTAAACTCTAACATAGATGATGATTTCGAATGAATACGTTGATGAAAAATAATTATAACAAAAAATCTTCAGTTAAGCGTTATATTCCTCTACGAGTGGAATGAGTTTAACTCAAGAATAAGAATCAACTGCGCAGGATTCGCCAACATACGATGAAATAGGATGAAAGTAATAAAATAAGTGATTGGTGAAGTTAGAAATAGATTCTTGTGATTGAGATATAAATAGAAATCACAGGTACGAAAAACAAGCAATGACGATATTTTTGTTGCATTCAGATCATTATCGCAAGCTGAATAAATAGACTATGAAGACAAGGATCAACGTCCATCAAAATACAGATGACTAGATAGTGGGAAGCAATCCATTCGAACAAGCATTCAAAGCTGGATAAAATCTGCTTTCGCTCATCGGCTAGCTTAAAATACAGGAAATCAAGCTGAATTTTCAGGGCTCAGCTGTCCTTTGTTTATCAACAAATAAAACAAACAAACATTGACGGAGTGAAGCATTTTGCGAGACAAACATTGTTGGAGCATTAGTTTGATGCGAGTTTTCTGATCAAGAAAAATAGTTGTAACTTTTCTGAGAACAAAAAAGAAAAATAGTAAGGTAAGTAAAGTAAAATCAAAACAAACTCTGAAAATCGGAATCTCGACAATACAGTAAATCGCCAAGAAGACCATATTGATCGCACTGATTTTGATTCTCTAACCGAAGCAAGATATTTTCTGATTTTTGAGCAAAATTTTGTACAATTCGCGATTTTCAAGCCTCCGTTGGACTATTTTTTTTAAAATTCATCGGGGTTTCAGAAAAGTAGTTTCTATAGAATATGCCA